ATAACAACAAGAATTAATGCCAACAATAGTAATGAACAATATAGCAACGCTGAGCACATGTTAATTACTGAGACAAATTAGAACAGCCATTTACATGTTAGACTCTCATCACCATATTTTGAGAAGACCTTATGTTTATATTACAGTTTAAATCAATGAATAGTTTGGCATTGCTTATGTTTTAAGTCCAGTTTGTGGCAGAGTGTCATGCTGACACACAAAAATGTTTAGACGTTGGTTTAGGCGGTCTCTTTAATGCCAACGTGTGTGGGTACAGTGCTGGCTGTATATAGTGCAGAGTGTTATGTTTTTATGTCTCAAAACAAATTATTCAAATTTAATTCTATTCAGTCGGCTGTGAAAAATATTCCAAACTTCTCAAGTTACGAGTTATCACTGGAGTTATCAAAAACAATGCAAGTTAGGCGGTAATAATTTGTTAAATGCTTTATGTAAGATTGTATTATATTTTACAATTATTACTTTAACTTTGTAAACAGGTTATGAGAATGTTCCAGAAAACCAACTTTGTAATTGAGCCACACAGCACGTATTTTGTTTAAATATATAATTGTCATTCAGTCATTTCAGTACTTTTGAGTCCGGTCTGAAGAGTCCGGTTTGTGAGTGAGACGGACACTTGTCAATGGGCGCTGAGCGGCAATGAGCGGCAACGCACCACTTTTTATGCACATTTCAATCCATGTTTTAAAACAGAACAATGCACTTTCCTAGAGTTTAATAAAGACAGCTGTAGTTGAACCTGCTCTGCAGGAGCCAGGACTGAGCCAGGACTGAGCCATTACTGAGGCAGGACTGAGCCAAAGAGGCTTTTAAGCAAACATTTATGTTGTGTCCAAAAATAAATTATTGTGAACAAATGAGACAACAGCACATACCTTGTTAAAACATTGGCAGAGTCTGAAAAGCTCATTTAAAAATGTGACTGAGGCCAACTGCACATATGGAAAGTGACAGATTAAACTGTTCTACAGCCAAACTAATGACATGTATTACAGAACTTAACTTAAGAGCTTTAAAATCCTAATCCATGAAATAAAACTTAACTGAATTCCAATTCAACAATATATAATAGCCCTCAAGGTATTTGGCAATAATACGATAAGTTCAATAGTTGGATCTGAAACTCTATTGTCTGGGCTATCAGTTACCAATTTAGGGCCAATATTCAATAACAAATTTGAAACTTATTTACAACTTTACTCATAGTATAATCAACTTTAACCCTGTTTGCAAAAGCTATTCAAGGTATTGTCCATATTTGGTTCTTTGCAAACTGCAATCCAATCATGGAGCACAAAACTTGGGGCACAAATCATTGTGTCAGTTATTATTCTTTTTTAGACATTTAGCGTTGTGTCTTCTGTTTTTGTGAGATTAAAGCAATATACAGTGAAAACATATAAATAGGCCACAGGTTAATTAATTTCTTAAATTCATAGTCAGAATGTGGTCAATGAGTGACTTCCATTATAGTTGGTTAGAGGGGCAGGCAGAAAACATCAACGGTTTTTAGCTTGGTAGAATTGAACAAATCAATGTGAAAATCACCACAGTTTTTAGGCTCATAGTGGAAAACAGTTCCTTCCACTCCCTAATCCGCATTTCTAGGTTTAAACCAGGTGCCCGGTATATTTTTGAAATTGCACTGTTAAGCATTCAAAACACCAATCTGCAGCTATGGTCATATTATATTCATAACAGATTTACAGTATGAATGTACAAATCCAAAAAGTCAATACTAATAGTGTACACATTAGACATAAAAACAAAGCAAATGTGCACTTACATTAAGAATGCATGAACTTGAGTTACTTTGATTGCAACTCGTATTATATTGCTCAAGTCTTTTTTTGTAATGAGTTACACAACTGAGTTTCTTCAAAAATAAATATACTGCTATAATGTATACCAATATTACTTCCAACACAGACAATAATAGCAACACATTTAAATATTGTAGTCTCAATAAATGTGAACAAAAAAACTTTGAACTTTGAAACATGAGTAATTATGAAAAAAGATAATTAAGAATTACTCAGTGACAACCAAAAATGTTCCTTTGACTGACCACTATTTCTTTTTTCTGCACATTATTACAATTACCGGATCAAATCCTCCAATAATTTGCTGCATGTGAAACAGCATGACTGTTAAATGAATGATAGTAAAAGTGTGTGGTTCAGGAAAGTCAGGGAAAAAGATGAAATGTCACAGAGACTACCACAGGAGGCCTTGCTCTTCAAATGGCAAAGACTGAGATATTGATATTGTGCACATGGTGGTAGGCAGGTAGCACTCTGGATTAAAGAGCGTTACAGGGGGATGCAGTCACACTACAAGAGCTCTGTAAAAAAAGAACTCAAAGAACTAAAAATCATCCTCCACAAGGACAAAGCCTGACACTTCAGATCAAGAAATAAAATGCTAAGCTCAGAGGAGGGATGCAAAGTAAGTTTGAGAGGAGAAAGAGTGTACTTTCGCTAAGCTCTTTCCATCACAGCGACCCAAAACACCTTATGGAAAAGATGGTGTGAATCGAGGTCTGCCTTATCTTTTTGACTGTTTTTGCAGCAATAGCTTCACACGTTCTTATTATCACTCTTTGACGACTGTTTGAATGCTCCAAAAGCCATAAACGCAACAATCGAGTTGTTCAAAGTAAAACCATTTGAGGAAGAGCCGTTCATAAAAGAGCCTTTCACAGATCACTGTAAATGTTCTATGACCGCATTACCTCGCTTTACGGCTTGAGTCCTGGATCTATATACGTGCGTCCGTGGGAGCCGTTCCCTCTCTCAATGTGGGAGAGTGGTAATGATCCAGGACATATAAGGACATTTATATAAATGTTACTTACATTAACATTTATAGACATTGGTCATCTGCCCCCTATGGACCAATGATTTCCATGTGTTTGTCATTATTGCATTTTCTGAGTTTGAACTATTTGATTCTCTAATCTGTGTGCCGAACAACAAGTTTTTTGACATTGACATTTGTAAACCGATTCCATGCACGGTGTCTTGCTAACCCGAAGACTACATGTAGAAAATCCAGGACAAATCAAGTTCAAATTTGAAGACCCTACAATGAATGTGCTCACATCACTGTAACCTCTCATTTTCACAATGCATTGCCCCTGTCTGAAGTTTTTGAAAGAAGTTTTTTTTCTGCCATAAAATTCAAAATAATTGCTCTCAGTTGAAGTCCAGGAGAGGGGCAGAGGGATTCCGCAAGATCAGGCTTTGATATTTAGGAAGTGCACATTACGGCACTCTGAGAAGTCGTAGAACGGAAAGGACTCAAGTGCAGTTATAATGGATAATATGAAGAGATGTGTGGAGAGGTGAGCGTAGGATTGCTCACAAGGATAATGAGCCATGTCTCAATGTGACTGCATGTCAGCAACTGCACAAGCATCGCAAACACTGACGCCACCCTGGCTATTGTCTAATATTCTGGATTACATGACTATTTATCTAAAAACAACCATTAGAGACAAAGTAAACAAACATTTGGATGGAGTTTTGCTTTGCCCAATGCCCGAGTGGCAAAACAAGAATTTGAGATATTTCATCAAAACACACTAATGAGAAAGAATAATGCCCAAGTGCACTTACTTAAAAAAAAAACACACACACACACGTAATGAAACGACTGTTAATGATTTGTTGTAATATTTGTGATTAAACAACAGAAAGGCAAGTTGGAAATTAGAGGAATTTTGTTCTCTGCTGAATGTCTATCCTCAGGGTTTGAGCAATAATTCAGTCAAATATATGTTTTTTCATCACCACAGTGGCAGTGTTTCCTCTGGACACTCCGGTTCCCCATATGTACCACCCTCCAGCTCTGTTAGTCACTGCACTGTGGCGACCACCGCTCCTGGTGGGTTTCTGTAGCCGTGGGGGACACATTTTCCCACAGTGACCCTTTCCAGGTTGGAGGGAAAAAACATATTTAAAAACTCAATTCAGCATCACTAATCTGAGAATACATTGCTAAAAAAAGGTCGGGCTCAAATAAACCTGTAAATGAGTAAATGTGTTGTAAAATTGTACTTTTACTTTTTGAGTAGATTTCCAAAACCTGTACCTCTTCTCTCTTGAGTAAAACTGAAGCTCCCATCAAGTAGCTTTTAATTTAAAAAATTTATTTTTTCAAATGTTTCCCAGATAATATCATTTTTGACATCCGATGCAATGCTGTGACAACGGAGGCGAGATAGACTCAGTTGACATGAACATTGTTTGACAGATTCTGCGTGGCTCAATTTGACAGTGACAGACACAACACTGAGATGTGGGGAGTGAGGAGAGAAAAACCCAAAATCACTTTCTACAATTCTTTCTTTACCTGTTCATGTCCTGAGGCACCGCTGAGGATTTCACAAATAAGGTTCAAGACACAAACTGACAACATTTCAACAGGCAACGCAGAAGACAACACTGCAAACAAGTGAATTCATGCATTTTATCATTTATGGATGTCCAATGTGCTCATTATTGAAAAGAGGAAACAATACTGTACTGTATAAAGCGAATTGGATTTGTTTGGTATGTAGGTCTGTATGAGTTCTTCTCTGATCCTGTTAAACTCTGGCTGATAGATCCCCGGATACAGATTGGCAGCCTCTCTTCTTTCAACCCCAGGGAAACTGCTACTTCAGAAATAGCTTGTTATTATGTGGAATAAATAAAATACATTTACAAAATTAGTCCACACATTTGTTTTATGCTAATGGGAGCTCTCTAAACTGCAGACTTGTGGCATTTTAATATATCCATTTACCGTAAGTGCACTCAATTTGGGACATCATAGTCTGTGAACCCAATCCAAATAAGTGCCCTTTGAAAACATGTATCTTTAATTGTTTTAAATTAGTGTTTGGTTTTCTAGTGTGCTAATGCAGGGTATGTATTCTTGTGGTACAGTAATTTCATTTAAAATCAACACCAACATTTTGACAGTCTAAGATGCTGAATAACAAGGAAGGTAAGGCGTTCTTATTTTACAATGCCGTTTTCAAAAGTGCGACTTTAGAAAGTTTGTAATTGGTATTCTTTTCTCCTCACTGTAATAAATAACACATTGTAGAAGAATGTTCAGCTCAAGTTCATTATTATTCCGGGTCCATCATCTACTTGTCACTTAAGGTTTGTGATGATTGCGCTCAAGTGTTAACACTTTTTTTTGCCATTCCACCTCATACAACTCACAAACCTTAGGATATGCCAAGTCCAATTGTGAAAAACTGACAACGTTCATATTAATTTTCACAATGGTCGTTCTTTCTGTAACTCACTGTTCCTGTGAAAGGTTGGTTTAAAATTTCAGCTTCAATTTGTTTTTTTTTTTCTACTTTTTTCAGATGGAACAAAGAATACCCACTCAAGAGCAAAAAATATACTGAAAACACTATTCAATGGAGTTCTTCCATTGTTAACAAAAGCGATCACATTGACCTGACGTCCTACAGTGCAGACACAAAACAGAAACTGAATGATTCTTATCTTTGAATTTATATTTACTCTTTTTAATGCAATATGGCTATTTTAATCCCATATGTGATTTTAAAGTGAAGGTTTTTAACTACGTGTGTGATTGTGTTTTTATGTTTTTTTATTAGGGTTTTATGTTTTTCTGTTTCTTGTGATCTTATTGTGTTTATTTAATGCCCTATGCGATTTTAATTGTATTTTTAATCTTTATGTAGATTTTAATTTTATGTTTATGATATATGCTTGATGTGTAATGGGTTGTGCAGAAAAGGCGCTCTACAAATAAAAGTGGATTGATCTCATATTGACAAATTTCAGCTCATTATCAGACACTTGGTTGTGGTTGAAGGGAAAGACAAAATTACACTTAGTTGAACGTTTTAAAAGGCTTTAGAAATGTTTTAAACATTTAATTTCCCATAATTTCCCAGAACAAATGGATCAAACTTGCAATCACCTTGGGCCCACAGTGTTGTGAGAAAAAAACACACTCAGAAAAGAAATATGACCCACTGTGTGTTTGTAAATGATAGGTGCAATAGCTTGTGGATAGTCAAGGACCTGTTTGTGTGTTGTTTCTGTAATCAAATATTATGGCCTAATAAAAAGGATTATAGACGGGAATATACATCAGAATAAATACATTATTCTAGTAAAGTCAGTTATTGTAAAACGTTTACAGTATAAATCTAGTGAAAACTCAATATTAAGAGGCTGTGCTTTTACAGAGTCGACTGAAGAAGCGTTTCATGCACCAGGCAAACAGAAAGATGAACCCCTTCCTTCAAGTTCCCCAAGAGCAAGATAAACAATATTTTGGTTTATTGAAAGATGAACTGACAACAATAAAATCTTGGAATATCTACTACTTTGACTCTTTAAACACAGCGCATAATATAGTTACCAAACATGAAATTGTGATGTTTGAACGCCCTGTTACACTGAGCTATTGTCAGACATCAACAAACAATTTATAGTGTGCAGTAAACCGAAGGAGGGACTGCAAACAGAACCACAACACCTACAACAACATGGCCTTCCAAAAGAAAAAGGCTTTTATCGGCTTGAACATGTGGGTAGAGGAGACAAAAGGTGTTGCTTTAGATTTGGTGAAGAGAAATGTAGGACATTTAAAGAATTTTAAATGGGACTTTTTGAATGCCTCCAATGTTGTGAAATTGGATGTAGCCCTGCTTTAAGCCAACAAGTAAGTTTGGCCATACGTCTTCTCACAAACACCATGAAACTAAACTGAGTGAAGCTGATAATGCATTTTCACCTTTTTGGTAACATTAAGAGAAAACATGAGTATTAAAGGGATATAGTTATATTTTCCTAAACTCGCTAATTTAATTTGTGTGAGGCAGACACTACAGCATGCCCATGGCTTTCTATTTGTAGAGAGATTTAAATTTGCATATAAGTAATTAACATTTTTTTTCTCTCAATTCACTTTAGGGGAATGGTTTTCCCTGAACAGAGGCTCAAAGACAGTCTGGGAATGTAAAACTGTATGTCGTACGGAATAGTTTCCTGTTGAGTCTGCGCTTTGGTTCAGTGCAGAGACTTTGCTATGAATGATAGTAAAGTAGTTCACTGTGAGGGAGAGGCTGCTAAATGTAATGTCAGCTTTTACAGTATTAATTAGTTCTTGTCTTGGTTTGTAGTTCGAGTCGTCTGTCAGGGAAAGCTTAGATGAGCAAATCCTACAATAAACGGTCTTTTGAACTCCAAATAAATGATAAATTAAACTACTCTGTATCTTATAAGTTCTCAGGATCAAATTGCATTCTGAAGTCCAACAAATAAAATCAACACAAGTTTTAAACACTACAACAAAATCTAAGATAAGATAAGATATCCTTTTGTTCGTCCCACAGTGGAGACATTTCAGTGTCATCGTTGCTCACATTACAGCAGAGAAAGAAGGAAATAAGAACACTGAGATTGCATGCATTAAACTGAGTCTATTATTTAAGATAATAGACATTATAATTAAAATAAGATAAAGAATAAAATAAAATAAAATAAACTCTGGAGCTATAATTGCACTTGGTTCAGAAGTATTTACATATGTGTATATTGTACATAAGCAGGGGAGAATATGAGAAGAATAAACATCAGTAATAATATCAACAGGTAAAGTGGCTAGTGACAAAGTTATTAGTGGTTATTATAAGTGACACTTGTACAGACTCAGTAGTTCTTGTTACACATTCTCGTTGTACAGGCTGGCAGCAGCAGGGAGGAAGGACCTGCGAAACCTCTCCTTCACACAGCGACGATGAATTAGTCTGTCACTGAAGCTGCTCTCCAGGGCAGCCAGAGTGTCCTGCAGGGGGTGACAGATATGGTCCAGCATAGATATTAGTTTGTCCAGGACCCTCCTGTCCCCCACCTGCTGCACTGTGTCCAATATTGTCTGCAAACATTTCAAACCGTGTCGGCAATGTATATATCTTTACAACCAATGAAATCAATAAATATCGGCATCCTGCAATTATGACGTTTGGATTGCAAAAATATGAAGGTGCATTTTCTTCCTCAATTTAAAGAAAATCCTTTGAGAGCACAAAGTTAAGAATGAAATTATTGCAGAATGAGAATAATCACTCCCATTACAGTTGCAATGATATGACAAGCTTATAGATGAATACGTTTCATCAGCACTTTGAGTTGCCTTGTGTATGAATTGTGCTATACAAATAAACTTGCCTTGCCTTTAAGGGAATGTGGATCTTTTGTCTATGTCCAAAAAAGACACAAAGTCAACACATACCAATGTTATACAACCTTTTCTGATCAGCATTTTAAGGCTGATTCATTCATCATTTGAAAACGATCTCATTGATGGCTGCGGAGAGTGCCATTAGGGTTTTCTTTTTTTTTTACAGTGAAAACAAAAACTACTTACAGTTCCTTTCAAATAAATGAATGAAAGACAGGGTCAAATGTCACCAACAGTTACAGTCACATAATGCGGGCTATACATCAGCGCTACACGTGGATGCAGTGGTCCCTGAGGCAACTTCCCGACAATAAATAATTGCTGTACAACAAACAAATGAACACACGACAGGTCACACCCTCTCCACAGCAGCAACAAATGATCTGTCCAGAACAATGTGCTCCCAAATGTGAAATTTCCTGCAGGTCACGAGTGGTAAGCGCTGGCAGCAGAAGTGTGGAAGTCCCTGAGGACACGGGAGTTGACTGTTTGTGTTTGAGAGCAGCACGCACTCCTGTGTCAACAACACAAAGCAACAAAGCCACACTGCAGCTTCCATTGTTGCTTCAGTCACAGTTTGAGGATGGATATTTCTGATTTTGTTGGTAATAATATCTTAATTATTATTATTTTAGCCATAATAACATATCTTTAATATGAACTACTTTGTTCTAATTGTTTGATTCTCTGATGTGTTGTTTGTAAAATTAATATTGAAACTTAAAACTTAAATTTCTCCACTGTAGGACAATTGAAAAATCTCGTCATCTTAAACTTTTGTAAAAAGACCCACTTTGAGACAACTGCTGTTGTGAATTAGGCCTGCACAAAAATCACTTTAATTTAATTTGATTTGATTTTTTTGGAGCCAATACCGATGTTTTAATGGCCAATTTTGTCATTTTACTGTAGAGAAGTAGATTACACCTAACGCGTGGATAGAAAGACATTGATCAGATAGATTAATTATCTTTACGGGTGGTATCAAAATCGCCCTCATCCAAAATTGAGCATCTTAAGTGATCTGCCCTTTTGCCGCAGACACCATCTTACAACTTACGCCTCTCTCTCTCTCTCTCTCTCTCTCTGCAGAGCAATACATGCAGGCTTAAGTGGTAAGTCCCATTGTCAGAATCCCACGGTCTCCTTGGAGATGTGCCACTGCTCTTTCCAAATGGTCCATTGACATTTTCACAAAACCCGCCAGTATTCTTAAAGAAATCTCTCAAAAAACAAAAGTTTTTTTTTTTTTTTTAACATACTGTGATTCTATTCTATGTACCATATACATTCATAAGCAATTACAGTTGATAAAGCAAATCAAGTTAGAACACTTCAACAGTTTTTAATCATTATATATATATATATATATATATATATATATATATATATATATATATATATGAATGATGTTTTATTATTGATGTTACTTTTTTACACAATCTATGTTAATCACAAATGTTATCATGTCCAATCTGCACACTGTATTGGATATTAAAAGTCACGAGATGTACAAGCCGGCAGAGACACACAACTAGTGTATTATAATTGCCGGAGTATAACCAGCGATTTAACAATGCAGCCAATGTATGTATTCATATTTTGTTAAGTTAAGCTGTTATTCACGAAAGCTAACAGCGTACCACTCATTCTTGCTTCCCAGTGTGTTATAGCAGAGAGACAACAGCAGCTCGGCTTGTGTCTCCATGGCCTGCGACCAAAATAAATCAGTGACATGATAGCACCATATGAAGCAACTCCAAGGAGCAAAGGGACTGACCTCCTGCTTAAATATTATAATGAAAACTAATTTATAAGATAGTAACGCTAATAATAACCCCCTTTCTATTCATGCGGTATTCATGTAGCTACTCATGCTCTTCTCCCACTATGTTGTTTTAAAATGTAGACGAAGCCAGTGCGGCATTCAAGCCCATTTACCTCTTTGAAGAATTAATTAATCATGCTTTCAGTGCGCAAAATAATGTGACTCTTCTTTCATTTACAGCAATTAATCACTTAATTAGAAATAACATAACTTGTAAATTAAATTCTATTCTCAAAGGCGTATTTTATCTAATTATAACTGGAAAAATTACCCAAGCAATGAAATGGATTGTGCAAACCTGGTACGGAGTTTACTCTTTGTTCTAAGACAGAATAATATAATTTACTTATGAAACATGACTAATAAAAGAGCACTACGGTATACAACTATATTTATTCTTGTACGTACACATAGAAGATAAAGCAACAAAAGTTTTGTTGTTGTTTGGTCAGGCTGAACTGATAAAAGTTTACTTTAGATTCAATTTCATGTCTTTTCGCAACATTGCATCGTTTCCTGACCCAAGATTAAAGTTGTCTTATCCAACATCTGCATTCTTGTAAGTGCAGATATGCACAGTGGCAATTGTGAAGTTTTCAAGCAGTATATTCTGAGTTGCTGCAGAGATAAACCACTACCCCCTCCATCTCTACTGTGGTTTCCTGTCTCTACATTTCAGCACATAACCCATTCCACTTTTCTGCAGTTACTAACGCTAACCCTCTTTGTATTACTCAAATATGACTCAAAGAAGCACTCTGAAAACAGCCTCTTTTCTGCTACTTCTGGCCTCCATTCCACCAGGTAATTCTGGACTTCATGCACGCTATTCACTTGTAAAAAAAAAAATTGAAAAAAAATGGGGTATTCGTTCCCTATGGGGTTCAGATGTGTCTTGACTATTGGAGCGATAGGCTGTCTCAGTAATGCAATGATGTCATCTGCTCCCTCCTTGGACTGAAGCATCTAAAACGGACTACAAAGTGAATTTGTCTGTACTTACATCACTATCTGATGTGTTTGACAGGACTCCAGGATGTTAAGATTTTCCATAAGAAAGCTATGGAGGCATGGGTGGGGCAGAATGTGTCCTTACCCTGTGTTGTGGAAAACATACAAGACATCATAGTGAACAGCTTTGAATGGACCAAGAAAGAAAATAATTTCCAAAAGCTGGCTGTGCATGTGAAAGGACATGGCACCAATGATTTTTCATCAAATGTCAGTTTAAAAACAACTTACAATGACACACAACTAATAGGCACATATTTAGAACTTGTGAATGTAGACAAGGACCATGCTGGAACCTACGTTTGCAGCATTCATGCTTTTCCAACCGGATCGCTGCAGAGAGAAACTGAACTCAGATTAAAAGGTGAGGAATGCACCACTCTCCATGCTGTTTGCTTTATTATGCACATGTTTGATGAGAGCCACCAAAACCCATCTTAAACAGCTTTGTCCAGCGCATGAGCTACTTGTTACTTCTGGTTGCATCACAGCCGCTCCAGCACAGATCTCAAAGAGTATTTTACCATATGAGTGAGAAATGTACATCTCAATGCGTGCAAAAGAATGCAAGTCCGTGTCTCTCTCTTTGTGGGCATAGCATTGTCAATAACTGATAAATAGACAAAATTATTTATTAAATTTAGAAAAAATCCATGATAACTTGATCAGCAATGATCAGCAATGAATTCCAATACAGTGTCACTTATTGTGGAATGCATTATGTTTATGTGGATACCCCCAACGGTGCTCCTTCTGTAAGTGAATTGAATTTCTAGTATTTGAAAATGGAGTAAAGGAGTAAATAACTATTGAATGGTGCTACACACATACATGTCATTCTTTTCTCCTTTTTCCTCAGGTAAAATTGAGTGCGACATGAACAGCAGTATTGTAATCAATTTGGGGGAAAATGTGACCATTCAATGCTCTCATGACACTGAAGTCGCATACACATGGACCAAGGTATGACCAAGATGATGCCTCTTTGTCTTCTCTTGCCCATTCCAAATATTCCAATGACATTTTTTAGCCTATATTGTATCATGCAATTTCTACATAACCTCTGTGTGTTCTAAAAAAGCCGATACGCACTAAACCGCAATTTTAGGAAGAGTAGAATCTTGTGTGTTCACTTCACACTTTTTTACACAGGTCATCAAACACATACATAATTATTCCCTACAGGACGAGGTGGTGGTTTCAAACAGCTCGTCTCTGCACCTTCAGTCTGTGTCTGAAACCAGTGCTGGGATTTACACGCTGACAGCTCACACAGGAAACAGGCGTCTGAAACAAGAGTTCAAGATCAGCATATCTACAAACACCTCGGCCTCATGGTCAGGTGAGCTCTTCTTTCTCAGCAGCTTCGGTTCATCACAGTTCATTTTAATACAATCTCTAGGCAGCATTGAGATTCAAGCGTGTGGCCTTGAAGACTTAAGATATATCTGAACACATTTTATTTACTTTGCTACAGTTGAAAGAGTGTCTTGAATAAGCAATTGCCCACACTATGAAGACATGGTTAAAACAGGGGCAATTAAAAAAAAAAAACAATTTTCTTAATTTCACAGTAGGGTTTGGACAAAAAGTTTGTCTTTTCTTCTTTATTGATGTTGCAAAGTAACAGAGGGGAAAATGCATATAGACATCAAGCAGTCACATCCTGCCCTGGTTTCACTTGTTGCAATGATTGAACAGCAGAACAGACAGTAGCCTTACTTACGGCACCACCTGCTGGAAAATAGTAGTAATACAGTCTGAATTAAAAATAAATAAATCAATAACATGTATATATATATCTATATATATAAAGATTTTTATTTTTATTTTTTTTTCAAGTTGATGGTTCACCCACCCCCTGAACCATCAACTTTGAATATCTGCAATGTTCTTATCTAATTATTTAAACATGTAAATATGCTATTTCAATGTAAATAAGTCAATTATTTTCTCATTAAATGAATGTGTGCTTGATGCTTAAAAGGTAAATATTATGCCATATTTTAGAGATACATTTAATGCAAATGTATGTTTATATAATCCGTCAATAATTTAAAGTCACATATGTATACAATAATGCATATGTCTTAAAAATGAAATGTTAACTTTCTTTCCAGATGCTCCAACTCTATCTTTTGGGCACAACAGCAGCAGTCAGTCTGAGGCCAATAGTTTCTCTCCACTCACTACATTTGCAACAGAAAATGTGCTAAATGCAACAACAACAGCGTCTCCCATCTTCCACAGTCCAACAGTGAACTTAGAGAACTTAGAGATCACATCGGCCTCCACCACGTATGGACCAAGGGAACGCTTCCATGAGTCAGAAACAAGACAAAGTGTCAGTGACCAATCAAACATCTCCAGTACAACACAAAGATACAACCAATCAGAGAGCGTTGATCTTGTGAGTGAACCTTTAAACCACTCAGTAACCATACACACAACTCAGTCCCCAATGATCGCTACAAGTACAGAAAATGATCCACCTCTGAGCGATGGCCCTATCGATACAATCGATTTGACTGCAACATCCATGAGGACTTCATCACACGGAAATACTCCAGACACTTCGAATGTCCCGGTGGAAAAAGGTAAAAGTACATGGTCTGTATACTTAAATCGGGGGCACCCAGCTTTTAACTGAAACTAAAAAAAAAACATTTAATAAAATGCATCTAATAGTTCCTTGACATGTATTTTATATCAGCTTTTTCAAACAGAAAAGTGAAAAAGTGATGACTAACCGCAGCCAATCAGACCAAAGCATCAAATAGTGACTCACACAAAAGTATGCAAAATATGTCTGCTATTATGAAAACGGCAGCATGTTGAAATCTCTTTTGTTGAAAAATGTATACTTTTAGAATAATCTTTCTGGTGGAAGAATAAAATGTGTTAAAAAGTGAGGTACCCCAGCTTTAATCCAATCCTATTCACGTGTTCAAAATCATAGACATTTTTTTTTGTAAAGCATAAATTATATTCAAACATACCCAAAATAATAACAGCTCGGTCTTTTCAGATTTTTAAACCTGAGAACAAAAACTGTAAACTAAACCGCTGGGTTTTTTTTTTTTTTTTTTTACAAACAAAAGGTGGAGCCCTGACACTTACAGAGGTTTACTAAAATCAATAACAGAATAAATAAAAGAAAAAGATGTTCAAAAAAGAATGGAAATGTTTGTTGGAAGCCAGACTGCTGCGTCACAAAACAGTTTAACAAACATCAACAATCAGTTTGCAGACAAGCCCGTTATGTTCATTTTACAACCTATGTTTTTGTTAATACAATCAAATAGCGTGTTGCTGCAAGCTTTATCTGCTTGCGTTTTAAAGATATTACATAGTTATATAATGACATAGCAGCAACAAACAGTTATATGCAATCTATATGAATACAACAGAATTTGACTTAGTGAGATTCAAAACAGAAAAAACTAAACTTTAACACTTTTTCCTTAAGATCCTGAAGCAGTAAAGTTTACACACATCAAACCTCGGGCCAGGAGCTCCCTAAAACTCATTTAAATGAAAGAAAAGATCTGTGGACCAGCTTTAGAGCCTCAGGCAAACTCAGCAAAGGTATATTCATTGATCCTTCGCACACATTCAGATGTTAAGATAAGAACTTTTATTCGTTCCACGGTGGAGAAGTTAGGGGGATGAGAAGCACAAAGCTGCGGGCTCTTCACCTGCGCCTCAAAAAACAGAAAAGAAAAGAATGTCAGATAATTATTATGGATTTCAAATTGAGTAACTTGATAATTACAATGAACTGACTCAAGGACAAGAAAACATTTCACATTATACTTTGTTAAGAAAAGGATTTGGCTATACTATCATCAAAATCCATCCATCCATTTTCTTCCCCTTAATCCATTTCTGGGTGGGAGGGGGGGCAATCAGCTGCCACCTAATTCACAGAGCACAAGCCCCTAACTGCCTTGATCACTGCCTTGATCACTGCGGGGGCTTCAGGGTGGGAGTCAGTGAAGAAGGTCTTGCGGTGGGCTCGAACCCACAACCTTCAGGCTCAAGGGCCAATGCTCTAACTGAGCCACTAACACACAATCCTTCACTAAGGTATGATCTGACATGTGGCTACTGTGGCCTTACCTCAAAAGAATGTGTTGTCTTGTAGATCCTGCCGACGCTGGAGGGGGGAGCCACTTGGGGTTGACGCTGATGATAATTGGCGGAGTTTTGCTGATCGGCGTGGCTGTCTTTCTGTACAGACGAAGACTCATCAAAGCAAGGTTATTTCTTGTGTCTAACCACTATTGACCTATGCGATGCTTTTACTTGTTTTACCTGTAATTGCCCGTTTCATCTTTCCAGGATGGATGGTCCTCCCCCTTTCAAACCCCCTCCTCCTCCTCTCAAGTACACAGCAGTCAGGAATCCTCCACAGGACTTTCCCAGAGACAGGTGTCACTCTGTAGTAGTGCAATGGAACAAAGACACATTTGTTTAAGCATCAACAGGACATACTGTATAGTGACTCACAGCAAAACCAAAAAAGTGAAGAGGTCATAGTTCTTTATGTAAATAGACATGTTTGTTTTGTTTTTATCTGTTTGCATTTCAGATTGATGCGATACAATGACTACCGACAGTTGTATTGGGCAATCATAGCACTTTCAAGTGTCTGTGGTTAGGTTGTATTTGTATTTTAAATGTCAGTGTTACGCAATACTGTTATGAATAAACATGGTTTTGTTTTTGGAGCAATGCAATCAGATAAACTGCGATTATAGATTCATGTTTAGTTTTGAAGGTATTTTTGTCAGTGATGCGCAACAATGGATTTACTTCACTGCAATCTAGAAGGTAAATTTTTCTTGAAAAACTATTTGGAGTCATTGTAACTGTGTTCATTTTCTTATTATCTGTCCCTTTTGCGGATTTGTAGTTTTATTTTCCTTATTAAACTGATTTCATTATTTACCTTTATACTCAGCTAAACATATCTAATTGGGCAAGGTGGGGGGTTTGGGGAGGGGGGTTGGGAGAGCACACAAAAAAAACACAGATTTTACTTGTTGTCAATAACTTTCATTAACTGAATTTAATTTTGTGTAAATAAACTATAAAATACCCATCCATCCATTCCATTCATTTCTGAATCCATTTCTGGGTCGGGGGGGTGGCAGTCAGAGCTGCACCCAGTACACAGAGCACCAGCCCCTCACTGATCCTCCTGCAGGTGGTGAGTCCACAGGAGCCTTGATCTTCCAGCAGGGGCTTCAGGCAAAGTGGGGTTAAGTGTCTTGCCCAAGGATACAATGACAGCAGTCATCAGTGGGAGTCTTGAAATACATAAATAAATAGATTGAATTTCTCTTGATAAGTAACATTAAAACATGTGTCCATAATGCAAATTTGTTTAAATCAAGACATGTTCCGTTGTAGAACTGCTGATCTAGAGAAGTGTGATGATGGGACTGGTCAAACAGTTGGTCACACTTGTGGCTTTCATTTACCTGTGATTTAGGATATCCTGCCCACAGGCTCATTCAGTTCATGTACTGTACAAGTTTGAGACTTCAACCACAAACCACAGTCTGAACAAAAGTAGCCAGGAAATCCTTACTTCATCTATACAGTGTTGATGGTGAGTGTCTAGGTCTGGAGATCATTGTTCAACAGCACTCTTGTAATCTGGGAATATGTACAGTACTCTTAGTTAGGACCACATTGGAGCTGCTCTTGATCAAGGCAACATCACGTGGTTTTTTTATTTAACTTATAAACAATAGTGAGCTGATGGAGAGAAAATCGGAAACTCAACCCAATAATTCATTAATTTTTTTCTTGTATACCCCTAAATCAGAACAGTAGTTTTCTCAGAGAACTTTACAAAACCATTGAATTTGCCAACACAGAGTTCAAACACAAAGAATAAAGAAGACATAGATATTAATCACAATATCTATCAAACTTGTGACCTTCTTGCAGTGAGGTGAGAGCTCAATAATGTGAATTCTTTTCTTTCTGGTGAAATAGACCATACTAATTTGGTCTATATAACGCAGTGTGACAAAACTTCAAATGAACTTGATGCGTTGTGCATTGAGTCTTGGAAGCGTGAGTATCAAATGAGGTTACACTGTTTCCTGTTTGCAACTGAAGAGCAGAAAGTAGAGAAAATAAAAATAGACTGCGCTGTAGCACACCTTCATGATTCCAGACAGTGACGAGCTGTAGTCCGTAGGCCAAACGGGGAGATACAAGACACCGGCCTGGGTCAGACAAATGCAACATGTCAGGTAGGAAACGTACTTCTGGAAAATTTAAATGGGTTACCAGAAAAGTTATGTTTTGTAAAGCTGACCCTAAACCTCTGTTTTATATTATTTTGATGGCACTTTTATACCTCAAATGTCAATTGTAAATGTGTTAAATAACTAATTATATCCTTTCAGAATGCAAATTCTTTTTGCCGCTGCTGTGTCCGGTCCTGGTGGTCTCACTGGTTCTAAACGTTATATTCTGTGTACTTCGACACAAACGCTCAGCACAATGTATGTTTATCTCGTTGTTATGTATTTACATTTTCCTTTGATACCATGCATCATTGAAAATTTTATTTTCCAGATAAAAATTCTTCCGGAAATTGGTAGGTATTTTTCTTTAATCTATACTAACTATACGTATAACATCACAAATCCAAAGACATTTTCAACATGTTTCAGAGAGACAGAGCACAATAAATAATAATATTGAATAGGTATTGAATGAACGTACTAATAATAATTAGTACGTTCATTCAAAACCTACTCAAAAACAATACAACCAATTTATTTTTTGTGTAGTACAGACTATATCTTTTATATTGATTTTTAAGACTGAAAAACTCGTTTTTATTCTTTTACAAGTCTTTCAGAGATAGAAGCGAGTCTTCCAGGAGATGCCAATAACTATGCACCAGAGGAAAACTACTTACAACAGGAAAACCCTATTTACGGCAACATTACTAGTAAGAAAAAAGAAAAAAAAAAGTCCCTTTCCATGTACATTTTGTAAATATGAAAGAAAATTATGTGTTTTCTTTATCAGTATCTACAGATGTTTGAGCATGTGTCTCTGTTTAGGTACTGTTTTTTATGAAGCGATGGCAGTGAGAGCAAGACGACACGCTGAGGTAATGTTGAAATACAAAAAAAAGAAAGACACTTTTTAAAAAAAACCTCAAAGAAGACCTAAAAAAAATACAGAAGCCAAACTGACTAAAAAGTGTAGCTAAATTATACACAAAATCTGCAAAAACATTTTATTTTCATTCTTTGATAAATAGAAAACAAATAGAACCATCACCCAAGCATTTCAGTCCTGCAGACTGACCAAACATCTGACTTCTTTATCGGCCTCAGCCTGAGATCGCGATTTAACTGTTCATTGAGGAACAACCATCATCTGAGTTAAATATGTTCTACATGACAGGTGACATGTTTTGGAATTCAGTCTAAAATGTGAAACCAATAGCACTTTACAAAGTTGTCAATTCGCCAACAACAGATGAGAGAATCGAACCGTTCGAAGGCAGGAAATGCAATAATAAAAACAAGCACATAGGTCTTATTAAAGAAGCTATACCCAATTTATTTTCTATTGAGTTCATAAAAATGTGTATCACTACATACTGTACATGTTGTATTAAAATCCAACCAAACTGTTTTGGCGACTATTATGACCATTGACTGTTTTAGAAATCTTCATATTTATTTCAATTTCTTTTATTTATTTTTTATTTATTTAATATATTGAGTATGGATGTGCCAAAAACACAATGATAGCACAATATTACATTTATTTAGATAATCCTCGTCTGTTACTTTTTTTTTGTTTGTATTTGAAAAATAATACATATAATAAAAAGGTAAAGTTTCTTTGCATAAAATATGTATTACAATATCCTACCACAAAAAAAAGGTGTCTAGCAAATATGCCAAATACTTAAATACAAATCACATTGAACCCATCAGTCAGCTTTGTTCAATCATGTCAACAAAAAAATATTCTTTATTAATGAGTAATTCATAGATAATGTTGAGATATGATACAAGAAATAATCATTATATGGCTGAACTATCTTAAACATGTCAGCATCAAAATGGAATGCCTAGACACCAAATAAGCACGGTCATGGTAATGGGATGGCAAATTACAATTCCATCTGAAGATATGTCAAAAATCTCATAAATCTTCTTGAAGTCATAACTTACCCTGCAAATATTTGGAGTACATACCCCAGGAACAAATGCAGGACAAATAGATTGACAAATAACTACCTTAACTTAACTTTTCTCCGATTTAAATTATGGAAATGGTGCCTGAATATATATATGCCCGGGATCATATATGACCCCACTAGGTTAAATGTGCAAACATTTCCATAAATGTTCTCAGACCTTCCTGCATCGCCAAGGAACAACTAAAAAATTATAGATATATTTTAAATGATTAGGATTTACTGTCCTTTTATAACAGATCACTGAGTCTTCCATATATTGTAAGTGTTTTACTTTCACCCACTCCTTTTCAAACATTTTCTCAGAATTCATGTGAAGTTAAACATTGTGTCTGTATATACATGTTGGAAATAAAAAAATAAAAAACATTTGTTTCTCACTGTGAGTTTTGAATTGAACAACTAATAAAATAGTATTATTAGTTGTATAATATTTTGTTACAAATCCTATTTGTATACCACTTTACCACTTACCAACTGATTTAAACTAAAAATAACTATTAACCATTTTATTTATTCATAATTTTGATGTGAGACTGTCAAAAGGTAAACCGCTGGAATGTTATAAGAAGTAGTATAAGAAGACTACAACAAAAATCCATAACAGAAAAAGATGTAAGAACAATGTAGGAAAGTCAAGTCGCTGTATATAACGTTTAGGTGCATTAAGTGTTTTGTTAAATATATAAATATGTAAAACTGTACACATGAGGCTCGTGTGAACACCGACATAGATGCATACCATGTGCAGATTTAGCAGGTTGACCAAATGTTCTTTCAAAACGGAAAACACATTGCAGCTCAAATGTTTGTGGTCGAACTAAGATATTTCAATCTAAATCTAAAAATAACTAACAAGTGCAACTTGAAGCCACAAGTGGCAATGACAGCCCTCGCCCGTCCTTGCAACCGCCTCCCAGACATCCGAATCAAAGGAAACAAGGGCAAAACACTAAAACTTTGAGGAATATCAAAACAGTGCCTGACAAGTAGATACATTGAATGTGTCTTGGTCCGGAATTTAAATGTTTAAATGAAAAACTGCATTCAAAAAACAACTTCTAAGTACATTTGAGAGAACCTACATGGTAGCTGGTGCTGTAGTGGTTTTTTTATTTTTTTATTTCAGCTCAGTAGGCCCAAATGGGTGGACCTTAGAAATAATCGAAAACCCCCATTTCCATCCATCCGTTTTTTTCTCCTTTGTCCATTTCTGGGTCGGCGCGCCCAATTCACAGAGCACCAGCCCCTCACTGATCCTCCTGCAGGTGGTGAGTCCACAAGAGGATAATCGAAAACACGTTATCTGGAATATCAAAGCACAAAAACGGTCATGAAAACCCAGGGTTTTTGATTAATCTCTTTTTCAATCAGTCTTCAATCAAAAAACAATAGCCCTCTACAATACTTTGTATAGGCGCAGGCTAAAAATAGCGAAGCATAAGACACAATCTTACAAATAATCCCTTTCTGTGTGCAGCCTGCTGAGTCTGACGTGAATTATGCATCACTGGATCTGATGTTGGCCATGAAACGGAAGAGGCAGAGTCATCGACGAGGCCAGTGTCCACCTGACCGGCTGCAGGACCGTCTCACTCCACCTCTCCTTATGGGACAAGTGGACAACAGCTTCCCCCCCACAGAGCACGACCCCATGGAGCCTCACGGCACTATCTACCTGAACAGCCACCAGATCGACATGGAGCGAAGGGACAACAACGAGCAGAGGGTCTCAGGTTGGAATCCTGATGCAGAGAGACAGGAAGAAGACAGGGATGAAGAATGTGGAAACGACCAAAGACTGAAAGATGAAAACAAAGATGACTCGGACCACATGGCAGGTTCTGATGCTCACCAATATTAATATGTTTCATGCTGCACTGACAAGGACAACGAACTGAATCTGACGTCTATAAAATGAGGGTGAATGTATTATATTGAGTTAAGAGTGTATATTAAAATAAAAAAATACTAATTTCATTATTTTGTGTCAATTTCATTTAACCATGATTATTAGATAGCCTAATGTTTCTGGATTGATTGTAGAACTGATAACATCAAAAGACCAAATTCTGACTGTGTACCTGAAAATATAAGACATTTAAACATGCAAATTACACATTATAACTACTGTCACTTTTACAGTTGCTCCAAACGAAAAAAAAAAAAAACATGTTAAGTAATAACAAATGTGATATCGTTGCTTTCACATGTTTGAAGTAGGAACCATGGAGGACCACAGTTACGTAAAAGAACCATGGGGGACCATAGTTATGTAAAAGAACCATGGAGGACCACAATTATGTAAAAGAACCACCTGAACAAGAAGCTTTATAGAAAAAAGAATTTTGCAAAAAACTAGAACCCGGCTTAGTAACAGCAAACGTGTTAACATGGCAAAAACACGAAAGGCAGAGTTAAAACCTTGCTGTAGTTTGTACACATCAGACTCACACATGAACAATACGTAATTAATAGTTACCTAATGTAACTTAAGTTCTACGAATAGGTGCGTAGTCCCTTAGCGGACTTCGCTAGTGGGATATCACGTGACCCACAGGTCACAGACGCTAGAGAGATCAACAAAAAAAGCTCCAATCACTAGCGACCCTCCTCTATAAAGGCCCCTGCTCCATAGCCGCGCCCCCTCTTGAACTCTGCCAAGCCGGGCTGGCCTGATGGGCTCGTAGCTAAGGGACTACGCACATATTCATAGAACTTAAGTTACATTAGGTAACTATTAATTCTACGTCATGGTGCTATTTCCCTTAGCGGACTTCGCTAGTGGGACACAACGCGGAGGCCGTAGGAACATGTACTCCCAGCAGGCCAGCGAAGAGTGATTGGAGCTCCGCCCGAGCAAGACCCTCACAGTGTGAGAGGACTCAGGGCAGAAGAAGCAATTGCGTGTTACAGGGCCACTCCTCCCAAGGATACCCCCAAGTAACACAGACCGAAGGTCACCCGTAGTCCCAGGACGCCTCTCCCAAGAGCTCCTGACGTGGACTACCTGACTGACCAAAAACACACACATACCGCACCTGCAGGACGCCTCTCCCAAGAGCTCCTGAACCAGGGCGGAAAGTCAACCGTAGGCCCCCTAAGAGGAGGAACCTCACGGTTTCAACTCAGTCCGCTGCACTCAGCACGGAAAAGATAAGACCGGACGAAAGAAGAGGACGACGCCCAAGAAGCCGCACGGCAGACGTCCTCGACCGACGCCCCCCTGAGGAGGGCCGTAGAGGCCGCCACCCCACGCGTGGAATGCGACCTGAAGCCCACCGGGGGGGCCAGACCCTGAGCCTGATACGCCCGCCGCACAGCCGTGGCGACCCAGTGCGCCAGCCGCTGAGCCGACAGCGGGGCGCCCCTGTTTTTGGGGCCCAGACACACAAACAGCTGATCAACCCACCTGAATGAAGACGTCATGGCCAGGTAATGCCTCAGCATTCTGACAGGACACAGAAGGTGCCGCCGCTCCTCCTCGGGGGAGGCATGCGGCGGCGGATGGAATGCCCTAATTCTGATCATTCTCGACCTGAAGGCCGACGTGATGACCTTAGGGAGAAAAGCCGGATTGGGCCACAACTCCACCAGGCTGTCGCCCTCTCCAAAGGACAGGCAAGACGCATGGACGGAGAGCGCACACAAGTCGCCCGCCCTTTTAGCAGACGCCAACGCCAGCAAGAGGGCAGTCTTAAAAGCAACACACTCGGGACTCGCCTCCGCCGCCGGTTCAAAAGGCGGGCCCGACAGACCCCTAAGGACCACCCTGAGGTCCCAAACCGGGGGCAATCTCTAAAGCGGGGGCCTCCTCCTGCGCGCCCCCCGCAGAAAACGTTTAACCAACGGATGAGGGCGGGCTGTGAACCCCCCGAATCCGTCGTGACCTGAGGTAATGGCTGCTGCGAACACCGCCAAGGTGGCGACAGCCCTCCCCATTGTCAAAAGGTTCCTGTAGGAATCCCAGGACTCCCTCCAGCGGGCAACGCCTGGGATCCCAGGAGCGAGAACCGCACCAGTCGCTGAAGAGCCTCCATCTCGTGGCGTAGGCCCTCACAGTGGACGGCGCCCTTGCCCCCTGAATAGTCTCCACCACCGCCTGGGGAAGACCCAGGTCTACGAGGTTCTGCCTCTCAGTCTCCAAACCCAGAGCCTGCGGCCGATTATCGGGCGTGAAAACAAGGGCCCCCCCCCCTGGACTAGAGCCCCCGGCTCGTCCGGGAGGGCCCAGGGCTCCATCACCGCCATCCCCCTCAGGAAGGGGAACCACCGGGCATGTGGATTGTCCGGAGCCACCAGGATCACCGACCTCCTCTCCTGTTCGATCCTCCGCAGCAGGACCGGCAGGAGACGCACTGGTGGAAAGGCATACAGCAGGCCCTCTGGCCAGGGGTAGTGGGCCAGGGCGTCCACGCCTAAGGGCGGCTCGTCCGCGGCCCTTAAGGCGAACCAGGACGGGCACTGTGCGTTCTCTGCACTGGCGAAAAGGTGGACCACTGGACGACCGAACCTCCGCCAGACCTCCGCAGCTACCCGTGGGGCCAGGCCCCACTCGTCCTGGAGTGGGCCCCCCCTGGACATCCTGTCGGCCCCCACGTTCCGGACACCCGGGACGTGGCGCGCCCTCAGAGACAGAAGGTGAAGCGCCGCCCACAGCAGCGTCACCGTCGCCATGCGATGGAGGGCGGGGGATCTGGTGCCCCCCTGCCTGTTCAGATAAGACAGTGTTTTTCAACCTTTTTTGAGCCAAGGCACACTTTTTTCACTGAAAAAATCTTGCGGCACACCTCCAGGAGAAAATGTAAAAATGTATACAGTACTAATGTAAAAAAATATATACTGCAGTGTTTTTCAACCTTTTTTGAGCCAAGGCACACTTTTTTCACTGAAAAAATCTTGCGGCACACCTCCAGGAGAAAATGTAAAAATGTATACAGTACTAATGTAAAAAAATATATACTGTACATACTCTGTGTGATATATAAAGTATATCTTATCTTATCTTATAATGTATACAGTATACTCTGTAGCCTATATTCACAATATACAGTTATTCTCATCAAAATGCTTAAGTCCAGGCCTTGACATTAAGCTTTATTTAATATTTCTCGATACAATTAACAAGAGTTTGGGAATAAAGTGGCACTAATTGTGTGGAAAAAAACTAAGAAAATCCACTCTCTGCCCAAATAGTCAAATAATAACTCACACAAAGAACATGCATTGTTAGTGCATGGGAAAAATTTAGGTATCCGAGCTTTAAAATTCAGGAGTTTTGGATGAGGGACACGGGAGGTCCTGAACGCGAGTCCATGGTTCTGTCCGGTCCGCATGTCTGTGGTTCTGTCCACTCGACTATGGTCTGCGCTCGGTACCCAGTTCAGAAGTGCGTTCGCGAGAGCTGTTGTACAAAAATTGTACATTTCATAGTTAAAGCACTACAACGCGGCCACAGCTGCCCCGGGGCAGAGCGGAGGATGTCAATCCTGTTCAGAAACGGCATAATTCATTTTCAAAAACGTCTCTATCACTTTCACTTCTCACTCGCCACAAAGCTCTTGTCTCGCTCCCTCCCACATAGAGCCCTGCACGGGCCTATTATCTGGGCCCGAGCCCGGCCCTGGCCAGAGGGGGTGGCGCCCCAGCCCGGCCCGGCCCGATATGGTTTCTGAATTTTCAGGCCCGAAACCCGCATCAAGCCCGCCTTTTTTTTTTTTTTGTAACCTCCCATAACAATGTTTTAGCGTAGTATATAGTGCCGCGCACTGATATGAACGCAGACTTAGCTAGAGGGCGGAGTTATACATGGTAGTGATGTGTTGCAATGAGTTCTGTGTGTGCGGAGTGGTGCAGAGTGAACGGCCGCATCTGTATGATGCCCCCGATGCTGCAACACACCTGCACATTACATAAGTAATGCTATGTGCCGTCAATGACAACACTACACAGAACAACAAACACTACAGCGTGATAGAACGCTATATTCAGTGGGTGCGTTCGTAAATGTATTCTGCCGCTCTGAAAATGAAGAGCCCGAGCCCGGCCCGTGTCCGAGGTCATTATGCGGTCATCGGCCCGAAGCCCGGCCCTCGGGCTGTCGGGCCGTCGGGGCCCTCGGGCCAAGGGCTCAAGTGCAGGGCTCTACTCCCACATTTGTTGGTCGCATCCAATTTGACCTTTCTCGCCACAATGCTGACCTGTTACAGCCAGTGGTCGCATCCAATTTTTCAGTTTCAAAGTATTTAGCTATCTGCTGCCATCTACTGATTTGAAAAAGTATTACATGGTTACTCCACAGTTCAAAACAAGTCACCGCTCGTCAACAGCGAATGCAGTTATTTTTAGACAAAGTAGACAAATTTCTCACGGCACACCAGACAATATCATACGGCACACTAGTGTGCCGCGGCACAGTGGTTGAAAAACACTGAGATAAGAGACCACTGTGGTGTTGTCTGAGCACACCATCACGTGTCTCCCCTGCAGCTGAGGAGCAAAGTGCAGCAGTACCCTGTGTACTGCCTCCATCTCCAGAAGGTTGATGTGGCGGGCTGAGTCCGACCAGCAGCCTCCTACAGAGCTCTGGCCGAGGACCCCGCCCCAACCCTCGAGTGACGCGTCCGTGAACACCTCCACGTGAGACACGGCGCAGGCCAGAGTTACTCCGTCCCGCAGATAAGCCTCCCCCCGTCCCGGGAGGGGTGAAGCCTGAGGCGAAAATTCCTCATGTGGAGAAGGCCTCGCCGCACCACAGCATGAGCCGCCGCCATCATCCCCAGCAGGGACTTGAGGCGCCGAGCGGGGACCCTGGGGCCCGCCAGAACCTCCCGGGCCAGACGGGTAAAGTTCCTCCGTCACAAAGCCCAGGCGCTGTATGTGGGACAGGACCCAGTGCGTGTGACTCACGGCCACTTCCCTGGATGAGGCCAGTATTAACCAATCGTCTATGTAGGTTAATATTCTTACCCCTGCGCGTCTGAGCGGCTCCAGTGCCGCCTCCACGCACTTTGAGAAGTTCCGAGGCGCGAGCGCGTAGCCGAAGGGGAGACGGCAGTACTCGTAACTCCTCTCTCCCACTGCGAAGCGCAGGAACCTCCTGTGTTCCGGAACTGTCGGCACGTGAAAGTAAGCGTCTGTCAAGTCTATGGAGGACATCCAATCTCCCTGCCTGACACACTCGAGGAGCTGTTTTGTGGACAGCATCCGAAACTGCGGTTTGGAAATGCACTCGTTCAGAACGCGCAAATCCAAAATGGGACGCACCCCGCCTGACTTCTTTGGCACCAAGAAGTAAGGGGAGTACAGCCCCCTGGTGGCGTCCTGTGGGTCTACCTCCACTGCTGCGCCTCGACTCAGCAGAGAGGAGACCTCCGCTTGCAGTGCCACTAATGATCCCCGTACCTGAGAGCATGCTGCCCGTACGCCTCGGAATGGTGGTGGCTTTCGGGAGAATTGCAGTGCGTAACCCCTGCGCAATGTCTTCTCCAGCCACGGATCCGTCAGTAATCCCTGCTCCCTCCAGATGCTGTAGAAGTCTGTGAGGGGCGGAACGGGAGCTGGAACACGAGACGTCACAGCCCCGCCCTCTCCTGGTGTTCCTGGCAGGGAGGGGGGGGTGGACGAAAGGGCAGGGGGGCCCCCTGCGTCATACCGTGTGCGCCGGGGGCGGTCACGTGTCCTGCAGGCCCGACGTCATAAGTACGGGCCTGCTCATACCACGTGACTCGACTGCTGCGCCCCCCCCCCCTGGCTCTTGCCTCATGGAGGGGGGGGCGAGCCCCTGGAGTGGGAAACCCCGTGTTAGCCTCGTAGCTCAGAGGGGCTAGCACACGTTCGGCCGAAGCACACACATCACTACTCACCAGATCCCTCCGCCTGAACTCTCTCTGGGAGGGCATAGCATGGATCAGAGGACCGGAGCTCGTAGCTCGCGTAGCGCGCTGCACACCCTGCTCTGGGGGCTGCAGGCCTAGCGAAGCAACGTTATGGGCCCGGGAAGTAACACAATCAGATTGCACATTAGACATGTTACGTACCCCCAAATGAGACTCAGACAACGAGTACTGACAAAATGCCGGTCGGCCTTTATTAAAAGAATTCTTGCCACCCCGACCTCCACTACCATAGGGAGGCCGGGGGTGGGTGGAGGGCCATGCGGACTGAATCCTTGATGTCCGGGACACCACCGGTCCAGGACCAGTCCTGCACGCTGCAATACATGCCGTACCCCAGAGCAGGCCTCTTGGCTGCTAGGGGCTTTGGCCACTCACGTGTCGCGTAATGGACGATCGGGTCCATCCGCGGGCACAACGTGGGTTGTATCCTCCTCCTCCCTCGAGTGGTGGCGCCCACAGAGGTGAAGTCCTCCACCCTCTGGATTGGCTGCGGTGGCAGAGGGGCATCCATGATGGCCGCCGCGGAGGAGTAGACCCCAGGCATGTGGTCCAGAGGAAAGCGGTCCGGCTCCGGGTTCGAAACCACCTCGTCCAGGGTGAGGAGAGAGCTGATCTCCGAAGCCTCTCCGTCCTCACAGTCACCCCATTCCGCGGGCACAGGCGGAAGGTCGAGTGGGGCCCAGTCAATCTCAGACTCCTCGTCCTAAGAGGAGTCCGGACGGGGCGCTGCAGCGGCGAGGAACGCACGCCTGCGTTCGCTCTCCTCCCTGGGGAGAGCGAGACACGAGGCGCAGCTAGCGCTCAACGCCGCATGGCCCGGGCCCAGGCACATGAAGCAGCTGGAGTGCTGGTCCTTGCGCTGGAGCCTGACTCGACACGCCGAGCAACGACGACGTCCAACGAGGGCGAAGGGGAACTCGGACGAGCAACAGAAGACATCTCTCAGAATGAAGTGAGTACTGTGGTAGATCTCAATCGGCGCCAGAGTGAAAGGGCGCGGCTATGGAGCAGGGGCCTTTATAGAGGAGGGTCGCTAGTGATAGGAGCATTTTTTGTTGATCTCTCTGGCGTCTGTGACCTGGGGGTCACGTGATATCCCACTAGCGAAGTCCGCTAAGGGACGTAGCACCATGACGTAGAACTGTCTTCACACCGACAGTAACTTTCTTCACACCGACAGTAATTTTCTGAGTTTCTTCACACCGATAGTAACTTTTTTCACTGACTTCACACTAGTTTCAACAGAACTTAACGGGTGGCAGCCGATGCGGTCAGATGCGGGAAACGATCCAGGGGATAGGGCTCGCGTTGCCCCGCGTCCTGGGAGTGGGAGGATTGGGCATCCTCATCGCAGGACTTCACCAATTCCCCCTCATCGTAGTCGGACCTTGGTCCAGATCCGGAGCCTGACAGCTCCGAAGAACCAGGGCGGAGGGTGATACACCATGAGCGATGCCACCATGGGCATCAGTCCAGTCGGCGTTGAGTAACCCACTGCGTCTATCTCATTCTTCCCTGGGGAGCGCTAGGCAAGCCACACAACTGGGGCTTTCCTCAGCGGCATGACGCCAGCCCAGGCAGAAGATACAGGACTCGTGGCGGTAAGACTGGGAGAGGGCCGCTGGGCATGAGTCGCAGATCCGCAGCCTGACACCGGAGGGTGACAATCCTTCAGGCGTGGCGATCTTGCTTGAAGACATCCTTGCTACTGAATCGAAGCTTCTCTTATGGTGCTTTCAGACTGCAAACGCTCAACGCCTTCGCTCAAACAGACGCGCATTGTCTAGTTTTCAGACGCAGGGGTCTTCACACCAGAACGTGACAGAGATGCCACCCAAGTCTCATAGCACCAGCCCCTCACTGACCCTCTGCAGGTGGTGAGTCCACAGGAGGATGGCTGCTCTCTGAGAGTGAGCATAGCCTTGATCTTTCAGTTGGGGCTTTGGGCAAAGTGGGGTTAAGTGTCTTGCCCAAGGACACAACGACAGCAGTCATCAGTGGGAGTCGGTGGAGAAGGTGCAGAGGTGGGAATTGAACCCACGACCTTCTGGCCTTAAGGCCAATGCTCTACCAATAAGCGGATTCGGCATCTCGCTGCGCGCAGAGTATGCTGTTCCGGGTCAAAGGTCAGGACTACCCAAAAATGTAAACATGGCCGAGTCTGACAAAGATATTGAATATTTTGAGCGTTGTAAAGTGGATGTTTTAAAAGAATATTGTAAGAGACGCGGACACAGTGTTACTGGGAAGAGGAAGAAAGAACTGGTGGCCCTCACTTGGGCATTGTCATTTCAAAAAGCGCCTATAGTTTTAACAAAACAGCAGGAACGAGAGGCTGTCAACCTTGATTATATATCTCTGCTCGAGATCGATGTTGACAGTTGTCAGATGACAATTCCAGATCCCTTGCAGCTGAGAGAAGGTTGGGAGAACGAGTCGACAGCAGCAAATAAATGGCCCCCCTGCATGTACATAGATATAAATAACTATCTGACTCGCAAGGACGAGCTAAACTTGCTAACAAAACTTGCTAACGACTATAAAGAAGGTAACTTAATTTTAGCACTTTGTTCTACCACTCTACATTTATGCTAACTTCCCCAACCCCTTTATATATTAATTGATTTAAATTATATATTTGTGTTTTACTTCTATTATTGTTTCCCTTTTTAAATCACACCAGCTTATTATAAAATAAAAATACAGTTTTCTTTTTCAGGCAAAGCATTTAGCTATTTTGCTTCTCAAAATGCTTGGGTGAAGGAGGTTTTCTACCATGAAGTTTCAAAAGATTCCAAGATATGCTTCTTGAAATGTGACTGCACGCCATCACAACGAGTCAACAATGTTCCACACAAGTTATGGGTGTGTTTTGGGAAAGCAAGTGGTACCATATACAGTGCTTATTGCACTTGCTTTGCTGGGTAAGTATGAAGTTGTTGTGTGTGTATATTTTTATCCAGTTTAAGTGCAGAAAATTAGGTCTACAGAAATTTTTTTATTTATGTTTCTTGTTGGATTAAGTCTGTATTTCTTTTTCAGACTGGGTTCAACATGCAACCATGTCGCTGCATTGTTGTTTAAAGTAGACTATGCCTGGCAGCACGGATTAACCTGTGCACACAAGAAGGCATGTACTTCCATGGAAAATCAGTGGCTCACACCTATGCTGAAGAGCATCGAACCAATGAAGCTTGAGGACATGGTTTTTGCAAAACCACATTATACACCCAAAAGGCGAGATGTGAAGCAGGGGTATGCTGTTCGCAAACTATTCTCGGTAAACCGCAGCACACGCCAAGAACCTGCAATGTCATTAGATGAATTTGCTGCAGTCCTCATGCCAGAATGCCCCTCTGCTGTGGCCTTTCAGTATGCCCTTCCTGATGCCCAACCCACTTATGAAGTTTATGATGACATAAATGTTTGCTTAAGTGAAATGTGCATCACGTCAGTTAACCCCCCACCTACTTTAACCAAAGTTGCAGAAAAGTACACGACAGCCGAGGAGTTGTGGAGCAACCTACCACAGTATTCCACTGAGGAGGTATCAAGCCTCGAGGCAGCAACAAGGGAGCAGGCTGTCTCAGAACTGTGGAAACAGCATAGAAATGGCCGAATAACAGCATCAAAGGCTCATCATGTGTGGAAGAGAATGAAAACTCAGGATGCTGAAAAAGGTTGTCATTCACTGGTATCTTCCATTACTGGAAAGGCCTTTGTAAATCCCAACATACCAGCACTCAAGTACGGAAGGGTGAATGAGCCATTTGCTGTGACAGCTTATATGTCATCACAAAAAGCATCCCACTCAAATCTTAAAGTCACACAGTGTGGGTTATTTGTGATGCAAGACCACGTATTTGCAGCTGCTTCCCCGGATCGTTTAGTGTCATGCTCCTGCTGCGGAGAAGGACTTCTAGAAGTGAAGTGTCCTTTCTCTGCTGCCAATCAGCCAGCAAATGTGAAGCATGTCACTTATTTGGAGATTGTTAATGGAAAGACACATCTTAAGCATATGCATGAATATTATTCCCAGGTGCAGTATCAAATGGGAGTCACAAAACGACTTTGGTGTGATTTTTTTGTGTACACCAAGTCGGACTGCTTTGTAGAACGAATCCTGTTTGATGAGACTCATTGGTTGGAATTACTAACTTCAGCGACAGACTTCTTCAAAACCTATATCTGTGATGCACTTGTGAATAAAGTTGAGTAACAAAGAAATGACCTTCTGGAGAAATACATTTATTTGCACAACATTTAATTTAGTGTTTTAATGCAAGGCAGAGAAAATGTAATGTTCCCGTTAACGGAAAAAAAGAGGATGTTTTAATAATTCAAATTATTTACAAAAAAATGTGGCCACTGACATTTTCTTATTGTATAACCTTACTCTTAGGTTTTTATTTAACAGTAGAGTGTAAAGAATAGGAAACATGTTCATTTCTTCTGTGAAAGCAACTGCACAATGTGAAAGTAACAAAGTCATTTAAATATTCATAAATATTGACTATGAGCTTTTGACAGTCATCAGAAAACTGTAAACCAAAAAAGATGGTGTGTAAATGATGTCTCTACTGTGAAGACTTTACATTAAGATTTACACTATTAGAGGTGGCAACAAATTACAAAGCGCTGCACAAATGATCAAGATATCATCAAATAAGTGAGCCATTGTTACTGGCAGTGTTGTGCTCAAAATTTGAAACCATTTTAGTCTGTTGATGGCTCGTTCTACGTGAATACGAACATTTGCCACTTTTTTGGTCTGGGCAACATTTTGTGAGCACATTTGTTCCAAACCTGAACTGGGTGGTGGAATTAATAATTTTGCCATTTTGAAAAGTAGATCTTCTTGAATTGGAAAACCACGGTCTGCCATGATAAGATCATGTGGGTCTACCAAATCTAAAAATCCTGACTGTCGGACAATTTGCCTGTCTGTTGTCCGGCCTCCCCATGCTTTAGACATAAATGATATGTGACCGTTTGGTGCAATACCAACTAAATATTTCATGGTATTATGTTTCTTGTAGTCAGACCATGTAGCTGCTTGCAGCTTTAGATCTCTGGGCCTGTCAATGAAAGTCTCACTACAGTCCAGTATGCACCTCAGGTTGGGATATTTCTCCTGAAGACTAGCTGGTAGCATAGTGCGGATTGAGTTTTTGTCTGGCCAAAAAACAAGCCCTCTGAGCTGAGCACCAAGGAACTTAATCCATGTAGTTATTATGTTGGAGCAAGACGACGCACCGATAGAAAATATGCTGGCCAAAAATTCATTTGTTAGACCTAGTCTAAGCTTCATCAAAACCATAAGGAACTCTGACTTTATGTTAAGTTTGCGTCCAGATCCTAACTTTTGTGGTGTTTGAACAAATTTTCTAACTTTAGTAGAAATAACTCTTCGAGTTCCACCCCAGTACCTCATTTTTGCTGCTCTTGGGGTGAGGACCTGAAGCAGCTTGTTAAAGGTTCCTTTGTTAGGGAGACCGGTGTTTAGTTTTACAGACCGGTCGTCTGAAAGAAATCGGTCTGTGAAGTACCTTTTGTTGTCAGCATTAGCACTAATTGTATTGTTCATCATATCAGCTAGACTAGTGCCACTACAAGAACTTTCATTTGCTTTTATCCCTAACATTTTTAGTTCATTTTCCAATTGAATTACTTTATTACTAAGGCAAGGCAAGGCAAGGCAAGTTTATTTATATAGCACAATTCATACACAAGGCAATTCAAAGTGCTGAACAAAACAAGAAAGCATTAAAATCATAAATAATCACAGAACATTAAAAAGAAAGATACAAATATAAAATCCCTCAGTTGTATGCACAGCTAAACAGAACTGTCTTTAACCTGGCTTTAAACATTGTCAGAGAGGAGGCCTGTCTCACATCTCCAGGAAGACTGTTCCAGATTTTAGCAGCATGAATCTGAAAAGCAGCCTCCCCATGTTTAGTTCTGACTCTGGGCACTAACAGGAGTCCAGTCCCTGTGCTCCTCAGAGTCCGGGCTGGTTTCATATGGGACTAACATGTCACTAATATATTTTGGTGCGAGGCCATGGAGAGACTTGTACACAAGCAGAGCTGTTTTAAAGTCTATTCTCTGAGCCACAGGAAGCCAGTGCAGAGACCTGAGGACTGGACTAATGTGGTCGTACTTCCTGGTTCTTGTCAGGACTCGAGCTGCTGCATTTTGAATGTACTGCAGCTGTTTTACAGCCTGTTTGGACAGACCTGTGAGCAGGCCATTGCAGTAGTCTAACCTACTGGAGACAAATGCATGGATAAGAATCTCCAAGTCTGCTTTAGACACTATGTTTTTGATCCTGGCAATGTTTTTTAGATGGTAAAAAGCTGCTGATGTTACTGATTTGATGTGGCTATTAAAATTTAAGTCTGAGTCCAGTATTACCCCTAGATTTCTGACCTTGTTTGAAGGTTTTAGGGAGAGAGACTGTAGGTGACAGATGACGCTCTCTCTTTGTTTCTGGGGACCAAAGACAATCATTTCAGTTTTGTCTGTGTTTAGCTGAAGGAAGTTGTTTTGCATCCACTCACTGATCTGTTGGATACAGTGAAGGAGTGAGTCCACTGGTCCATGTTCTCCTGCAGTCAGTGAGACATAGATCTGAGTGTCGTCTGCATAGTTATGATAGGAAACTTCGTTTCTGCGTATTAACTGACCTAACGGCAGCATGTAGAGATTGAACAGAAGAGGTCCCAGGATCGACCCCTGTGGTACTCCACAGGTCAGGGCCATATGATCTGAGACACAGTTTCCAATCTCCACAAAGTACTTCCTGTCCTCAAGGTAAGACCTAAACCAACTTAGGGCGGTGCCAGCGACTCCAACCCAGTCCTCTAGTCTCTGTAAGAGGATCTCATGGTCGACGGTGTCAAAGGCAGCACTTAGATCTAACAAATTAAGATTGAGACTTTGCCTGCGTCAGTGTTCAGCCGGATATCGTTTGTAACCTTGACGAGAGCAGTCTCAGTGCTGTGGTGGGGTCTAAAGCCGGACTGAAACATATCAAATGAGTTGTTGATTATAAGAAATCTAGTAAGCTGTAGGTAGACAACTTTTTCAAGGACTTTCCCCATAAATGGCAGATTTGAGATGGGACGATAGTTGTTAAGTACCGTAGCATCGAGACTGCTCTTTTTTAGCAGGGGCCTGATGACTGCAGTTTTCAGGGCCTTTGGGAATATTCCAGAATGAAGGGACATGTTTACTATCTGTGTGAGTGAAGGTAACAGACTGCTCAGAACAGACTTCAGAAATCTAGTGGGTAGTACATCCAAGCTGCATGTGGAGGAGCTCAAACTGGAGATTATCTCTTGGACAGTTTTATCATTTACAGGTGCAAAGTGAGTTAGCTCAGAGAGCCTTTCTGGCTGTTGGATGGTTATCTGTGGATTGGAGACAATGGCGTTTTTGATGCCTTGAACCTTGTCATTGAAAAAATTTGCAAACTCATTGCATTTACGTTTGGAAGTAAGCTCTAATGGCATTTGAACAGGGGGGTTTGTTAATCTATTAACTGTTGAAAACAGAACACGCAGATTGTTGCTGCAGCCTTCAATCATTTCAGAAAAATACCTTTCTCTCGTACTACGTAGCACCCGGTTAAACTCGCACAACTTATCTTTGAAGATCTCGTAATCAACCTGGAGGTTGGACTTGCGCCACTTCCGCTCGGCCCTCCGGCACTTTCTCTTTTGTGCCCTGACCGAGTCTGCTTTAGCCCACGGCGCCTTCTGCTTATTTTTCACTATTTTAACCTTCACAGGGGCAACGGTATCCAGAACATTCAAAACACTAGAGGTGACAGAGTTAAACAGTTCATCTACAGTAGAATACGATGCATTCTCAAAGTTTATCATTCCCATAAATAGTTCACTCGTATTTTCATTTATGTGTCTTCTTCGTACAGTTGCAGAGTCCACTGGTGGTTTGTTAGTGAAACACATGTCAAAAAAAACACAGAAATGATCCGAAAGAGCAACATCGACCACGTTTACATTTGAAATATTCACCCCCTTAGTAACTAACAGATCTAGAGTGTGCCCTCTGCTGTGGGTGGGGCCACTTACGTGCTGAGTGAGATCAAAGGATTCAAGTACAGAACTCAGCTCATTTGCATTTCTGTCATCAACATTATCCACATGAATATTAAAATCACCTGTAATAACCAAACTATCAAAATCTGTGCATACAACTGAAAGCAACTCGGTAAAATTATCAATAAAACTGTGACATGACTGCGGTGGCTTGTATAGGACAATGAAGAGTATTGGAGGAGATTGTTTTTGTTGTATTTTAAAAGACACATATTCAAAAGACGAAAACTTCCCAAGAGACATTCTATGGGAGACAAAGTGGTCTCTGAAAATGGCAGCTAAGCCTCCTCCTTTTTTGTTTTCCCGTATTTCAGATTCAAACTTGAAATTTGGTGGTGATGCTTCTATTAAAACTGCATTTCCTGAATTTTGGTCAAGCCAAGTTTCAGCCATGAACATAAGATCAAGATTATGAGAACAAATAAAATTATTGATTAAAAAAGACTTGTTACAAAGAGATCTGACATTAAGCGTAGCAAGTTTCAAAGTTTCAGTATCAGCGGTTGTGGTCGGCTGATTCTTACACGGAACAAGAATTAGATTTTCCAGATTAGACTTATTAACTCCAGATGTCTTTCTGTAATGTATTCTTTGTGTTATCACTACGGGAATGGCACAGGTGGCTTCATGACAGGGCCCCAGCCGGGTCTCTCCTCTAACTAGACTGCCAGTGGCTGCGAAGCAGAGACCCTGTGCATCCTAGTGTTTAGAGAAAAGAGGGGAAGGGGAAGGCGGGGGAGGAGGATGGAGAGGTGGGTGGCTTTTGGGTGTTGAACGAGGGGGGCAGGGAGGTGGAGGGGTTTTTGGTGATGGGTTAGGGCCGGGGTGGGCTGAGGCAGAGGTTTTGGGTGCTGAACGAGGGGGAAGTGGGGGTGGAATGGTCATGAGGTTAGGGGAGGGACTGGCTGAGGTGGTTTTTGTAGGTGAATTGGAAACCCTAGGTGGTTTTGGAGGTACATATGGGGAGTGGTTTAGCATGTTGGACAGGACTCTAGATCTAGCTAATATGGGTGTGAGAGGAATAGTCTTCATCGCCGATTTTATTAGCCCTGCAGAGTGTTCAGGTAGGTCTAACAGTGAAGGCGGGGATGAAAAACAAAGGGACGTGTCCCCATTCTCTCTTGATGGAGTGGACGTGGCAGGGGGGACCCAAGACAGGTCCATGGGAGGTGGCGAGGGAGTCTTTGATGGAGGGGCAGGTGGTTGAGGAAACCCCAGCACAGGCCTGTCTGCTGTAGCCTGGGGTGAGGATGGGGGCTTCAGAGGCGCTGTAGAAGAAGAAGGCGTGGCTGCTTTGGAGCAGGCTAGGGATGAGGATGTTGGTGGTGGTGGTGGTCGTGCTGCTGGTGCTGCTACTGGTGATGATGCAGCTGCTTCTGATGACAGTGGAGGTGTTGAGATCCTTTGAGGCGGTGATGGTGTTGAGATCCTTCGAGGTGGTGGTGGTGTTGAGATCCTTTGAGGTGGTGGTGGTGTTGAGATCCTTCGAGGTGGTGGTGGTGTTGAGATCCTTCGAGGTGGTGGTGGTGTTGAGATCCTTCGATGTGGTGGAGGTGTTGAGATCCTTCGAGGTGGTGGAGGTGCAGAGACTTTTAGAGTCGGCTTCCTCCTTTTCGATGGCTGCACGAGCTGCGCAGGCTGAGGTCTCAGGGCAAAAGAAAGGTTATCCATCAACACTTTTACTCCGTAAGTGTTCAGATGTGGCCCTTTCCCTTCAAAAAGCTCATGCCTATTCCAGAACAGATTAAAATTCTCAATGAAGGCAAGTCCTCTGCGTGAACATTCGTTGAGTAGGAAAGTATTTAGCTGATACAGACGACTGAATTTCATTTGCTTCCCGTCCACATTTGGTAGTGGGCCACTGATAACGATTTTTACATCCATTTTAGCAAGGTCGTCCAATAAGAGAGAGTAATCCCGTTTCAACTTTTCACTTGTGTTGTCATAGACGTCTACTGCCCCCACGTGGATCAACAATCTTTTTACCCCGCCGGTCTCAGACAGAAGCCTCGGAGCCAGCCGCCTTATCTCATCCACTTTGGCAGAGTGTACTGAGTGAACCTTGAGATTACGCATGTTTACGCGTCTTATCGCCGAATCGCCGATAAAGAGCGACTCAGCTGCATTTGACCTTGACTGAGACTGAGACTGGGACTGAGAGACTACTGCTGATTCATCTTCCAAAAGTGGGGAAAAGCGGTTTCTTGTAATTAAAGATTTTTGCTGTGGCATTATGACACTCTTGTTATCATTAGCTTTGCCTTGTTTGGGCTTGGCACCATATGTGTTCCAACAATTGTCTCTGTTGATTTTGGGAAATGAAATAGCGTCATCATAACTTACGTTTTGTCCATTTGGTCCATTTCCCTTCATTGGTATTGTTGTGTTCAGCCCCAATTCTGATTCAAGCACAAACATTCGGTCTTGAAGAAGTTTTAGCTCCTGTTTGAGTGAAAAACAGCCGTCGCAAAGTTTTGTTCTGTTTTCCCGTCCTCCCGACATGCTGTAAGTTAGGTAAATTCCACAAGTCTTGTGTTGAAGTTTGTAAAAAGGAGTAATCCGTGTTTTGTGGAATAAAAATGTAAGCAAAAATGATTAAAGGAGATAAAAAAGCAGAAAGCGAGGAGCAGCAAGAGAATGCGACTGCTCTGTCCAGAGGTCGCACTAAGCCTAGTAATAGTGTCACAGTTACAGTTTGACTTACAGTTACATTTATTTGTCTTCATGTAAGTATGGTCCACATGACATGGGCTTGAATTGTCGTTACATCAGTTCCAGGGTCATTTCCAGGGTCACTTCCACTGGTTTTGGGGGTATCTTCCTTGCTTGTGCCTCGATTCTGTGCATCTTCTGTGCTGGGGCCTGGAAGAATGTAATAAATGAATAGTATTATACAATCTGTTCAAACACACACACAAATTGTGTTAACAGATTGGGTGTAATCAGTATATTTAAATTTTTGTACTCTGGATGTTGAGTTTCTGCCTCTTCGATGCTCGGACTGTAACAGGTGTCCGTGGTTTTGGTGGTGCCCGTTTCTTTCCTGTATTAGTTGATGGCACTGGGTATCCTGAAAATAAAAAAGTATATTTTGCATGTAAATAATATAGAGAGATTTGTGTAAGCTCATTTTTTTTACGGATGGAAACTAGCTATTTAGCTATAATCTGGTGCAGTGCATCTCTGTCTCTCTGAGGTTAATGTTTCTGTACATTGTCCCTTCAATAAAGATTAAAGTATTTTTATTTATAATTTATGAAGGTGTAAAAATACCACTACATTGCAAAAGGTTCTGCCACATTACCTAGATTCAGTGTAGGGTTTGGAAAGGAGCGGGATGGTGCACCATCAGCAAAATGCATGGAGCAGACTCGGCTGTTCTTGTCTGGTGCCCAGTTTTTACCTGTTTTTATGTTCTTTCTGTTCATCTGGAAAAAATAAATAAATAAAATGATAGAATTAATGAAAGGGTAATACAAATTTAGGCTGTGTATGTATGCCAGCTTACATCTATAATATACTATAAAATGTTTGTTTCAAACAGATCCTTGTTAAATGATAATATATCCATGCCAGATTGTATACTTTATAAGTTAAACAAAACACACTTTAATTCAGGGACTTTCAGAAAGTCAAACCAAAGTTCTGATATTTGACATAAAATATAGTAATGATCCTGGGGGGATCGGGCATATTGTGGCGAGAAAGAAAAGGACGCAAACAAACCCCGAAACCTGCTGGGTGAGAGACACCTCTCTAACATGTACACCACAATATAATATTTATACTAGTTAGCTTTAATGTACAGTATATGTCAAACTTACTAATTTAATCCATGCGACACGACGTTCTGGATCTTTTCTTTCAGTAGGAAATGGGATGAGTACGTATGGCGGGTCGCATATACAACGTGAGGTTCCTTTATTGCACTCGTGAACAGGGCAAAACTCTTTCATCCACTTATTAAGCCCACGTGTACCGTTGGAACAGCCACGCACTGAACAATGGGACCCTGGCATATTGCCTTAAAACGACCTTAAGCAAAGTAAATGCCTGTCCGTATAAGTAGCCGGTTCTTCCGCTAGACAGTGGCTTTGTTGACACGCTGGGCAGTCGTGAACTCTGACCCGGATATATTGACCCGGGAACCGCGCATGCGTACTGATAATGCTGATTTGGCTTATTGAGCTACTGTCGCCAAGGTGCGCAATAAGTTTATTTTATTATTAAACAGTACTTCGGCATCGACGAACACACTCAAAGCAGTTGCATAAAGTCACGGGAGCATGACAACGCACACAAGCACACAGTCCCCCATTGTCAACCCTGGTTTTAAGTCAAGGTGTAGCTCCTGTTCAGTCTGCTCACTCAGACCACTAATGTCCCCGTGACCACTTTGCGGCTCTCTGATTGGTCGCTGCACGAACGTCCCGAGGAAAGGTTGAGCAAAGTTTATCTCCTGTGGGCGTCCATTTTCCGTTCCTGCTCCTCCTCTTTGATTTTCCCGCGCAGTCCGTGTGTCTCTACTGACTGAACAGTCCGTTCGTGCGTCCCAAGATGGTCGTGCGTTTTGACGCTCGAAGGTGCGTCACCATAGACTTTGCATTGAAAGCCGACGCAACGCATGAACCGGTCTGAAAGCACCATTAGGCAAGCTGAGAGAGAAAGGAGAAGAGCTGTGGTGCATGGCCCTATTTATAGGGGACTGGCCAAGCCCCGGCGATCCAAGATGGCGCCCTTTTCAAATTAATGGTTGTGCTCAGTGGCGCTTTGTGACGGCATGGGGGCTGAAAGATTAGCGGAAGTCGCCTGGAACTCGCAAAGATCTATGGGAAACTCGCCTGTATTTGGGCATCGTCTGGTCCTCCTGGTTCTGCGCAGTGGATGATCTCCCATAATGCGTTGCGTCAAACACCCGTGTGAGGGTCTCACACTGGGTCTCACGCACGTGCACAGAGGGGCTCGGCCGCGCTCTGACCAATCAGAGCAGTTCATCAGAGCGGGAGTTAGAGCGAGAGCCAGAGGAGCAGAGTTTGTGGCAGTAAAGTGTGGATTTAAAGAAAAACCAAAGGATTTAAGAAGAGAAAAAGTTCAGGATGACAAGGGACACTAAAATCCCCACAAAATCCGACCTTTATGAAAGCCAAAGGTTCTCTGTCAGCTGAGGTCGCGCTGTTTTAATTTACATTGAGTTCTATGGGGAAAATTTCTGGGTAGCCCACGTGAATTTAGTTTGGTCTAGTCTGCAGTACCGCGAGAATCCCCCGAGCACATGAGTTCTTCAGCTCCAAGCTAGTAATACCCTATCCAGTTAATATAATACATCCATGGGACTGACCTACGCCAGGACGTCAAGGTGATTGGAGCGGTGGATCGTTTGATCTTCTCAGGGCGGGAAGCGGTGCTCCCGAGAGATATGCAATAGCGAAGCCTAAAGGGCTGAAGCAACATATGAAATAGAACATATATGTCGAGTGCTCCTAGCGGACTATGTACGTACTGTATAACTGCACTTTACATAACACATAGAGAACACATGGTATTAGTCCATAGGGAGACACCAATCTCCATGAATATTGATAAATGTTCATACACCACAGTCCTTCTTGCTACACCATAACAGTCTAACAGACTCCTTCATCAGATTAATTACTCTAAAACCCAGTGGGAGAAAAGTGAGAAACGTCGAGGAGATCCACATTGAGACTCAGACTGTAGAACGAGGACCAAGGCCACCCAGCGATTGTAGAACAAGGATTGGTGCAGTTTTAGCCAAATGTATCTCATATTCTAATATTTTTTGCAATGAATTCAAAAGTGTGTGAACCTAATATTTTCAGTCTATGGTGTAAATACACCGAGTAAACTCCTCTATCTTGTTTGTTTCAACTTTCACACTCATATTTTGGGATTAAATAAATGGTTAAGCGCTCTCTTTGTTTATATTGGGACAAAAGTTTATGATGGAGAAACTGTTCTTTCATCTAACAACACTGAAATGCTTTTTTTTTAAATACGACAACAACAACAAAAATTGGGCAAAATGTATCATAATTTGAGCATATTTTCATGATGATCCATGGATCCCATCCGCTGACAGCTGGGTCACGAGTGAGTCATCCTGACAGCGTAAACCATCTTTGTGGAAACATGGCTGCTTGCTCGTGAATGTCATGCTCCTTTTATCCAGACCAAATAGTTGTCGGTTTTTAGCATTTACAGGTATGATTTGTATGTTTAATATGTACATCAACGTGAATTAGATTGTTTACTGTGCAAACGGTCGCTCGAGTTGGGAAGACCGTCCAGTAAGTGACAATAGTATAAAGTTAGCTTTTGAGCTAACTTGCTAGCTTGCCTTGGTGAGATGATGGAGCCCGACTCACAACTGCGAAATGTAAGTATTACTAATTCTGTCGTGATTTTTTTTTGAGAGTGAACCTTGTTACGTTCTGCAGCTGCGGGATTTTCTTCTCGTTTACAACCGAATGACAGAGATCTGCTTCCAGCGATGCTCCACCAACTTCAACTATAGAAGTCTCACTATGGACGAGGTCAGTGCATATTACTGTAACATATGCAAACAAACATCATATAAATATATAAGGGAAGTCGGGAAGGGCTTAGTTACATAAAAATGGTCAAATCACAACAATTGTTTTGATGAGATGCCACATTTGAATAGTTAGCATAATGATTTAACATAGATGAATTAACACCCAACTAAAACATGCAGGTACAGCCTTTCTGACATACAGTTAAACTTCTGCACATCTGGGGTTATTTTTAACTCAATAAGAACCTCACCAAACACATTACATTTGAGTGTAAGCACGATTGTTTTGTCTTCATAGTCTACAATTAGAGCTGTCGTTCACACCTCTAGTTTAGTTTGTGTTATCCATGGGTGTCAAATTTCTGAGAAATTGGTACTTGCAATACTCCTAAAGCTCGGGTACCCAAACACTAATCGGCCAATCAGCTTTCACTCCAGTGTATCAAATAGTGACTGATAGGGCTTTATGCAAATGTTGTTTTCTAACTAGATGACTGGTCTGATATATGATATTTTTTGTATGAAACAAACAATGTAGGTACCCCTACATTCACCTCTACGTTCTAGCAGTTTAGAACCCATATTTTTGTGAAAAATATGTGTGTGAACATTTGATACACATATTTAAAGTAACCCATGAACAGTGTTATTGCTTTCATTTTGTGCAGTACAATTGCAGTACTTTACCATTAATACATGTTTATGTAATTTCAATAATTTTTTTTTTGTTTTTTTTTTTAATTGTAATTTATTATATTCCACACCAAGTAGAGAGGTAACAGTTCAAAATAAAACAAGAATACAAAAGTAAATACATTTTATCCCTCCCCCCTCCCACATCCCACCCCCCACCCCCCTCCCACATCCCACCCCCCACCCCCCTCCCACTTCCCACCCCCCAAGATGTCCTGCGACAGGTTTTACCCAAGGCTACAAGCAGTAAAACAAGAACAAAACACAAAACAGAATATCCAAATAATGATAGTAATAATAAAATTTTGGATTAGGTTCCTTAACATGGAAAAAAAAAAAAAAAGTAGACACAAGAAAATGAATAAATACAAAAATAATATTATATAATATTCTTCTTACAATGTTCTTAGATTTAATAGATATATAATAATGTTATTCCAAATCTTAATAAAAGTTTCAGGTTTACCACTTATGTTATATTTGATCTTTTCAAGTTCCATGAACATCATCATATCTTTAAGCCATGTGGATACTTTCGGAGCTGTTGTTGATTTCCATTCTAGAACAATTCTTCTACGTGCGAGTAGTGTTGCAAATGCAATGCTCTTCTGATGGGTCTTTTGGCTCTCAGGTAAGACACCAAAGATTGCTAGTTCAGCACATGGTAGTAGTGATATGTTTAAGGACTCTGACAGATGTTTACTGATCATGGTCCAGTAGTACTGGAGATGTGGACAGGACCATATCATGTGAGACATATTTGCCGGAGACCTGTTGCACCTGTTACAGCTATCACTTACATTTGGGTACATTTTTGAAAGTTTATGGTTGGTGAGGTACAGTCTGTGGACAATTTTAAATTGAATTAGGTTAAGCCGGCTACAGGATGTGCTGTCATTTACCAGCGTTAAGGCATTAGACCAATCTTCCACACTCATTGTCTTATGGAGTTCCTTTTCCCATTGTGTTTTCATTTTTTCCAGAGATCCCGTTGTAGCCTTTGAAATTACACAATTAAGTTTTGAGATGAGCCCCTTTTTGATAGGTGGGACATCCAAAATAAAATCAGTTATTGTGGGGGAAGGGGCATTAGGAAAGGTTTGGAAATTTAATTTAACAAAGTTTCGGACTTGAAAGTATCTAAACAAATGAGATTTTGGAAGTTTGTGTTTTTCGCAGATCTCATTAAAATTAACAAAAATGTTTTTAATGTAGAGGTCTTTTACTCTGATCAGGCCAAGTTTCAGGCCAATGTTTATGTAATTTCAATAATTTATTTGGTCAATTACAAAAACCTTTACCCAGGATATGATAGTTTTACCCTGCATATCTCGTTAAATGTATCGACTAAAGGTTTACTGAATGTAACTTGCTAGTATAACATATATTTGTATTAACAACTGCTTTATGACAGTTGTCAGTATAAAAGTAACTGTTTTAAATGCCATTTATGAACCAATTAATAGTGAAAATTGTACATTTTTAAGAATCAGATTTTGCCAATATTGTTGTTTTTATTGCGTTTCTTTCCTATTATAAACCAAATGTGTATACATACAGGAGCGTTGCGTGGACAACTGTGCTGGAAAGTTGATCCGATCTAACCACCGCCTGATGGGCACCTACGTCACCCTTATGCCCAAAATGGTGCAGCGACGCATGGAAGAGATGGAGAGCAAGATGGCTGAAAATGCAAAGATGGAGGCAGAAGCAGCTGCAAAAGCCGGTGACGTAGCCGAGCCTGTCATGACAGCCCAAAACTCACTAGAACTGAGTGCTGATAATATTGGGCTATCAGGAGTCACACCACTTGCTCCTCTGGCTGAAAATATGAACTATGTAAACAGTGGACCCTCTACTACTACTACAAATTTAGCAGGATCACAACATGTAGAATCATCTCAAACAGTGTATACACCTCCGCCATCCCTATCTGAAGAGGCCTCGATGTCCTCAGCATCTGTCCCACAAATGTCCACGGAAAAGTCTGCAGGCCCAGAGTGAGTCTCATCAGTGTATTACTGATAGTAATGATCTCTGTCTGAATAAATTTAGCTTTTTTGTACTCTCCTAATACAAAGTTAGTAATAAACGGAGATGTATGTTAAAAAACAGCAGTCTCACTAAACTCGTAAAGATCAAGTCTCCTTATGTCATTTATTTTACAGCTATTTACTGTGATGGGGATGTCATTTTGTTTCTTCAATTGTTTGAATATGTCGGTGAATGATTTTTATTAAATACTGCCAAAGAAATTGTTCCCTTTTTATTTTTGAAGCTAATTCTTCCAATGGATATCTGGTTTAATTGCTGTTGGGTGTTGGCCCCCTGCTCTGTGCCCTTGGTGTGAACTCTTCATTAAGTTCATCACATCAGCAGCATGGCTTCCTGTAAGCACTACAGTTCCAGTAGACCTCAAAACACTGTGGTCTTAATACACTATGTACATCTTCATCTTGATTTAGAGAAGGCTTGGAAGTACCAAAAAAGTATGAAAGTCATGCTATTTGTAGTTACATTCACAACAAAGGAAAGTGTTGTATTGCAGTTTACTCATTTTAAATATGTATTAGTTTTGTATGATATCATTGGGTTAGGGCTTTTACGCTTTGATAAACACACCATCCTCAAATAATATTACATAGTTATATGTAAATATATTTATATATAGTAGACTTTGAAGTCCATTGGTGCTATTGCCATTTGTATACTACTTAAAAGATACATTATATACTTACTATATAATGTATACAACCTATACTGAGTAACTAAGCTAGTATGCATTTTATAGAATCTATTTCTGCCATGTTGCTGCCCCACACACCTCCTGACCTCCGCGTTGCTTTTGAGGACTTATTTTAGAACATATTCTTTATGTAGTAGCGCATAGCGTCCGCCAGAGGTCGTCTTATAGCTGTGAGTGCATGGCCCATTGACGCACGCAGCTTTTCCAAGGCGCTTCTGTCTCTGCTGTGGCCAGATCCACTTTGAGGAGCGGGGCGTGGACTTTCCTTGGTCTTGGGACTACGGGAGACGGACTACTTTGAAAAGGGGTCCTTGAGGAAGCGGTCAAAAACAGCAGGTAAGTCTTGATTTTGGTTGGTGGTTTTGACATCTTGACCCTAAAGTTGCGTCGCTGCTGAACGTTTTGACTATTGATTTCAAAGAGAGAGAATGTATGGGGATATGGATCCCGTCAGAATTGGGCGTTCATGGAAAAAATGTGAATTATTCCGTTTGGAACCTTTTGAGTGTGTGGGGAGTTTGAAAGGAACGTTTTACCAATGCAGTAATTGTTATTTTGTCACTACTCTGAGTAATGCCAGGCTGTCTGACTTTCAAGGGTTACAATGGATGAATCTCCTTATACCATATAAGGGAAAACATAGGCGGCTACTTTTGCTGATACTATCCTGCCATTTACTGTTCAAGCGTGTTACAATGGAACATAGGCCTAGAAAGATAGCCTAGAGGGGATTGGTTTTACTTTGCTAATTGTAGGTTTAAAGTATTTTTATTTTATGTTTTATAGCTCCTGGAATAGGCCTTCAAATACATACAGATACATACAATTATATACAGCTCAGAAGCAGATATGTCAATCTGTAACCAAATAGTCAGGTCCGGACATATTTGTGTGAGTTTTTTAACATTGACACACATGAATTGAACTGTCTATTAACACTAGAACTTCCAGATCAGTCAATTTGACAGCTTTTCGTGCTGGAGTAATTATCCAGTATATGTACATGTTTGCTCTTCCTAACAGTCTATGGTTTTTCCCCTGTATTTTTATGTAATTCACTTCTGTGTCATTATATCTATGAAACATACTTGTATTTTTGAATTGTCAGTGGCTGGCTTTGAACTAGTCCTGGACCATAATTCTGGGAGTCCTAGTATTAAAAAAAATATGATTCTAGATAAGCTTCTTGTGTTTAAGACCCAACTCTTCACTCATAAACTAACTGGATGCCAAGAGTTGTCATAGCTGCGATATGAAGTTACATTCACTCAACACCTTTTCCAGGCTACATGATATCAAGACTGGAGACAGGAGCGGAGACCAGCGCACAGAGGAAGCCTTCAGTCTGAACATGGATGACATCTTCACTCAGTGTCGAGAGGGGAACTCTGTGGCTGTCCGGCTTTGGCTGGACAACACTGAAAATGACCTCAACCTGGGGTAAGTCCAATTGTATAACATCAGAGAGCCACTATCTTGTCTCTGATATGAAGGTGTAAAAGAGGTGAATTAGGCCTGTCATTATAACTGGTTTGAAGTTTGATATAGCTGCACAAAATATGAAGAGTTACTTTGCAAAACCTGATATCTGTATTATGAAAATGCATCAAAAGGTTGAATTCCTCCATACGATGTTATTGGCTGCACATTTAGCAGACTTTCAAATATTTTTCTGATGGCTAATTAACTCTTCATGCATAGACAATAGACAATAGCATTTTGGTGTGAGTGATATCTGGGTTACAATGAACTAATGGGAGATTTCAGAATTGTTGTTTGTATGTTATTTTGTCTGGTGCAAAATAATGCTTAAAATTAATCTAAAACCATTGTTTGTTATCCGTGCTATTGGTTTTGGATGTAGTTACTGATGTGCTACAACTGCTGAGGTTTAGGTTGAGAAAACCAGCTGCATTTGACTAAAGAAATGGCACTGATTCTGATTTTGGACTGCATAATCTCCTTAATTAACATGAACAATGTGGCAGACATTGTTTTATGAGAAATCTGCAATAGTATTTTGAATTTTAAATGTTAGATACTATGGGGTACCCAACATGTTTTCAAAAAGTTATCAAATTTGTTTGTCCTAAAGAGTCTTGTAAAAGTAAAATGGCTTCATCTCTTTAGAAAATATGGTATCTTTTTCATATTTGTGAGAAAGAACCGGGTGATATACTGTGTTTGGCTTTGGGCTGAGTGGAGTGGCTTCTGTTTTTCATCTTTTTTTTCTCCAAGAAAGTTGATTTAAAGATTTGACAGAGGCCAAAACAATATGTGTGTGAAACCGATTTGTTTTGAGAGCATTCCATGTGTTGTGGTTTTACAATTAGGTACCCCAGCTTTAACCTGTTACCTTCTATGCCACCCCATATATAAATGTTGTATAATCACTCATGAGTTGGGCGGGTTGACGGGTCATTGGACATGTGGGATTGGTTTGAATGAACATTAAAGCAAGTGTCAAACCTTGCTTTATATAATCACATATAATCACATTATAGAAAAAGACACAACAATTTGAGATTTGCAAAAAAAAATGAAGCAGATAAAAGCAGTAAACACAGTCGTCAAAACAGGTTAGAGGTTGCAGGTAGTTGCAGGTATGAAGGCAGACTGTTGCTTTGTAGCCACCGGGCATAGATTTCTGTGGCTTTTAGATTTGTAACAGATGTATGATAATGCAGTGTGATTATAGACATGGATGTGGATTTCTAAGTCTAAAGAGGGATGTTTTGGCTTATTTAATGTTTAAAAATAGTTTCCTTCTGCTCAGCTCCAGTTGTGATTTAACTTTTCCATTTTTATGATGTCACCCTCTAAAACTGTGCCTGTATAAAAGCTGTGTGGTAATTCACGAAGGCTGTGGGCGGTGACTAATGTCCAGGCTTCAACTTCCACAGACTGGAAGAGTACTGTTAAAACTGTGAATACTGTAAAAACTGTTAAAGCTGTGAAAGCTGTTAAAACCTTATCATCATGGCCTGAAATGAACTGAAAGCACTAGACTCTGAACTACAGGAAGTCTTTATTTTTAGAGCGTTATTCTCACAGAGCAATGTCACAAAGCCCTTCACACTTTAGTGTATTATTCATTCACTCCACACATATGGTGATGACAACATCTGTAGCCACAGCTGCCCTGGAGCAGAGTGTTTAATCGTGTGGCTGCCGCACAGCAGGCGAATATGCTCAAATTCTGGAGAATGAGTGATGTACACTTTCCGATTGGTACAGTAAATATTTCTGGTACTTAATAATGTGTATTGAGGAACATGAACATAGTGCAGCAGATCATTATGATGACTCTCACATCATGATTTGTTGTTTCAACTTTGCCCACAACTGAATATCTCTGTCACACTTCCTGAACTTTGTGGGTTTTGAGAGAAAGAGAAATAAAGAGTTGCCACAGCAATTAAATGATACTATTGGAAAATCAGAGGAAACCAAATCATTGTTTTAGTATTAACCTCATGCAGACAAGAAAGAGCGACAGGAGCAAACACATATTCCAACTCGTAAACGGTGAAACAGAAGCAGAGCCGCAGTGAAACTTATGTTAACTCCAAACCAATGCAGAGTGATTTCCTTTTCAGAAAGTACATTCATCTTCCGCACAATTCAAATATTTAATCAATTATTAAAATCTTGTGAAAAGTCCTGACTCCAGCCCATGTTTGTCACATGTCAGTCTACTCACAGTTGATTGACCCAAGTTGTTTTTTTTCTCTACACCAGCTTTGATCCTGCTTCTATGTGGAGTCAACTATTTTCAGAGAAGGAAAACTCAAAGTAAACCTGAAGCTACCACAACTCTACACCACAGGCCTCTAGGGGCACAGGCACAGGGATGGGGTGTTGCTTTCTCATACAAACTGACGCCTAAAATGTTTGCCCCACTTTGAGCCTCAAATGCTATGGCAGTTCAACCAACGACCTAAAAACAGCGTATTAGTAATTTGTTATTAGATGAAACACAGGCGAGGGTGAGGATGGACCAGTCTGTTTACATAGCCTAACTTTTTTCATAGAAAGCGGCTCAGATAAACTTGACTGTGAAACTCCACATTATCTCATTCTTGGGGAGGTCCTTATATGTGCAGTGCGTTGACGTTTGGGCGCTGCAAAGCCTCCAGCCAACCACAGAGCAGTCAAGGCCATTTCCTCTGCTCAGCTCCATACAGGGACCGGGGGCCATTGCACTCCCATATAAACATCATTATGCAGTCATTCCGCAGGGGGCTGCTTTGTTTCTGATGCTGAGTGGGTTCAAGTATGTGGCCTGGAAGATCTCTGCTGTGGAGTATACAGCCAATATTTTGTGTGTTACTTGCGTTCATGTGACATCACAACATTCCAAAGAGCCAATAGTCAGACTTTTTGTCAGTTTAGAGGTAATTTCTCTGTCATCTCTGGGACAATCTGCATGAGAAAAAAACGGATACATAGTTCTTCATTGTCAGCACATATCAACTAAGGTCTAATTGTTTTATCATAAACGTGTGGAAATGTAAAAGTGGGGACAGTATTCAAAACAACCAAAGTGTGTAGTAGGCCAAAAACCCGCCCCACACACACACATGGCAGGTTTTTTCGAATCTAATACAAACAATATTTGGAAAAAACATTGACACACATGATATTTCATCTTCCAATATTTCTTTAAAAAAAAAGTTTGTATTGAAACCTGCCCTCCAACTGAAAGTTTTTGTGTGAAAATGCTGAGATACACCATTGTTTATGACTAAAATAGATTTTTTTTTTTTTTAAATTAATCCTATTCTTTAGTTTGGAGTGCTACACTGTATCAATGCGTGGGAAGATGTGGTAAAATAGCTCCCACTTGTAAACATTGAAGAGTTTTTTGGCGTTGTCCCAATGGGCTGTTTGTGAATTTGACACAGGAAGGCAGAGGGAGGAGGAGAGGCAATGTGGCTGAGGATTCCACCAAGCATTTTCCGCTCTGTCATTCCAGAGGTTTTCTTCCCCCTGCTGCTTTTAATAAGTCTACGCTAAACTGTCTGTGGTTCAGAGGACAAAAAAGGTACATAACTGATATTTAGAAGATCCACGCATGAGGATTGAATGAACATTGACATGTTTTCGAAGTCTTGCTTAAAGGTATCAAAGTTATAAAATGACTACAACAATTAGATACAATGGTAATTTTCTTGAGTGAAATTATTGAAGGTAATGTTTCAATGGTAGTTGTTCATTTTACTGTATATCCACCAATAGATCGCATTCATGTTTTTTCTATTTCAGTTGGAGGGCAAGTGCCAGTACAATACATTACAAACGCTTTTTTTTTTTTTAAATGTCCAAATGTTTTTACAGATCATTAATCAGTGCCACATTATTATTATTTATGAACATCCTTTCTACTGGCCAACATCATGCATTTGTATTTGAAAATCGTCACCTCTTCTAGACACCTTTATGAGACAATAATTAGATATTAGTTAGATGGACTGACGGAGAAAATGTGGAAATTAGCTCAAAACTAAGACTGGAAGTTAGAAATGTAACAGATGCCATAGTTTTATGCTCTTTGGAATGTTGTGATGTCACTTATTTACAGTCTATGGACATCACGTGAACGCAACCTACTCCTCTTCATTTTGTTTACGGCAGGCTACTGAAGCGCTAAAGCCCGCGATAAATATAGCGTTGGATTTGTGGCTTTACAGGAAGTTGCAAGTAACCCCCTCAAGTGCCCTGGGGTCCGCTGATGTAACGTATGCGTGGGTGAAGAGGCCAGTGGCACTTGGGTGAGAGGTTGACTCCTTGTCGACTGGCCCTAAGCCTCTGTGTGCCGTGCGTGTTTGCACCTCTGCACATGTTCCTGGCATTCCTGACCCGCACAGACATATTTATCATTGAGCAGTTGTCAGATGGGGGTAGGACTGCAGGCCATGTGCAAGAGCATGTGCGGAAATCTAAATAAAGATTCGGAGATGAGAGGTGTGAAAACATCAGTGTCAAATACAGCACCACACACTTAGTAGTTGTGTCATTTGATATAGAAGTGTCTGTGCAAGCCCAACAAGCTGACAGATACTATCAAATCATGTTCAGATTCACATTCATTTTCATCTCATTTTGTGTCGCAGAATCATCTGAATAAAACTATAGGGACTTTCGATATATCAAGATAGTAGACAGTAGTGGTTCATCTGTAGAAGTAATAAAAGTAAAAATCAGTATGTGTAAAAAGTATGTGTGTAAAAAGTATGTGTCATCTGTAGAAGTAATAAAAGTAAAAATCAGTATGTGTAAAAAGTATGTGTGGTTTACTGGTTATCATTCTTGGTTCACGGCAGACCTCCCCTGAAATGTTTTCTTAGTTGCAAAATTGCTACATAAGCGTTTTAATCTGATGAACCAACTGACTCTGTGGAGCACAGGAACTGGCCTCCTACTGGTTCCCAGAGTCAGGACCAGGACTAAACACGGGGAGGCAGCGTTTCAGATTTATGTCTTCCTGAAAATGTGAGGAAAGCTTCTACTCTTGACAATGTTCAAATACAACAGTTCTGTTTGGTTGTGCGTACAATTTATCTTCACTCTTTGTTGATGTATTGTGATTGTTTATGATTTAAATGCCTTGTGTATGAATAAAAGCTATACAATAAACGTGCCTTGCCAGGACGCTTTTCAGCAAAACTGCCTTTGTACAAAAGTTTCATACATATCTTATTTATGTCTATAATTGACTTGTGTAGACCTGTATCTCTCCTAGACCTCTATCACTCCTAGACCTCTATCTCTCCTAGACCTCTATCTCTCCTAGACCTCTATCTCTCCTAGACCTCTATCACTCCTAGACCTCTATCTCTCCTAGACCTCTATCTCTCCTAGACCTCTATCACTCCTAGACCTCTATCTCTCCTAGACCTCTATCTCTTCTAGACCTCTATCACTCCTAAACCTCTATCTCTCCTAGACCTCTATCTCTTCTAGACCTCTATCACTCCTAGACCTCTATCTCTCCTAGACCTCTATCTCTCCTAGACCTCTATCTCTCCTAGACCTCTATCTCTCCTCTATCTCTCCTAGACCTCTATCTCTCCTAGACCTCTATCTCGCACCTAAAGCTTAAATAACAGTCATAATGTCGTGTTGCTGTTTCCAGGGACGACCACGGCTTCAGCCCCCTGCACTGGGCCTGCAGAGAGGGTAGGAGTGGGGTGGTGGACATGCTGATCATGAGAGGCGCTCGGATCAACGTGATGAACAGAGGAGACGACACACCACTGCATCTCGCTTCCAGCCACGGACACAGAGACATCGTGGCTAAGGTACTCACAGAGAATAAAGACAGTAACTGTACTTTCTATCATTGTGCAGTGATCTCATTGCTTTCTTGCAAATCACAGCTCATTCAGTGCAAAGCTGACCCCAATACAGTTAACGAACATGGGAACACCCCTCTGCATTATGCCTGCTTTTGGGGGCAAGACCAAGTGGCAGAGGTACCACGTCTCACTGTATCTTCTTTCTCCTTTCCTTGATAATCGGTTGTGTACATCTATCTTGCTCAAAATGTTGTGTTAGACAGATTCAGTATTATTATTATTACTGTTATTATTGTTATTTAGAAACATACAGTATATGTATTTATTTTTGTCTGGAATTGCCCTCTTGTGATGAAATCATTCTAATGCAGTTTTTGTGACTTAACATTACTTTTTCCAGTGCATTTACAGTTGCTTCTCCATTCATAGGATCTGGTTGCCAGTGGTGCTCAGGTGTGCGTATGTAACAGATATGGACAAACACCTTTGGACAAAGCCAAAGCTCACCTAAAACAACTGCTTCAGGGTAAGTAAAAGGCCAACAATTTTTTTGTTCCTGTTAACATTATTATTTACAAACTGTTTGATTCCTATGTAGAAAAGGCAGAAAAGACAGGCCAGAACATGGCCAAAATTCCTTATAAGGAAACCTTTTGGAAAGGAACGATGAGGACACGACCCCGTGAGTGCTTCCTCTTATTTTTTCTGTTATAACAATATACAATCATTTGGATTTTCTTGAAGCAGTATCTATTTTCTAGGAAATGGTACTCTGAACAAACAGGCTGGAATTGACTATACACAGCTTTCACTTTTGGCCAAGATCAACGAAAATCAGTCCGGAGAGGTCAGCAAGTGTTGAAAACTGTACAATGAACTACTGATCCATTTCCCAAAGTTGTACATTGACTAGAATATTTATCTATTTATTTTTTGATCTGTTTCTTTTAATATATATATATTCCTGTTTCTCTACGTACACTGACTCTAGTTTGTCTGCAGTTGTGGCAGGGCCGGTGGCAGGGCGATGAGATCATAGTAAAAGTCCTACATGTGAGGGACTGGACAACCAGAAAGAGCAGAGATTTTAATGAGGAGCATCCAAAACTCAGGTATTTTCTACTGTGGACTGATTTCAGATGTTATCAAAACCTTTAACTAAAAATATTACAAACTAACGCATTATTATAATAATGTCGTGATGATGTACTTTCAGTGTATATTCATTGTTTTTCAGGCAAATTATTTTTTCCTGACTTAGTTTTAGGTTTTCCACACTGAAAAAATATATACAGTATATACAAGAGTGAAGGACACTTGCAGGCTTAACATACAGCATGCCGCCACATGGCCACTATGAACTTTTTATCCATAAAACTGGATAAAAAGTTCTAAATATTTTTGTTATCTTCTTTTCATCATTTGTAGAATCTTTTCTCATCCAAACATCCTCCCTGTCCTGGGAGCGTGTCAGTCGCCTCCTTCTCCTCACCCAATCCTCATCACTCGCTACATGCCTTACGGGTCGCTCTTCAATATTTTACATCAAGGCACAAGTGAGTACACACATATTTTTTCACTTTGATTTTCAATACTGATTATTATATTTTTTGTCTTAGCTCTTGTTGTTGATCAAAGCCAGGCGGTTAAATTTGCATTGGACATTGCGAGTGGCATGGCTTTCCTTCACACTTTAGAGCCAATGGTTTCCCGGCTTTATCTGAACAGTAAGCATGTAATGGTAAGTGTATTAAATGGTAAGAAAAGAACAAAAAAGAAAAACAACGTCTGGCTCAGTACGTTTTGAGGAGAAGTTTTAAGTAAGAAACACAGACTTGTAATTTTCCTGTTAATTTATTTATTATAGATTTATTTGATAGGGACAGAACAAGAAGCATTGTTACAAATAAGCAATACCATCGTCAAAGGCCATGTAGCTAATGGCTAATTCGCAGACCTGGTCCCTAAGACATAAAAAACATCATATTTACAGATCTTTATGACGACATACTGTAACAGGGGTTAACTCATGATGGGGTTATCACTATCCACCAGGAGGTTGTTTTCAGACCAAAAAGCACAGTTAAAAGTTTCAAAAAACAAACTATATAAATGTAGGTCTTATGCTCATAGATCGCTTGTCTTAGATCACTCATCAGCCCTTCAAAACATGTCTTAATCTGTTTTTTTTAAATCGCATTGGTCATTCTGAATTTTACTTCCAGAGCCATAAGTCAATTCCCTAGCTCCATTCAACTCTGCAGCTGTTTTTATCATTACATTTTCTAAAACACCATATTTTACTTTCAATCAACCAATCTTTATTTGTCGAGCACCTTTCCTACACAGGGCAACACAAAGCGCTTCACAGTCCACATCACACAAGGCACAAATCAACACATAAAACGCCAAAGTCACCATTAAAAACTCAATAAAAAAAACCCAAAGGTCATTCAAAACATTAAAACATGTGTATAAATAAAACCATTAAAACGACAAACTCACACAAGGGAGTAAGAAGATACAACAACAATAACATTATTATTAAACAAGAAAAATATAATGAAAAAACCACATAAACTATTATATTCTTGGCAGATTGACGAGGACATGACGGGCAGAATCAGCATGGCCGACGCCAAGTTGTCTTTCCAGTGTCCAGGCCGCATGTACTCTCCTGCGTGGATGGCCCCTGAAGGTATTTCCCTGCTCTGCTGCTGATCCTATACTTACACGCCGTGAGTCATTCTGCAGGAACATGGTGTACCATAAAATTCAGCTCCTACGAGTTTTAGTCCGTGTAGTGGAGTGTGTCCTGATCTCAGGGCATTACACGGAGTATACATCAAAGGTTTACAGCATGATCGTTTCCATATGATTTCCCAGTGTTATTACCCACTTGCATTGATAGTAAGTAATAAGGACTACAATTGCATATTATTCTTCATTAATCATTAAAGCAATTAGTAATATTACTAATAAACTAATAGTAATCACTGGCCTATGAGTATGCAATATGAAGCCTTATAGTTTTAGTTCAGGTCAAGCATGTACTCATTTTGTTCAGAAAAACCTGATATTAAAGCTCATATCAAATAAAAGTGATAATTTAGTCAAAATACCTACATACATAAAGTATAACAAAATATGATTGGGAAGTTGAAGCTAAAAAACACTATTGTCGCTCAGAGGAGTAACCATAGCAACAGGCTCCTATCACTTTTCTGCAAATGTCAAGTTTTAAGAGAGCCTTTGTTCCTTCAGCTAATAAATATAAAAGATCTGTTATATTAATGTGCAACATAAACATGTGCACTTTACTACTGCTGTTAGTAACTTATAGAAATGTCTATTTATTTAAGTTCGTATGGAAGTGTTTCTGCTCCTGGACACCTGAATTTCTCCTATGGGGGATCAATTAAGTATATCAATCTGTAAATCTATCTTTCTGATGTAGAGTATTGGGCAAACAACATCCAAAGGTGTCATAAAGCAACATTTCAAAATTGATTATAATGTTGCACGCTAAATACTAAATTTTAAGATAACATAAGATGAGACAATACTGTATAGGCCGATAAAGATCAGTATTTTTTTCAAAGAATAAAAAGTTACATTATAATTTTTAAATCCAAGGGCTCTCATTCTGTACAGTTGCAGTGTTTTTTTTTTTTTCTAATTCAGTATCTTTCTGTTCCTCTATCAAATTATTTTCGGCTTTTAGCTTTGCAGAAAAGGCCTGAGGATATCAACAGGAGGTCTGCTGATATGTGGAGCTTCGCCGTGTTATTGTGGGAGCTTGTGACAAGAGAGGTCCCATTCGCAGATCTTTCAAACATGGAGATAGGCATGAAGGTAGACATTACAGAAAACCTCTGCTGGATCTAAACGATAAACACAGCACTCGCATACAATTAAAACTTTCTCCACAGGTGTCGCTGGAAGGACTTCGACCCACGATTCCGCCTGGTATTTCTCCTCATATCTGCAAACTGATGAGGCTCTGCATGAATGAGGACCCTGCCAAGAGACCCAAGTTTGACATGATCGTGCCCATCCTGGAGAAGATGCAGGACAAATAAAAGCTTCTTACAGTTCCCAATGATAAAAAAAAATGCAAGCCACTCATTATCTTCACTTTCCATGCATTTGCTTAAGCCACTGTAAATATATGTGCCCAAGACCACTCTTATGTTACAATGCTTTTTTCTAAATATTTAAGAAGGACAAATACGCCAACTTGTTGCTTTTTGTTTTATTATGGCTTGACAGTGTGGAAGAAGTCTGAACAGCAAGCCATAGAAATGTGTAAACAATCATTAATGCAATAAATGTTTTATATTTATACTATTGTTTGTTCTGTTTTCTCTGCTATAAAACCCTGTAACATACCATGCTGCAAATCAAATGTTATATTGTTATGTTTGAATGGCTGTATTAAAGTAGGTGTTTAGTGAAGATTTTAATGTTTTTATGGACAACTGCACATTTCACAATCAACATATCCTCTTCTTTATATAACACTAGCGTTTTAACTATTTTAAAACAAGTCATGCCAGGGGGAATGAGAGAATATAAATATAAAACAATTATCTTTGTCCCGGGCTAAAATCTTTGTTTTATTCCTTGTTTTATCCTTAATGATTTGAGAACCCTAACAAGACTTTTTCTTTTTTTAGCAGTCTGTAATATGACATGTAATTTTACCAGTGATATTAGGGGGTCGGCACTAGATCATATACGGAATCGGGACGAAACCGGAAGTAAGAATCCTACTTTCGAATTAGTTTTAGACTAATAAGTCCTTAAGTGGTGACTGGTTAAGTTTTAGGCGTCTGAGTAAGGTTAGGGTTAAGGGTGGGTTGGGGTTATTTTATGGGAATGGCTGGTTAAGTTTAGGCATGGTAGTTCTACGTCATGGTGCTACGTCCCTTAGGACTTCGCTAGTGGGATATCACTCGTGACCCCCAGGTCACACGCCAGAGAGATCAAAATAATTTGCTCCAATCACCAGCCACCTTCCTCTATAAATGCCCCTGCACAAGGCCGCACCCCCTCTTTCACTCTGGCGCCGATTGAGATCTACATTTCAATTTACCTGAGGAAAGATGTCTTCTGATGCTCGTCCGAGTTCCCCTTCGCCATCCGGCGTCGGACGTCGTCGTTGCTCGACTTGTCGGGTCAAGCTCCAGCGCAAGGACCAGCACTCCAGCTGCTTCGTGTGCCTGGGTTCGGGCCATGCGGCGTTGAGCGCCACCTGCGCCTCGTGTCTCGCTCTCCCCAGGGAGGAGAGTGAACGCAGGCGCGCGTTCTTCGCTGCTACAGCGCCCCGTCCGGACTCCTCTCAGGACGAGGAGTCTGTGATTGACTGGGCCCCCCTCGACCTTCCACCCGTGCCCGCGGAGTGGGGTGACTGCGAGGACGGAGAGGTGTCGGAGGTCGGCTCTCTCCTCACGCTGGACGAGGTGGTGTCCAACCCGGAGCCGGACCGCTTCCCGCTGGACCACATGCCTGGGCTCTACTCCACGGCGGCGGCCATCATGGATGCCCCCCTGCCTCCGCAACCGAACCAGAGGGTGGAGGACTTCACCTCTGGTTACGCCACCACTCGAGGGAGGAGGAGGGCGCAGCCCACGTTGTGCCCGCGGATGGACCCGATTGTCCATTACGCGACACGTGAGTGGCCAAAGCCCCTAGCGGCCAAGAGGCCCGCTTTGGGGTACGGCATGTACTGTAACGTGCAGGACTGGTCCTGGACCGGCGGGGTCCCGGACATCGAGGACTCGGTTTGAGCGGCCCTGCACCCCTCCGCATCCGTGTGGCCCGGCACCAGACCTCTCCTTCCCTCCGAGCGGGACAGGATGTCTTTGGCGATGCACGATAGATGTTACGCCAATGCGGCTAAGGTTCGCCCGGCAGGCGCCCCGGACCATATCCACGCTCCGTGGTTCATCGTTCCCCAGCGACGAGGCCCCCGGGCCCAGACAGGCACACGGGAGGCTCGCGGGACCAACGCACCCACCGACGACCTCCCTATGGCAGAAGAGGTCGGGGTGGGAAGAATTCTTTCAATAAAAGCCGTCCGGCATTTCATCAGTACTCGCTGTCTGAGTCTCATTTGGGGGTATGTAACATGTCAAATGATCTGAATTCTGATTGTGTTACTTCTCGAGCATATAACGTGGCTCCGCTAGGCCTGCAGCCCCCAGAGAAGGGTGTGCAGTGCGCTACGCGAGCCACAAGCTCCGATTCACGGGTTCATGTTTTGCCCTCCCGGAGAGAGGGCAGGCGGAGGGATCTGGTGATTGATAATGTGTGTGCTCCGGCCGAACGCGTGTTAGCATCTCTGAGCTACAAGGCTAACACGGGGTTTCCCACTCCAGGGGCTCGCCCCCCCCTCCATGAGGCAAGAGCCAGGGGGGGGTACAGCAGCCGAGTCACGTGTGGTGAGCAGAGCTACAAGGCTAACACGGGGTTTCCCACTCCAGGGGCTCGCCCCCCCCTCCATGAGGCAAGAGCCAGGGGGGGGCACAGCAGCCGAGTCACGTGTGGTGAGCAGTCCCGTACTTATGACGTCGGGCCTGCAGAACACGTGACCGCCCCCGGCGCTCACGGTGTGACGCAGGGCCCCCCCCGGCCCTTTCAGCCACCCCCCCTCCCTGCTAGGAACACCAGGAGAGGGCGGGCCGTGACGTCTCGTGTTCCAGCTCCCGTTTCGCCCCTCACAGACTTCTACAGCATCTGGAGGGAGCAGGGCCTACTGACAGATATTTGGCTGGAGAAAACTTTGCGCAGGGGTTACGCACTGCAACCATTCCGAGGCGTACGGGCAGTACGCTCTCAGGTACGGGGATCGATAGAGGCACTACAAGCGGAGGTCTCCTCTCTGCTGAGTCGAGGCGCAGCAGTGGAGGTAGACCCGCAGGACGCCACCAGGGGGCTGTACTCCCCTTACTTCTTAGTGCCAAAGAAGTCAGGCGGGGTGCGTCCCATTCTGGATCTGCGCGTGTTAAACGAGTGCATTTCCAAACGGCAGTTTCGGATGCTGTCCACAAGGCAGCTCCTCGAGTGTGTCAGGGAGGGAGACTGGATGACATCCATAGACCTGACAGATGCGTACTTCCACGTGCCCATAGTGCCAGAACACAGGAGGTTTCTGCGCTTCGCAGTGGGAGAGAGGAATTACGAGTACTGCCGTCTACCCTTCGGGTACGCACTCGCGCCTCGGACTTTTTCCAAATGTGTGGAAGCAGCTTTGGAGCCGATCAGACGCGCGGGGGTAAGAATATTAACCTATATAGACGATTGGTTAAGACTGGCTTCATCCAGGGAAGTGGCCCTGAGCCACACGCACTGGGTCCTGTCCCACATACAGCGTCTGGGCTTTGTGGTGAACAGGGAGAAGAGCAAGCTGCAGCCAGCCCAACGCATGATTTATCTCGGTCTGCAGCTAGACTCTGTGACATTCCGTGCTGCATTGTCCGTGGACAGACGGATGAATATTACCCGTCTGGCCCGGGAGGTTCTGGCGGGCCCCAGAGTCCCCGCTCGGCGCCTCAGGTCCCTGCTGGGAATGATGGCGGCGGCTCATGCTGTGGTGCGGCTAGGCCTGCTCCACATGAGAAATTTTCAGAGGTGGTTCTCGCGCCTCAGGCTTCACCCCTCCCGGGACGGGGGGAGGCTTATCTGGGTTCCCCAAGGGGCAGCATCGGACATCAGGTTCTGGCTCACTCCGGGTCTATTGCGGGACGGAGTGACTCTGGCCTGCGCCGTGTCTCACGTCGAGGTGTTCACGGACGCGTTGCTCGAAGGATGGGGCGGGGTCCTCGGCCAGAGCTCTGTAGGAGGCTGCTGGTCGGACTCAGTCCGTCACATCAACCTGCTGGAGATGGAGGCAGTGCACAGAGTACTGCTGCACTTTGCCCCTCAGCTGCAGGGGAGACACGTGATGGTGCGCTCAGACAACACCACAGTGGTCTCCTATCTGAACAGGCATGTTCAGATAGTTCACCGTTGCCATGCGATGGAGAGCGGGGGACCTGGTGCCCCCCTGCACCAGGTCCCCCGCTCTCCATCGCATGGCAACGGTGACGCTGCTGTGGGCGGCGCTTCACCTCCTGTCTCTCAGGGCGCGACACGTCCCGGGGGTCCGGAACGTGGGAGCCGACAGGATGTCCAGGGGGGGCCCACTCCAGGACGAGTGGGGCCTGGCCCCACGGGTAGCTGCGGAGATCTGGCGAAGGTTTGGCCGTCCAGTGGTCGACCTTTTCGCCAGTGCAGAGAACGCACAGTGCCCGTCCTGGTTTGCCTTAAGGGCCGCGGACGAGCCGCCTTAGGCGTGGACGCTCTGGCTCATTACCCATGGCCAGGCGGCCTGTTGTACGCTTTCCCACCGGTGCGTCTCCTGCCGGTCCTGCTGCGGAGGATCGAACAGGAGAGGAGATCGGTGATCCTGGTGGCTCCGGACAGTCCGCATGCCCGGTGGTTCCCCTTCCTGAGGGGCATGGCGGTGATGGAGCCCTGGGCCCTCCCGGACGAGCCGGGGGCTCTAGTCCAGGGCGCAGGAGCCCTGTTTTCACGTCCGATAATCGGCCGCAGGCTCTGGGCTTGGAGGCTGAGAGGCGGAGCCTCGTAGACCTGGGTCTTCCCCCTGCGGTGGTGGAGACCATTCAGGGAGCGAGGGCGCCGTCCACTGTGAGGGCCTACGCCACGAGGTGGAGGCTATTCAGTGTCTGGTGCGATTCCCGTTCCTGGGATCCCAGGTGTTGCCCGCTGGAGGGGGTCCTGGGATTCCTACAGGAGCTCTTCGACAAGGGGAGGGCTGTCGCTACCTTGGCGGTGTTCGCGGCAGCCATTACTTCGGGTCACGACGGATTCGGGGGGTTCACAGCCCGTTCTCATCCGTTGGTTAAACGTTTTCTGCGGGGGGCGCGCAGGAGGAGGCCCCCGCTCCAGAGAACGCCTCCGGTTTGGGACCTCAGGGTGGTCCTTAGGGGGCTGTCGGGTCCGCCTTTTGAACCGGCGGCGGAGGCGAGTCCCGAGTGTATCGCCTTTAAGACGGCCCTCTTACTGGCGTTGGCGTCTGCTAAGAGGGCGGGCGATTTGTGTGCGCTCTCCGTCCATGCGTCGTGCCTGTCCTTTGGAGAGGACGACGGCATGGTGGAATTGTGGCCCAATCCGGCTTTTCTCCCCAAGGTCATCACGTCGGCCTTTAGGTCGAGAGTCATCAGGATTAGGGCTTTCCATCCGCCGCCGCATGCCTCCCCCGAGGAGGAGCGGCAGCACCTTCTGTGTCCTATCAGAATGCTGAGGCATTACCTGGCCATGACGTCTTCATTCAGGTCGGGTGATCAGCTGTTTGTGTGTCTGGGCCCCAAGAACAGGGGCGCCCCGCTGTCGGCTCAGCGGCTGGCGCATTGGGTCGCCACGGCGGTGCGGCGGGCGTATCAGACGCAGGGTCTGGCCCCCCCGGTGGGTTTCAGGTCGCATTCCACGCGTGGGATGGCGGCCTCTACGGCCCTTCTCAGGGGGGCGTCGGTCGAGGACGTTTGCCGTGCGGCTTCTTGGGCGTTGTCCTCCTCTTTCGTCCGGTCTTATCTTTCGGATGTGTCGGACCGGTCGGTGGCCCATTCCGTGCTGAGTGCAGCGGACTGAGTTAGACCGTTGGGTCCCTCCCCTGAGGGGGCCTTCGGTCTATTTCCGCCCTGGTGCAGGAGCTCTTGGGAGAGGCATCCTACAGGTGCGGTACATTTTGTGTGTGTGGTCGGTCTGGTAGTCCACGTCAGGAGCTCTTGGGAGAGGCGTCCTGTGACTACGGATGACCTACGGCTTGTGTTACGTGGGGGTATCCTTGGTAGGAGTGGCCCCGTAACACGCTTGTTTCTTCTGCCCTGAGTCCTCTCACGTTGTGAGGGTCTTGCTCGGGCGGAGCTCCAATCACCCTTCGCTGGCCTGCTGGGAGTACATTTTCCTACGGCCTCCGCGTTGTGTCCCACTAGCGAAGTCCTAAGGAACGTAGCACCATGACGTAGAATTAATAGTTACTTAATGTAACTTAAGTTCTACGAATAGGTGCGTAGTCCCTTAGCTACGAGCCCATCAGGCCAGCCTGGCTTGGCAGAGTTCAAGAGGGGGTGCGGCCTTGTGCAGGGGCATTTATAGAGGTGGCTGGTGATTGGAGCAAATTATTTTGATCTCTCTGGCGTGTGACCTGGGGGTCACGAGTGATATCCCACTAGCGAAGTCCTAAGGGACTACGCACCTATTCGTAGAACTTAAGTTACATTAAGTAACTATGAATTACTAGTTTGTTATATTTACTTCCGCTTCCGTCCCGATTCCGTATATGATCTAGTCATGGATGTATTATATTGGGATCTAGTGCTGACCGGTGCTGACCATCGGCTAGACGCGGGGAGTTCCTGGCAACCCAGATCACGGACTTTCTGATTGGTGAAACGGTGGAGGGCGGGACATCGAAATGAAAACAATAACAAGATTTAGAGGCTCTAAATACAATTTTGATATTCAAATATCTCAGCTGAACTACTCTCATCAGTTAAAGAAGTATTCGAAAAAAGCATGGTTTATTAATGCCTTTTGACATATTAGGACCATTTAATGATGACTTGACATGAAAATCTTACATTGTAGGAGCCATTTGCTTGAAGGCTTTAGTTGAAGTTAATATTTGTCTATTTTGGTAATTTAGATATTTTTGAAGATTTTATTGGGTTTATTTCAGTTTGGTTTTAGTTTTTAGTGGCACCTAGGGGATATAAGGGGGCGGTACAGGGCGGGCCTTCATGCACCTGGGTGGGTCTATGGTTTTTTACCAGTCATTGGAGATGTAACCATAGACTAAATGTTAACATTCAGTCTCTACTCAGCACTTTTTACGGCCTGAATTAATATTCAATAAAAAATATATATATACTAATTTAGTTATTTCTGGGTGTATTTAAATCATGCTTCGCCCTAAAACACATTGAGGATGTGCTTTTATTTATATATTTCAGTTCTGATGAACAAATGCGTCATGTAACCTGCATGAAATTCCATCACACAAAAAAAATCCCATCCATTTTCTTCGATTTAATCAATTTCTGGGTTGGGGGGCTGTCAGTCAGAGCTGCACCCAGTACACTTAGCACCAGCCCCTCACTGATCCTCCTGCAGGTGGTGAGTCCACAGGAGCATAAATCTTCCAGCGGGAGCTTTGGGTAAAGTGGGGTTAAGTGTCTTACCCAAGGACACAACGACAACAGTCGATTATAGATAAAGCGTGAAACATGAAATACAAACAAGTCAAAATGATCCCACACTGCAGATTACTTTCTTTTAGTGGTCCATTTTGATGCTGTAGAACTGGAGGTTTTTCCTCTGTGAAAGAGTTGTTGTCTTTTTCTGAGAGCGATTCATCCCAGTGACACTTGCAGATGCAGCATCTTCAAACAGTTTGCCGCGTCGGTGACAAACGACACTGTCTGTCCAATGTGGTTTTTTTTTTACTACAAATGGCAAATAAACTGAATCTGTATCGGTCACGTGGCTTTAGGCTGTCCCATTTTCTTTTTCATGTTGTGATGATTGTACCGCTGAACCCTTCCTCCTCCATCTGCACCTGCAGACTGTTCACATTCTTTAGCCTGTTGTGTAGCCTTAGCGTGTAGGGAGTGGTCACGTGGTGCGTCAGCTGACTGCTGCGTGCTTCATCAGTCCAACCGGAAAAGGTACAATCATAACAGAAGTGTCCTCGCTCGCGCACAGTTTACGGCACAGACACGGTATGACTATTCTTATAACAAACTTGTATCTCTTTCCCCACACATCTCCATGGTTTTAAAAGCCGAATCTACGGATATGTTGTGAACTTGACTTAACTTTAGCGTCTTTGTGCTGCTTTCTATTTTACCAAACTACTCAATAGTTCCGTCCGTTGTTCATTGTATTTGTGGCATTTCTTTAGCGTCGTGTGAAATAAGCATCTCGCACATTGCTGTGTCGTTGTTTTCCTTGCAGCAGACAGTGGACCCCTGCAGACGGCGCGATGCGGCTCTCTGCTCTTCTGCAGAGCTCTGCGTGGGTCACGGTGGCCCTGCTTTTGTCTCTGGCTGCATGTCATCCAGTACAGCCTTCTGAGCAGGAGATAAAGTTGATTTTGGAGCAACGCAAGTCAAGTGTGGGATTTAACTGGAGAAATATAACGTGTCCTTTATGCGAAACCATTTTCAGCATCATTGACATCGCCCTTCTGGTAAAGGACGCACATTGTTTCATGTCATATTATATGAGGCTATTGTTCTTCTGTCAAACTTCCTCCTTGACTCTAGATCATATGATTTCTATGACCTCAATTATCACTAATGTGGTTTGGTTTGAACATGGACTTGAAATGAAATACATGTCTGTTTATTTCTTTGTTTAAAAATATGTGTTTTCAGGACAGTGCGAACGATGAGCGTGTGGCCCATGCTTTGGGAGAGGCTTGTACTCGGTTGCATTTAGCAGATGAGAAAGTTTGTCGCCAGATAATTGAACTCTTCAGAGACGATTTCATTCTCGTGCTGCGAAACTCCCTGCTGTGGCCCTCTGAAGCCTGTGGTATCTTGGTGGGATCCTCATGTGGTAAATTCGACCTTTACGCTCCATGGAATATTACCCTGCCCAAGCTCCCGAAGCCACCAGTTATTCCTCCTTCAGCACCGGCTTCCGGCTCTCCTCAGAGCAGGGTCCTGTTTTTGACAGACATCCACTGGGATCAGGTCAGTGCTGTTTACATACACTTGAGCAACCTGGATATGATCTGGACATTCCAGTATCCTGGTTTTGTGTTGGTATCCCAAAATTGCCATTATCCTGATTATGAGAACCCAGGATATTGTAGCTTCCAATAATCACCAGGAGGTCATGTATTCAGTGATTTGGTTATTCACAGGCTACTGTTCAATGTCTGCAGTGCAAGTTGGAAAGCACCACTTTCCTACTCGAGCTATGAGGAAGCTGAATTTTGTATTATGACAATGAAAATTCCCAATTATTATGTAAGACAAAAAGTTTATTTATATAGCACAATTCATACACAATAAATAATCACAGAACATTAAAAAGAAAGATAAAAATCTAAAATCCCTCAGTTGTATGCACAGTTAAACAGAACTGTCTTTAACCTGGTTTTAAACAGGCCTGTCTCACATCTTCAGGAAGACTGTTCCAGATTTTAGCAGCATGAATCTGAAAAGCTGCCTCCCCAAATTACAGACCATCTCGATCGGAGAATGCATACAAATGCACATTTATTATAAACTGTTTTGAATCCAGCTGTTTTACAAAAATAATAATAATATTCCTGATTTTGAATCTTTGGGCTGACAGGAGTATGCCGAGGGCAGTGCTGCGGACTGCAAAGATCCTCTATGTTGTCGAAACGACTCTGGCACCCCGAGCTGGCGCCGCAGGGGTGCAGGGTACTGGGGCACCTACAGTAACTGTGACCTGCCCCTGCGCACTGTGGAGCATCTCCTGCAGCAAGCCGCTCAGAGCGGACCCTGGGACTGGGTCTACTGGACCGGAGACATCCCAGCCCATAATGTGTGGTCCCAAACCAGAACAGAGCAGCTGTCTGAACTTACTGTCATTTCTAGGCTCATCCACAAGTAATTCAGATTTACTGTTTCTTGTACAGACACACCTTTTTTGTTTTCATATCCTGTAAAAATTATTAGACTTTGAGTCTAACCTGTACTAGACTTGTTTGTAGTCCTACCCTGGACTAAAAAGTTTCAGAAACACATTGAATTAGTTGAGCATTTTGCATTGTCTTTAATATATCTGCTCCTGAGTTAGGGTATATGTGACTCATTTACAGATACTGCTAACCACAAAGTACTTTACAAGTCAAACCGGAATCGCAATGTGAAATCTGACACCTTTTTTATGTTTTTATTATTTTTTTGACTCTTGTGTTAATATTATTGTAAAACTTCTGTGCATTGATCACTGTTGCATTTGACTTTTGTAATGGCCATTTCATTTTTGGACTGATCTAAACACAACAATTTTAATTAAATTTGACCTTTTCCCCACAGACATTTGGGTCCAAATGTGACGGTTTACCCTGCCATAGGGAACCATGAGAGCACACCAGTGAACAGTTTTCCTCAGCCTTTTATACATGGCAACAGATCTATCGCATGGCTCTACAACAGTATGGCAGAAGAATGGGCTCCGTGGCTTCCAGAGCAGGCATTGAAGACTCTCAGGTTTACAGTTTAACACATGAATATTTGAGTTTGTCGGTTGCATTTTCTGTAACACGCCACTCTTTCCTGTAGATATGGTGGGTTTTACTCGCTCCAGATTCAGCCTGGATTGAGAGTGGTGTCTTTGAACATGAACTACTGTGCTAAAGAGAACTTTTGGCTCATGTTGAACTCTACTGATCCAGCCAATCAGCTGCAATGGCTTGTTGAAATTCTCCAAGCAAGTGAAGACCAGGGAGAAAAGGTCTGAGGAGTAAAATGCACACAAAAAATGGTTGTAAATTCTTGATGAGCCATTATATTATTGACATATTTGGGTTTCTATTTGTTTTCTCTTTAGGTACATATTATTGGCCACATCCCACCTGGTTTGTGTCTTGGCAGCTGGAGTTGGAACTATTATCACATTGTCAACAGGTTGGATTCTTGTTCTATATGTAAATGTAGATATTGCATGAATTGTAAATGGAATTCGTATTGACATCTGCTGTGATCTCTGGTGTTTTTACTCTTATTCAGATATGAAAGCACAATTACTGGCCAGTTTTTTGGACACACTCACACTGACGAGTTTCAGATGTTTTATGACGAAGAAACTCTGACCCGTCCCCTGAGTGTCGCCTTTGTGGCTCCAAGCGTCACTACATACATCAATTTGAACCCAGGTAATGAACTAAACTGTTTCTCATATGTCTGTAAATGATTGATGACTAAATGCCCATTGCTTCAGGTTACAGAGTTTATATCGTGGATGGGAATTACAGGAACAGCTCAAGATTTGTGCTTGATCATGAAACCTACATCCTGAATCTGACCGAGGCAAACCATGGCTCCCCACGACACAGCCCTGACCCCAACCCTAAATGGACTCTTCTGTACAGAGCCACAGAAGCCTACGGGCTGCCCACTCTGTTTCCCTCTGACTTAGATCTGCTCCTTCAGACCTTCTACAAGGACGACGAAGTCTTTCAAAAGTTTTGGGTTTTAAGAGCCAAAGGTCATGTGTCGGAGCAATGCAAAGAGACTTGTAAAACCAACACGCTTTGCTTTTTACGAAGCGGACGCTACGACCTCCTGCAGCGGTGCTCACACCTTCAGCATTACACAAACAACTTGCCTCGTTTCACAATGTGCTGACAAGGGCTTTAAAGACAAATGGAATCCAGCGCACTGTTGCCAAAACGAATCAAGTCTGTCAATAGCTGCTCCTACCCAAAGACATTGTAGTTGTTTATTTGCCAAGTTGAATGATTGTTCATGCAGCACTTCTTCCTTTTTTCAAAGCACACTAAATGCTATATCTAGAAGGTGCCCATCCATTGTAAACCTTGAGTTGGCTTTTGAAGACAATAACTTAAGGGCCAATCTCTGAAGTGTTCAGGCAAGAGACAAAAAACACTATCTAAAAAAAAATATGGTGTTCTATTGGTGTTCTATTGGTTAGACTTATGTTGACAACTTTTCAATCTTCACCTTGATGCCTTTTGGATTACAATACTGTACCATTGCTATGCCTCTTTGTCCCATCTGATTGTGGTTCTGGAAATGATTTATTTGCACTTTATGGTCAAAAAGCAATAAATGTCATGACTCTGGTCAGCATAAAAATATCAATTGTTTTAATTTTACATTACAATCTTAACTAAAACAATGTCACGGGAGAAAAACGGGAATATTCATCCTTGAATAGCAGCCAAACTCCTATACTGTGGAATCAGCTCCCCACCGAGGAAGTAGATAGTCTCTACGAAAAAAAGCCAGACTTAAGTTCTTTAATTATATGCAGAGGCACAAGGCTAAAAAATAAATTCCCATAAATTAAGGTTTTTCTAAATTACCCAGGGCTGGTCAAGCTTTGAAAATGTGAAGAATTTTTATTCACTGTGTTGGGGTAATTTAGTGTATGGCAAGATAAAACTCCGATGAGTTGTTCCTTGCTGAACCAGCCCGGACTCTGAGGAGCACAGGGACTGGACTCCTGTTAGTGCCCAGAGTCAGAACTAAACATGGGGAGGCTGCTTTTCAGATTCATGCTGCTAAAATCTGGAACAGTCTTCCTGAAGATGTGAGACAGGCCTCCTCAATGACAATGTTTAAAAACAGGTTAAAAACAGTTCTGTTTAGCTGTGCATACAACTGAGGGATTTTATATTTGTATCATCTTTATTTTTAATGTTCTGTGATTATTTATGATTTTAATGCTTTGTTTTGTTCAGCACTTTGAATTGCCTTGTATGATTTGTGCTATACAAATAAACTTGCCTTGCCTGATGCAGGAGGGGTTTAAGGACAGCAGTGGACATTGGTCATCTACTTATGGACCAATGGCTGATTATCGTTGCACTTTCTATGTTTGATTCTGATTTGTGTTGGCAATTTGACAACTTTGTAAAGTTCAGAGATAACTCATTTAGGGCTATAATTGAATATTAGGCATCCAGAACAAATGTTGCATTTGTAAACCAAAAAATACTTAAATGACCTAAACGTGAAAAGGAATCAGGTTTGTAAACATTTCAGAATAACGTTTATTAAGGGTCCGAGAAATACATGGTGACACCAAAATCCTCTTTGTACAAATTCCAAGTCTTTGGTTTGTGTGGGTTGTCCAGCTCCTCTCTGGACAGAAACAACCTGTAAGGATAAAATGTAGTTTGAAAAAAATCCTTGTCCATAAAATACTTAATGAAACATACTTGTTCTCGGTTATAAACGAAGTATTAAACCAAAAGTAGAATGGAACATCTTCATATCCTTTTGGAAGACCCTAAAAAACCAGAGTTGTATCATTAAAGAATTCAGATTAAACCCAATTTGTCTTCAGGCACTTACAGCACTTGATTCAAACATGACTTTGACGTCTCCATCGACCACAGGCCCATTCGGTAAACTGATCACGGCTGCATTGCTTCCAATGTCAGGAAATACCTGAAACAAATTCACATATAAAATACTACAATCGTTCAAATGAGGAGTATTGTCACAATACTAAGTTTCAAACTATTTTCATATTAGAAAAAGTTTAGATTTCTGAATTATTTGTATTGATACTCAAATCAGAATCTAATCTTTGATACTAGCTTTAGTATTTTTGACAATTTGCGAGACAGTTCTTACCTGATAAGCTGCAGGCTCCAATTTCTTAGAATTTGAATTTGTACTTATACAAACTGCACCATTTTATGAGCTGCACACTTCCCACATTGTAATATTGAAACCGTCATTCATCATGTCTTTTTACTGTCAGTAATAAGAAGCGAGTCTCTTCCAGTGTGAAGCAGGTAAGGAACAACATAAACTCTTTTCACTTTCATGTCTTTACAGAGAACGACCATTAAAACATGTCTCGCATATCACCAGAATGATGACAATTAGGAGCACCAATAGTCAAGATGATCCACCCAGGAGTAGAAAATCCACCCATACTGTATGCCTTTAAGTTTCAAAATACATGAAGAACGGAACCAAATAACATAACAGCATCTGAAAATGTACTCACACAACAGTTCTCCTGCTTGGCACACACACATTCAAACACCAGCTCCTTTCTGACTATTATCTTCACTCTTAAATCACTGCCATCGCCTTTACCGACGCCTGTTTTCAAACAGAACCATTACTATTGTCATTGTCAAATGTCAGAATGAGTCCAAACTCATAGCTGCACCTGCTATTGAATGGATCCGAATGCTTTTGATCCTGAGGCTCTTTGGAGGAGGGAGCTGTCTGTTGAACGTGGTCTTCATGATTTCATAATATCCCACGTACCTGCTCTGAGAGGGGCACAGACATTGTGAATACTTTAATATGAACTGCAACAGAAGTATTTGACCATACGAAACACTTGTCCTACTTGTGATGGCGTCTCTACTCCTTGAAACTTGCAGCTTCGACTTTTGTCTGTTCTCCTTTCACCAAAGAACTCTAAACTGTCCTAAAGCGTGGTAATGATATCGATAATGATTAATAGGACCACTGTTTCTTAGTAAAGATTCACTCACCTGAGCTGACTCAAACTGGTCACAATCAATCAGCCAAGTGCACACCATTGTACCTGTGCGCCCTGGAATATCAATGCAAACATTAAAAAGGCCAAAATCAAAAGATACAGTCACATAGTCGTCGCATACAAACCTTTCCCCCCTTTACAGTGAATAGCAATGATGTTTTTTGGATCTTCAGCCATCCACTCCCTTACACTGGCCGTGTATTTCAGCAAATCCCTGTTTTATTAGAACAAATAAAAGTGTCTAGATTTAACTAAAGATGAACAATGGGAAGGTATTTTCCTGAATACAACTCACTGCAAAGAAGGTACATTGTGGTCGTCAATAAAAATTCTCTCCACTTTGTAATGAAAGAATTGTGGGTCGTATCCCTTTTCACCTAGAAACAATAAAAAAGTATGAAAAGTCAATGAAGTTTACCAATTCAAATGTTTTTTTTTTTTTTTTTTAAACCAAGCAAAGGAAACTCACTGCACAGGTTGTAAACTTTATAGTGTCCTTCATGTTTAGTGTCTAGAAATCTCGCCACCTCCTGGAGAGATGACAAACAAATCAAATGAGGCATGTGTATAAAAAAAGGTTACTGTCGAGTTGGGAGTATAAAATAGAGAAACTCAATTTGTGGCTTACCTTAATGGGATTTCTGTAGAAGGATTGTTTGCCCGAAGAGGGGAAAGACATTGCAATGACACGGTCTAAATGGGAAAAAGTCATTTTGGGTCATGGAATTTGAATTGTTGATCTTTATAAACAGTCAAACGTGTACAATATGATTTTAAACTGAACAAACCCGTGACGTAAGTGAGATCAAGGTCAAACCCATCTTTCTGGTAGCGTCTCTTATTTTCTGAAACCTGACAAAAACATGAACCCACCAAATATTGTTTAATTTTAACAGGGAAAATGTCAAATTACGTGTCTTTACCATTCTCCTGGTGACTTTCTCCAGCTCCTTTTTCTGAGCTGCTAATCGGAAAACCCTCACGAGAATTAATATTCTCAAAAAACGTAGAAAAGCCACCACCCTGATGACAAAGACATGTGATGTATTAAACGGTTACTTCAACACAAACTTGGCCTTGTTGGGAGTCAAAATGACAAAGCACCTGGGGATGAGGCTGGCTCCTGACAGGTCAGAGAAGGTGTAGATCATTGTGACCACTAAAGTGACCACTACAACCACAGCATCCACTATGTTCAGCCTGGAGCTAAAATACACTGAAAACCTGCGTGGTGGACCAGGAAATGGGAAGAACAGTTACAGAATAAGCTTGTGTCTGCTTTATGCCATGTCAGCTTCCACTTTATCAGTGTGGTCGTGTGCCAGAAGTCAGGAAGGGAGACCTGGTAGTTTTGTCACAACAATAAGGTTGGTGTAGACATGATTGTGTGGTTTGCTTCTTTGTTCTTTTTATGAGAGAAAGGCCTTATTATTGTAAAAGTAATAATTCCCTTCTATCGACTATCAATGGTCTTAACCCTTGTGCTCCATCAGGTCAAAATGACCGGCCACAGTGTTTTGAAAGAAAGATATCCTAGATGATGGTATAAAAAGGTTTTTAAATGCTTTTATTTTTGTGGCGGGTCAATTTGAACCGAGGATAGGTTAAGGGTTAAGTATCTAGTTTAAATCAGTAGTGCATCTGATTTCTTACAAGCCTTAAACCAAATGTGAATTAGTAAGTGCATGTGGGAGTAATGCAATGTCTTACTAACAAATGTTTTGCTTAACTTCCTTTCCGAAAGCTTCCCGTTTGTCAGAGCTGTATTCTTGCTGACTCGGGCATCTGCTTGTGAATAGTTACGAGTGGGGTCCTAACTATTGCTAAACCAACATGAGTAAATGTCAGCGTAAATTAACACAGACAACATGAAGGCAAAAGAGATGCAAATGTTTTGTTATCAGTGGAGGTGTTGCAAAACAGTGACATTTTAGCTGTAGAAGGTTCCATCTGCTTTTTTTCTTTATAAATGTATTTTAATAAAAGACAAAACCCATTTTATGTTATATTATGCATCAGTTCAATAAATTATTTCCAACACAAACGTTTATCGCCGTGATTTTCTGTAGCAATATATTGTCCATCAAAATGGGTCACTGGGACAGGCCAAGAGAGACACACAAACATGCACGAGTAATAAAAAGGTTTCCTCTGCACTCACCTTTCTACATAGACCCGAAGCATAACATCAAAGAGAAAGAAGAAAGAGATCACGAGAGACACGGCCTCCAGAGCATTTCCCAGCTCTCTGCTCCTGGCCGGCAACGACAGATCCACAATGACCAGCACAATGTCCACTACGATCAGGACCACTCCGAAAATACTGCAGACAAAAACCCTGCACTAGCATCATACTATTAGGATGGACAAACCCCTCCTCAACAACTCAAGTCTCACCGAAATCCAAATGACATGACCACTGGGCTGATTTTCTTTCTGATATTGCTGTAGTGAAAGAATTTCTTATAGTTACAGTGATTAAATCAATGTAAAACTATTTAACAGCAAATACATACTGATACATAGTGTCTGGGTCCAGATCCTCCTCTTTCCCATCATCGATTTCCACTTTTGCGTCCTCCATCTTTGCAACGTTACTAAAAAATACATCACGAGCAAACCTTACTTTGCTGGCATTCTTTCCCATAATGTTGCAACATAAAAAGTAACATTTTGAAGACCATTTGCCATTGATTTCCAAGATTTGCCATTGCAACAGTCAAATGTGGAGCCACAATCTGTATACTCTTTGTCTGAGAACTATGAATATTAAGTAAACATATTTTGCACCTTACTGACTCCTGGTGAAGGATCAATAACTATGAAATTGCATGTACAGACCAGCAACACAGTTCAAACAAATAATTAGCATAACTCAATGTATTTGGTTTATTCATTTTCAAGATTGAACTTAATCTTGAAAATGAATTATTTGTGATGAATACATTTTGCATGCCATACCCATTCACACCAGCATCTGATCCAGGATTGAAAAGGACAGACGACATGCTGGAGTCTTCACTTTCAATATCTGTCTTTGGAGGAAAAAACAACAACAAAAAAACATGAAAAAGCAGTGAGATCTTTGACAAAATGACAACACTCTTGCGCAGTGGTTAGCGTAGACTTTAGATTGCACAAAGTAGATCTGCCCTCCCACACTTTGCAATAGTTTTAGACATATTTACTCACCCTTAAAGCAGAAAAATCAATGCAAAGCGCCAGCCCAGCTTACCCGTGGCTCTGTGGACAGTGACATTATGAGCGTGTCTTGTGATCTTCAGGGAGAAAGGAAGAAGATGGTACAAAGGTTAAAAACTCCTCTCATCCACTTTCCCGTGACGAGGTTTGTGCACACGCAGCAGGTTTGCACTTCCTGGACTTCAGAGAGGAGTTTTCTGGCTAATTTTTACACATCTGACTGTGAAATGGACAATGATAAACAGATTTAGCAGCAATCCAGACAAGTTAGCGGTGTAGCAGAGTTAGCATCTGTTCTCTCCTCCCATATACAGTCAGGTCCCAGCATGGCCCCACTGCAACAGCTGCTTTCAATCAACTTTCAATGACAGTGGAAAAAGATTTGTTAAAGGTATATAGAAAAAAATATATATATATATAGGAAAGAACCGCCCTCTCCACTTATTGAACAAAACTCTCTGGTCTTTTTTGAGGAGCGCGTATTATCAGATTGATTGACAATTGGAAGAACCAATAGTCTTGATGATCCACCCGGAAGTAGAAAATCCTCATATAAACCTGTAATTCGTCAACATTTGTATTATTAGCATGCAGACTATTAAAGACATGGTTATCTTAGCCTACATATTCATGTGGGGAATAAATTACTCTTTAAAGCTAACTTTGGAATCACAAAATAATTACGATTCTTGTAATTATAGTTTCTTGCTCTCAAAACAGTTTGGTTTTCACATGCATGCATTTTAGACATCTGTCAAAAAAAAGTGAAAAAAGAAGACTTTATTACTTTATTAGCGTCCAACCCAAACAATCAAATACTGACTTATAGTATCAAAAGAAAAATGGCGAGGAGACAGCCCCAGGTTTGAGGCATGTGTTTCATGTCCGAGTTGATTTATCCAAAACCACTGATTTTGTAAAACATTTTCTAAAAGTAAACTAATGAATATTTATCAGAATTGTAAAGCCACTTTAAATTGACAAGTGACTTTATGAGATCTATGTGAGTTATTATTTTTCTGACATTAACACTGTCCCCACCTGGACCTGGATGTGCTCTTTGTCATAGGATTTCTGCTAAAGGTCCATGCAAAGAAAAATGAAAACAAATTCTCTCAGGTTTCCCTCTTCATTCCATGCAAGCAGTTTGTCTCTCACCTGAATCTAACCCAAAATTCCTCGAAATTGAATTCCTTGAGTCATAATGTGGACCATGCAGAACCAACTCCTCTCTCTGAGTTCAGAAAGAAAACCAGATGAAAGCTGAAGCTATAAAAGATAGTTTGCTGATAGTTAGAGATTAGTAATGATTGCAGCTTTACTTTTTATGGCTTTGGCCTGCTGCAGCATTGCTTCAGCGGACATGTCAGTAAGTATCATTTGTTTTGTTTGTTTGTTTAGTCTAAATATTTAATCTGTATATTCATGCCTCTGTCTTTGCTTAGGTCCTGGACTCCTGTGAGACAGAACTGGAAGCTCTCAGGAAAAGCATAAAGAAACTGGAGAATAACCTTTTGATTGGAAATTGGCAGATCAGATACCTGCAGACCCACAAATATTTTCACCAGACGCTGTCAAACAATGATGATGATACTGACACAGTGGATAAGAAACCGAGCACGCCTCTCCCACCTGCAGGGAGCCTCATCGTACACGACAAAGGTAGTTTTTGTAGGTCTAAAGTTTGCATTTTGGTGTATGTGACATGTTAGCTTGTGGTTGATATGGTGTTAAGCGACAGTATAGACAGTGGGCTAAATCTGGAAGTTTGTATTCCTAGTATCTAAGTATCAAACGTTACATGTTTATTTATAATATTTATTGTCATTCTTTTCATCATCTTTAATGTTAACTGCACTCTACGGTCCCTTCTTTCCATCATCAACACACATTCTTGAACATTGTAGAAGTCTTGCTCACATTTTCCAGATTTGAGCTGCATGAATATGAAATGCTGCCTCCCAATGTGTATTCCTGACTCTGGTGCCCAGTCCCTGTGCTCCTCAGTTGGTCGGTATGTACTTTGTTACAAGCAAAAATGTAATTTCTCATTCTTGCAGATTGCTCCGAGCTGTTTGACAGACTGAAACCTCCGAGTGGCTTCTACAGGATCAGGCCTGTTCCAGAGCAGGAGCCTGTTCTGGTTTACTGCGACATGGATGACGGAGGCGGCTGGACCGTGTTTCAGAGACGGAGACATGGAAAGGTGGATTTCAATAGGTAATCACGAGAAAGATTATTTGAACTTATTACTTTACCTTTTTATCTGCTCTGACAGTTAGTGAGATGGACATGGTTGAGTTTTGTAAAAATGACTTACTCCACTGTTTTATGTCAAAAAGAACAATGGGGCAGGTTCCTTCTAACTGATAATAAGATAAATGTTTTCCTTTTTCTGTTACACTTTTAGATTCAGATTCAGATTCATTTATTTGCCATTTGCAGTAAAACCACATAGGAAAAACTGTGCAAGACTACCCCAGTGTGCACCAGACGACACACACCAGAGCTCTTGCCACGGCGCCATCTTTACGGCGCCATGCGACAAACAGTAGAATAAACAGCAGAGAGCAATAACATACAGTTTCACAGACAGTTGGATAGACACATTGTGCTTTGTATAAACCACACATTTTTTTCTCTGGATGAGCACCTCCGACAGCCGGCCAAATGTGGCTGTCAGAGGGGGGCGGGGTCAGGGAGGGGGTGAGTCGGAAACACAGTGAGGAGGGGAGGGGAGGGGAGGGAGCAAGATGGATAGAGGGAGGCGGGGGAACGGGATCGGTGTGAGTTGCTGTAGATGGGGACCTTGTTATTATGGCCTTGGCAGAGGAATGTGAGATAAGAGTGGAGAGAAGACACAGCAGGAGAAAAACACATCGCCTCAGGGGGACAATATTATATGCAATGTAGCAGTCAAAAGCAGATATTCTATTAAATCCAATTAAACCGAATTGCGGCGCCCTCGGACCCCGTACACAGGGGCAAATCCAAGCCGGGTCAGAGAGTTCAAGCCTGACACACGATGTCATTCAATCTCATCTCCAATGTTTTTTGCCCTTCGAGTGAACGAGCTGCGAGATCTTTTATCAACTGTTCCACCAAAACCACTCTCTTTTGTCCAGACACGGCACTCTCAACCACAACGCGGCTTAGCTCCTTGTACATCCCATCAATTTTGTCGGCCAGCAGGTCGTGAATCTTGCGAACTGCCATGCCTCCGAATTTGCGGTAGAAGAGGACCGCTCCAAACCCAAACAGGAGGATTCCCACCACCAGAATGCCAAGATATATACGTCTTCCGAATCTTCAATGGACAGGGTCGACAGATAGAGGGGCTGAAACTTGTTCCAGCTGTCAAGAGTATACCCCGCTGGTGAAGTCCCGTCCGGGCACACGGGCTCTCCAGACTCTCGCTTACGTGTTGAAAAGATAGAATCAATTGCGTTGAGGGACCAGTTAATCATTTCCATTCTGTTAAAGTTGTCTGTGGCAAAACTCCAGGAAAAAGACAAAAACAGGAGATAGCAAGCAGTCAGAAGCAGGAGCGGTCTGAGACACGTCTTTGAACTACATGAATTATGTTTTTTTTTCTCCAAGAAAATGATTTTAAATTCACATTTGCACGATAGGTACCAGTTCTGGTACTTTTTAAATTTCTTGGCCCACTTGGTCTGTTTTTGTGTTTTTTCAGAGACTGGGTGGACTACAGAGATGGATTTGGTGACTTCAAACTATGGAATGATGAGTTTTGGTTGGGCAATGAGCACATTCACTCATTACTTTCAAAAGGTAACTATTATTCTATAAAACATTGTTACTATTTAGCTTCTAAATATATATACGGTATATTTACGTTAAGGTAAAAAATTGGTGAAGATAGACTTATTGGATTGGGATGGACACAGAAATTATGCCTTTTATGAGAACTTCAAGATCGGTGATGAATCTGTAAGTGAATGAAAGTATATGGCTCAATTATACAAATAATATAATGTACTTTAATACTATTATTTAACTTCTAATTACAGGATAAGTACCGTCTCCAATATGGCCAGTATAGTGGCAAAGCGGGGGACGCTCTGACAGGAGGAGGAGGGATGGTGGAGCAGTGGTCCGCCTGTGTCAGTGGGATGCAGTTCAGCACCAGAGATCAGGTTACAGAACTTTATATGAGGCATAACATTCTCACATGGAAAAAGGAAAGAAAAAAATCACAATATACTGCTTATATATTTTTCATTATAGCACATAAAATTGATTGTACTGAGATGCCCTTTCTTATGAAAAGTTGCTTCAATATGATGTTTGATTTTCAACAGGATAATGATCGCTATCATCAGGGCAGCTGTGCTCAGGAGAATCAAGGCGGCTGGTGGTTCAATCGGTGAGTCCAAGTAGCGGAAGGCGTCTGGGAGATATTGACAAATAGCTATATATTCCAATGTAACATATTGTTCATGAAAAATAGCAAAATATCAAGTCAGACAATATTTTTGATAAATAATAACATTTGTGTTGGAACATTTCTGTATAACTAACACCAAAATTACAGAACCCTGGTGTGTATTTTGAAGAATTATACTTTTCCTATCTCCAAAATCGCTTTTACGAAATATTTCTATATATCACATTTGCTGCCCACCTCAAAATCCAATTTCAACATTATATTCATGTTGGTGCATTTGCCTGTATTTCTTGATTGGAACGATGACTTTCATAGTTTAGAATCATCACAGTTCTCTCATTGGAGAGAAATGATCTAAAATATTCTTGGAAATAGCATGAAGTTCAGGTTTTAGACAAGATGTAAAATCAGACCACACCATTATAGAAGTACAGTATTATTATCACCTAACGTGTCTGCAGAACCTTGCTCCAGTTTCAGCTGTGATCATTTAGATTTCCAAAGGATCAACTGCAGTTTACTAACTTTCACGTTATTTTAACTTACAGTTTTAACAATACTGGACACACATTAATTTAACTTATTTTTTCTGTTACAGATGTCATGCGGCCAACCTCAATGGTAGGTTCTACCGAAAAGGGAAGTATTCTGGTGAATTTGACAATGGGGTGGTTTGGGGGACATGGAGAGGCCTCTGGTACTCCCTGCGGCACACCACCATGAAGGTGCGACCTCTGATGTTCCTGGACTCTGTGGGAAGTGGAGATGGAGCGTTTTAAAATGGACTGTAGTGTTGTCTGATTCATAATACCTGCCATATTACAATTACTGTAATATTTCTTCAATGAATATTTCTCCTAAGCAATAAATGTTGCATCTTAGCTTTTGCCTTGATCTCTGTTATGACCAGTGCAGGAATAGAATCTATAATCATATTTGTAGTTTAGTTGGGTATTACTTTAGTTTAACTGCTCTTGAAAATATATGGGTCAGTGTCATCATTTGAAGAGGTAATTCTTCTGAATTCATTTTTACAAAGTCTAAGTTTCATTTCAGGCAGTGAGAACAAATAAATCTTGTTTTACGATGTATGTAAAGTTCCATCTTCTCCTGTACTTTACATACAATAATTGTTCAGTGCCAGATGGTAAAAATAGGAAATGCATTTTCAGACAGAATCTTTTTAATGCAAACATTGCATATTTATACTTGACAAAAATTGGTTTAGCATAAAAAGTATAAAATACAAAATCCCTTGACCTAGTTTAAAAGGAAAATTACAAAAAAACAACAACAAATACAGTGATTCAAACTTTAATGTAAAGGTATCAGAAACCCTAGAATATTTCATGAGTAATAATAACACCTGATTTACCTTTGATAGTCTAATAGCTGTTTAGTGCATCCACTCACTGGTTGTTATTACTCGGCCGCCTCTTCACACGGGGAAGACAGATCCAAGTCCATCATCCTCTGCTCAGCTTCACTCAGTCTGTACGGTGATCCCCCGCTGCTGCTGCTGAAGTCTCCAGACATGGGCAGAGATCTACACCTGTTATTCCTCTGGTGCGCTGACGACACGCTGAACGTCGAGCTGCGTTGGCGTCCTGCTTTGGCACAAGACGATGACTGAGCTTCCTTCAGTTTGCGGGCCAACATGTTTCTTTGAATGGGAGAAGGACCACGCCGACTCCAGTTCATCTCTGCTCGATTCAAACTGAGATGGTTCATCGCAGTGGGAGGGTCCTGTGTCACAACCGGACCCCCAATCCCAGAGATCCCCTGTGTTCTATAGACGCCTTCTTTGATGGAGGTTTTGAGCTCAGGCTTGATGAGTCTTTCTGATGTTGATATTAGACTGTCCGTGTTGGTGCCAGTATGTTTCACCACGTTGTTTTGTGTGCCAGTCCAAGCCTTCTTCAAGTCTTTTCGCTGGAGTCTTGCTTTGGCCCATTCTGAGGCACTTTCTTCTGTAAAAGGATAAGAAGGGGAAAACTTGCCACTTCTATTCCAACTACTCCCCTCAGGAAGAGTGCGAGATCCCACCTGAAAAACATGATCAATTCAATCAATCAATCTGTATTAATAGAGCCCTTTACAACACTCAAGGCGATCAAAGTGCATAAAATCCATTAAAACATTCATGCAATCAAAACAATTTAAGTTAAACAATAGTTATGCAACAATATGCATACATTTATCATAACAAGGCCCCTTTCTCTTCTACAACTCAGGGTTGTATCCTTGCTTTTGCTTATCAAGAGAAGAAAAAGCTATGTAAATGTTTTCCGTGGCATCATAACAAACGTGTCCAAAGGTTAATGGTGAAACACTATAAATGTTTATATCTTGTAACACATCTCACATTTGCTGTCAACATATGAGTATAGACTGCATAAAATCAAGTAGTCACAAGGTCGGATATGACAATAGAAGAGTTGACAAACCTGTGTCATGCTTCTCTCTCTGAACTGGCTCACAAGTGCAGCCGATGGAAGCTGAGGTTTAGTGTCATTAAAACTACAAGTTCTACGGAAATATGGATTCCTGTTATAGTTGATTTCATTCCCTTCAGCACTTCCTTGTCCTAATCCTGCCAATCCACTCCGCTCCACCATCTCCACCCAGTCTGCTGTCCGCTCCCTCCAACCAGCACTCGCACCCTTTGAACGACCAGAAACGGGTCCGATAATTTCATCTCCTCGAGGACTCAGTCTGTCAGGCGCAGTCGTCAAAGTCTGAAGTGACATGTCAGAGAAAGGCGCTGCGATTCGGAAAAGGCTTGAGTTTGTGTCTTTGGGAGGGCCCAGGGGGAATGTTGTAGGGGAGGGGATGGGGGAGCAGGTGGGAGAGGCGGATGATTCCAGCAGAGTGTCGTGGACGGGACTGGAGGAAACGTGGTAGAGCTGCGTGGCCTCCTTCAAACCGATCTTCTTCATTTCTTTCAACTGCTGCTGAGCCAGTCGGTACCTATACATGAAATAAATGTGCAGTGAGTATGCTTACATATGTACACCTGGTTTATGAACACTTTCAAAAATGATTTATAACTATGTAACATTGAAACTAATATAATAATATGATAATAATAAAATCCAATTCCTTGTTCGCAAAACAGTTTATAACTATAGTTTCCACGTCCATCCAATTTTGCCGTTTGTACCAGCCCTCATCAGATTTCAGATTAAATGTTTTTCTATTTATGAAGTAAAAGACAAGTTGGGATGCTTCTCTTTAATTCTAAATTAATATTGTGCTTTGTATGAATGCTCAAGTATAGAAAACAATCATCACATGTTTTTTAGTAATAATTCAAATGACTTTTAAATGTATGTTGCCATGAGTAAATAAATAGTGTTTTGGGTTTTATTTCGATTATGCCATTGTTCTAATACTGGAGTAAAAAATCTATTATAATTGATCAATTTGAAATATTAAAGGTAGTAATTGAAAATATATTATGATTAGTGTGAATTGAATTATGATTAATTGTAATAATGATATACTGTATCATCATTTATGACCAAATACAGCTACAATAAAGTATATTTACCCAAATATTGGCGGCAGCATCTTCTGACCACTAGGGGACAGTCTCTCTGGGTCTTGGGCAATAGGTATTGCCAGTGTCTGCGTTGGGGGTGGAGGAGTGATGGGAGGCATGTCTTTTTGGGAGGCGGTGACCCCGGCTGTTTTAACATGGCCATCGATGACACTGGGCCGCTGCAGGCTGTTCGCACAAATGGAAGCCTCATCTGACAACTTCCTTCCCCCTGGAGAATGGAGAGAGCCTCTGCGAACAGAGCTGCAGGTCATACTGGTCTGACAAAGCTTTCTCCACACGGCAACAATAACAGTGGCCAAAATCACAGCCAGGCACAGAGAGATGCCAGCCACAGCCACAATGTTATTGCCCAGGGATGTGGTTCCCATGGGGACAGGAGGTGGGGATGGAGTGGAGGCTGGTGACGCTGGGAAAGAATTGTAGAGAAAATGGTTTGAACTTGAAAGAACATGTTTTACTTTTATAAGGAGATACAAACATATTTTGGAGATAATGAATCACACAAAACTTTTTTTTTTTAACTGAGCATTAGTGTAATAAACATGTTTTCTGTTATAATGTCATTGAGCTCACTCAATCTTATATGAGCAGTTAAGAAAGGTGGCCCAGGAATTTACATGAAGCCTTTTGCCTTGAAGAGTGGGCAGCTTTACTATCAGAGAATTAAAAGAACCACATCCACAGCTACCTTGAAAGACTGGATGGATGTTAAAGGGGGCATACTTTACACACTATTGAGAAGTGGCAATGTTCTTTTTTTTTGTTATTAGGGTCATTCAAAAATATCCGAAACCTGGGTGTGTAAACTTTAAAGCACAACTTTATTTATCTTAACACACGATATAACTATAAAGTAAAACGTAAACTGACCAACGCAGTTTTCCAGGGAGCAGAGAGACTGTTCTTTGACCATGCCTGTGCACTTCCGGCCGCCTCCACCAGAGGGCATTAAACAGTCACGGATCCTCTCCCTCACCCCTTCACCACAGGACACACTGCACAAGCTCCAAGGCTGCCATGGGCCCCACGACTCTGCCAAGATAGATGGAAAAAAAAACAAAAACAACAAACAATTCATTGTATTCAATTTTTGTAATACAATATGAAACTAACACAATAATGGAACTCCACAGACTGAGAGATGAAAAGGCAAGGCTATTCTTTAGTGTTCTTGGACATGCAGAAGTTTGGCATATTATTTCTCCACAACCCAGATTCTAATATGCAGTAGACACCCCTCTTGTAGCAATACATTTGATTTCTTGTATTTATAATTAACAAAATGTGTGTGTTAAATGTCTAAAATGGGTCTCTGTGAAGCTGTGAGGGGGTTGACGCTTCGGGGTTCCAGAAGTCAAATTCTCCCTCCAAAATCCCCATAAGGATTTCAAAAACGTATACTATTATAAAAGATGAATACTCAGGATTGATGACTGATCTGATTACGACTGACCACCATGTGACTGTTTTCAGCCCAAAAAAACCAATTAACCATGTTCAGTTCTTGAAGAAAGCAAAGTATTTTAATTTTTTTTTAATTATTTATTTTTAAAAGATGTAGGACACTATTAGCACAATACATTATTCTATTATAATTTTTAGCCCCTAGTTTATTAATGACAGGCCTTTATGAAATTGTTGAGATGCAGTTTGATGTAAAAGTGCCTAAAACCAAGTGAGATGCTCCAAAGAGGGAGATTTCCGTTCCAAGCTTCAAGTCAATAGTGGCTCAAAGACAACAAAATGGTTGCGGTAACCATTAGACTATACTTTAATATATCAGGTCTTGTGGTCAGGACTTCTCAGATCACTCATTTGCCCTGAGCTAGTTTTCAATCTTTTATCAAATCTCTATGGTTATTTTTAATGCAGAATTTTTCTTCCAGCTCCAGGAAGCTCCATCCACCCCCACATCCACTTTACCTGCACTCTTGTGGACCACCACACATGTGTGCGCTGGACTGGGTGATCGGCTGTAGTTGAAGACAAACCGAAAGCAGTATTTGTTCCTCCCCGGGTAAAATACAGAGCAGTTGAACTCGGTTTCATTCTGTCCTTGAGTGAGCCAGTTGAACGCCAGAGGAGGTGATCCTGGTTCCTCTGACCCAAATCCCAACAATGCAGTGCTTCCTGTTCCAGTGGTGGATACACTTTGACCGACCCCTGTGTCTTTGTAGAGCAAAACTTTTCCATTAACGTGGGCACAAGGTGGAGTCTGCAGCTTGACAGACATTGTTCCTTCACATGCCCCTCTATAAGTGCTGCCATTCTCAACCAGAAGCTTGTAAGAGAATATTCTGGACAAATAGAGTGGTCCAGAACTTTTCACATCTTGAGTTGTATGAGGCGACTTCAGGTCCACTCGTATGAAGTCTTTTTCAGTGAATGGGAAAGCGCATGGCAGCTCGAAGCTTTGGGAGCGGAGCAGTTTGACTGGATAGCGGGAGCGTGTCCGGACTTTGTCGATGCTGTTTCGGCCGATTTGGTTGTACTCCATGAAACTAACCTCCAGGAAGAGAGCAGAGTCTAAGCCACTGTTGCAGGCTGTGAACTGGTCATTAGTCGCAATCCCAACCTGAGGCAAACAGAAGAAACCGTCAAAAAAGATCTACCACAGTGAAAGTAATATGGCACCAAACACATAATGTAAGTCGATTAAACAATCTGGGGCAAATACATAATGGATTTATTAGTTGACCAAAAGAGGAAAAGCAAACTAGCCATTTCCACAATATTAAGAAATTGTAAAATCACACAAATCTAGAAGCAAAACAATGAAGCGCAGAAGTGCTATTGCCTAAAAATGTTGTGTGTGCATAAATAATGGATGGTGGTTTGAGGGACTGATGATTCCCAAACTGTGGAATAGTCCACCTCTGTACGTTAGCTTCTTCATTAGAGGTTTTTAAATCTAGTCTAAAGACACATTTTTACACCTTGTCTTTTAACCTCATCTGAGTTTTACTTTTTACATGTGTTTGCATGTGTATTTTATGCTGTTTGCTTTTTCTGGGCAGCTGGTGTTTCTGTAAATGTGCAACATATGAAGTTGAAATTAACATTGACATTGATGGTGCAGTATGTCAGCCTTGATTCAGTCATGCTGTTGTGATCATAAATAATATCATCATAAAGTCTGTATTTGTTTCAATTTGTTTCAGTTTCAGAAGTTGTTTAGTTACATTAAAGCCATTCTCCATCCATCCATTTTCTTCCCCTTAATCCATTTCTGGATCGGGGGGGGGGTGGCAGTCAGAGTTGCACCCAGTACAGAGAGCACCATCCTAAAGCCATTCAGTTGCCAAATACCAGAATTGCTATATAATCCAGGACACTTTCTATACAGCGTCAAACTTTTTTTTTCTTGTCTTTATTTCTGTTTTTGATTTTAATTGTCCTCTATCTCTTGTCAAATTTCAAGGCTCCACCTCTGTATGGACCCTAAAAGGTTGACATATCTCGCAAATATAAAGTATATATTTAAAGCCAGTACCTGAAAAGACCCAGAGTGGTTTCCAGCCCTTTCCACAGCCACATGAAAAGTGGGCCATTGCACTTGCAGTTCTGAACTCCACCACAAGGTCGTCCTCTCCACATCATTGTTGCTTGTCCCATTATTGCTGTGAGAAGCTTCAGGGGCTATACTTGTTTGCCTCAGCAAGAAGCGGAAGGTCCCGGCATAGAGGAAGCAGGAGCAGTTGAACTCCACCCTAAAAGTAGATGGGACGTTTGGGATCTTCCGAGTGGTTAAGGTGGTGTTGGTCTCTGTATTGACTAAGGACAGGGTCCTTTGAACAAGAGTGCTGTTGCTGGAATTCAGTAAAAAGTCCACAAATACGCTGGCGTTGCTGAGGGCAATGTGAAGAGAGGGCCAGATACTGAGCCCTGCCAAAGCTGGATAAGGAAAAAAAGAATGAATATTGACAACACATTTCATCACATAATATCCATCTATTTGTATATGCCAGATTTATATAGCTAAGATAAGATAAACGTTATTGATCTCACGATGAATAAATGTAAATGTCACGTTAGCAAAAAATAGAATAACTCAGGGTGTGGAAAAAGACAGGAAGTGTGCGAAAATATTAAAAAGGTTAAAATAGTCTTTTTTATGCAAGATATATTATGTACAATAAAGCAGTTTTTGCAGTATTTTGGTTCAATCTAATCAGCAGGTTTTGAGAAATGCAATTAGAGAATTTGTTTTTTTAAATTTCCCCTCCATTTTTTCCCCTCCAACCATCTGCCCAGCTGAATTTGATCTGCTTCTATTGCGCACATTTAAGTAAACAAGTGTAAAAAATGCAGCAGAGTCTTTGATACTTGTTATTGTAGCATTGTTCATATGTCCTTCCTCCAAGGGAAACATAAAGAAGAATAATCACACTCCGCCCTTCCTTTTGAATCTCTTCCCAAATATCAGACCTATATGTCTTTCAGCACACTTTCTCGTCTTTCAGCACAATTTGTTGGTCTCACCGTATCCCGTGAGTGCCAAAAGCAGAGGGAGTGTGCAGACGGCCTGTGGCATAACGATCACTGTTTTCTCCTACAGTTCATCTTCCTCCATCCCTTTAATCTCTGTGAATGAGAGACAGATCAGAACATTAAAAAACACAAAACTGACAAGGCCCAGCAGATGTTTTCTATATGGCTATAAGCTTAAAAAACAGGAAGAAGAAACATTGATCTGGTTATTTACAAAGCTCTTCCTTTTCCTCCACTCTTGACAATGCACCGGTGAACTATATCAGCTCCTTGATAAACTGCTCAAGATTTGGTATTTCCTCCTACAAATAATAATAAAATAAACCAACAAATTATTAACAATATTGGGTTTTTTTCTGGTGCTCAAAATAATGGATTTGGTTTTAAAATTCCATTGGTTGTGTTTGAACAATACCTTTTTATATATGTTTGGGCCATAATTTACAGATGTAGAGACAAAAAATACATTTCACAAATTATGTCAATTTCTGGGTCGCGTTGCATGAACTGGACATTTAAGATATCCCAAAAGCGGCATTTTTTTTTAACAATTGGAAGGAAAACAGATTTATTTTATTTTATTTATTTTTATATAATTCATAATCTCCAAAAGATGGCTAAAACAATTCCCTTTCTGCCTGGGTGTGTAACTTTTAAGCACAACATAGGGTTACATTTTTTATTTTTTTTTTAAGAAGTTGAAAATTGTCTGCTTCCAAACTAGAAATCACGCCAGTTGAAGTTTTTGTCCACCATTTTTAACATCGACTTTATTGTTGCCTAGGATTAATTTGAAACTATAGTAAAATATAGAAAAAAAACAAGCAGACTTACCGGTCACGGGGCACGTACATGCTCTGCGTTTCCACTGAAGACGCATCTCAGACAAACATGACAAAATATTGACTTTCACATTTAACATCCATAGCGCGCACTCACAGGGCGGACGACAGTGGCTGAAGTGACTGAAGAGTAGGACATGAGGCGCGCCGCCGCTGCCAGGAGCGTGGGCCTCGTGCACGCGCATCACCGAGTGCGCTTCTCCCGCTCTCACATGTACGAGTCTCTCAACCTGTGACCCGCTGTGCAGACTGAGTCAAAAGAACCTACATTACAGGACTTGATTCCATTTAAAACTGTTCAAATATTGTTCAGACATGCCCCCTTAAAATATCCACGCACTACAGTAAATAAAAACATATATGCTGATTTTGTGAACTATTCTAAAATAAATGTGTCGAATTTAAATCATACTACAATCTGATTTAATACAAAATATGTAAAAACGAAGTTAAAGTTTTTTGTGTCTTGTCTTGAAACACCTTTGCTAGTGTACTGCACAGTATTGTATTGTAGTATGTTTGACTGAATATTGTGCGTGTTGTATTGTGTTGAATGGGTGAAAGGGCATTGGGATAATATAAGTCTGATTCATCCATCCCCTTCTAAAAAACATGTACAGTAACAGTACAGTAGTGTATAAATGGAATTCATGTGAATGCTTTCACGGTCGAGACTAGAGGGCACAGACTCAGGTTGAGTTGCAGTCTGTCTATGTCTACAAGTCGGAACAAGACAACGACGGTCACAATAACGGTTTAACATTGTTATTATTTCCCAGCCCACATTTCCCCCATAGTAAAAAATAAATAAATAAAACTAAACAACAAACGGCCATGCTAATGCAAATTAACAATGATTAATAAAGAAAGAGACTCTTGACATGAGTCTGTTCTTATCTTTTGCCCTCTGGCTTCGAATGAACAACACTTTTGTGTTTCAAATGACATATTTGTAATGAAGTAAAACGATAGCAATAACCTGTGTCAGACCTGTCATAATTGCAGGCAAGGTGCTTATTGAATCTCAAAATCTTGGCAAAGATAGTTGACATACTCAACAAAGTAAAAAAGAATTGGATTCCGACAGTTAGATATTTAAAGTGATATGCTGGGAACAACACACATGTAGATCAGATGGGTTCATTGTTTAATGAAAGAGAGAAAAGAAAAGAAAGAAAGACTGAAACTCAGTTTGATTGATTTGAGTAACTGAGATGTATCAGTATGTGGCAGAATCACAGCATGTAATACCATACAGTGGGATAATTGCAGTTTCTGGAAAGGTGGAAAATATGTTCAAATAGATTTGAGTGAACCTGTCACAAGAAGAGGACTCCTGCACATCGCAAGTTCTTTGAAAACAAACGTATATTGCATTGTTTCAGTCTTGTGATCCTCCTCAAGCAAATAGATTTGGGTAAAATCTCAAACCCTCAACAGAGTCATCCCTACACAGGTGACCCATCTTCTCAGCGAGCAACAACCTGCAAAATATTACAGAACATTAAAAAAAAACAATGAAAGAAATGCATTGATTACAAAAAATCCTATCATAGAACCACAAAGACACTCCTTACCGTTCTTTGGATAAAAGAACTGAAAGTCCCAAAAGTTTAGCAAACTCTTCTGCTGTCAAAGACCCCTTCTCTGACACCTGTGGAAAACAAAAATAGAACAAATAAACTACAACTATAATTTTAAATAACTGCTATACTATATTTAATTTTGTTCTATAAGCATCTACAGTGTTTCTATATAAGACTGCAAAGGTTTAAGCATTGCATGGTTGTTGTGGGCCACACAAACAGCTCTCTGCTATGGTGCAGCTTACATTGTCCAGCGCTGAGGCGATCATTTCCTCTTCACTGTGGGACTGCAGCTGGACCACCATCACACCACTGTCAAACACACGCAACCTACAGAAGAGAAGTAAAAATACACAGATGAAGTATATGCAGCAGTGAATTCTACTCCCAGTGCAACATAAAAAGATCAAATATCGCAATCAATGGCAATTACAACATTTTCTAGAGTCTTGAGATCACAGGAAATGACACACAAAAAGGGCAGAACAGACTTTGAGGGAAAAAAACAGGAAGCCAGCCAGGAAACATGGTCTCTCTGTGAAATGTGTCCCGGCTTCAGTCTATCTTTTACAATATTTGGTTTATATTATCGGCCAGATTTGATGCCAAAGTGACCAACATAAACTAGGAAACTTACCTGACAGGTAGCTTTAAGGACTCGAACATCTTGCATGCATTTAGCAAATCTTCTGGAGAAAGCAGCTTTATCACAAAAACAAAAACAGAATTTCTGATGTCTGATCAAATTAAATGATTGTAAAAATATGTAATTACCTCCATCCCTCGTGCCCGGTTGACAAGACAATAGACTTCAGTGAGTGACATCATTCCACCACGCTCCTATGAGAAAGTGCAATAATGAAGAAATGACTAATAATTTGTACATACAGTAATAATCTGACAAAACAATTCTGTTCCAAAAAAAAAAACATTGCCGGCTTACCAGCTATTTATAATACAATCCAACGTTTTAAATTTGCTTTAAAACTAGTAATAATAGTACCTCTAGTGGAGCTTGAAGCATATCCCCGAGCTGCTTTGCGAGCTGCATATGGTAATGTGTGCCCGATCCGTGTGTTTCTCTTGTCACAGGGTTTGCTATTCCCATACTCAATAAATAGGACTTGAATCGTATGGTCTGTGAAGTTTAAACAAAATAAAAGCACAATGAAGTCTTTGTGGTTATGACTTTTGGTTAGGATCACAATGTCGTAGAAATGTCATACCTCATCTTCAGATATGTCACCCTGTTTGTCTTTTATCTTGTTTGCTATAGATTTGGAAACTTCAACCATCTCCTTGGCCTGTGAACAAATATTGTAGTAATTAAGTATAGGCATACTTAAAAAATACTCAAATATTATTATTGGTTTTACCTTCACCATTAGTTTACTAAGATCCTCAAATGCCTAAAAGAGAAATAAATGAAACGTATACATGATAAGATGTGAATAATTCAATTTCAGGCTCCAGAGATTATTTTAATTCCAGAAACTGCCCTAATTGCATCACTTTTTTGGCTGATGCTGAACATTCTTCCCACAATCAAGCAGATAATTTAACGTCATAGCTCAGAATGACTACATTGAATGATGGTATATTGCAAGTCCTTGATTTTGACTGAATATGAAAATACACAGCATGTTTACATATTTATTTCATAAACATTTCTACCTCAGAGATGTTTTTGTCTGTCTCTTTCCTTTTTTCTTCGATCTTTCGTTCAATGCCAACAATGCCCACAGCACGTGTTCTTCCTGCCTATGAAGCCAGAAATTAAATGCAACAGTCAATGAAACAATGAGGACACGTATAACAACACGTATAACATTATTATATTTTATATACTTATATATACTTCTGATTTAAGAAGGTGTAAGAGGAAAATTAATGCAAACAAGGGAATACCAATCCATTAGAATCCATCCAGTGGTCACGTCTCTGGTTTACAGACAGCTTAGTAAAGGCATAATTACTGTGTGTGCGTGCGCTCGTGCATGTGTCCACATCAACATGGCAAGAATAGCAGCCACAGAAAAACTAGTCAAAACCTTGAATATATAGTGTTCACAAGTGTGATAAGCAACTACTGGGAAAGTTTTAAAAAGTGGGGGACGATGACAGTCACAATTCAACCAATATTGCCATCTTGTGGCATTAACTGGATGTATAACAAGTCCATTGTGCCACTGCTGTTCCTACCTGACTGCCAGTTCCTGTGGGTATAGGTTGTGACGCTGGTGTATTTTCCCATCTTCGTTTTGTCATCTCTTCAGATAATCTCCTGTAAAACTGCAATATACAAGTGCATGATTTATGCTGAAGTAGCAATAAATGTATTTATTTGAATAGCTATAATTACCTCAATCTGTCCATGTTCTTTAAAAGATAACTTGATATAGGAGTATTTACTGTGCTGGTAGGGACCAGGTTCTTTATTGGCAGGAAGGGGGTGCAGGTGAATGACAATTTTAGCACTTTTGCCTATACCTGCAGCTTGCTCCTCGAAGAATATAATTTGAGAGAGTGGCATAGATATACAACAATCCTGCATAGGGATGTAAAACAACAAGATTGATTCTCAAAACCTAACAATCGAAATAAACGATTAGTTCACGTACATGGCTTTTAACATCCCTCCACATTAGTCGATGAGTTGTAAGTAAGACAGCTCCTACATCCAGTTTAGCCTAATAGAACAAAAACAGTCGTAATGACAGTGTTGTATCTGCAGAGGTTGTGACCAGAGTAGCATTACCTTGTCGTCCCCATCGTACAGCCGAACACCTCTCTGTTGAATCACTAATGTTTCATTTATCTCTAGTAGTCCATTCGCCCAAGAAAAGCGATCCATATTTTGTGTTCTTTAGAACTATAGAAAATGTATGTGCGGCACTCAACCTGCTAATGCTAATGCTAATGCTAATGCTAATGCTAATGTTGTGTTTACTTCCTCTATGCTCCGAGTCAAACAGGCTCCTGAGCTGCCTGAACACAAACACAATACATAGGAAACGGATCCGTGACCTTGTTGAAGGCAACCAACAGTACTAATACTCAAAATGTATACATTATATACATATATCATGTTTTGAATAGTCAAACACAACAGATTTTGATCAGATTGATTAATCTGATTTTCTTCAGCCACCCCAGAGAGGTCCTCCGCGATGTTGACGTGAGCAGCGGACTAGCGCCAGCTGTCAGAGGAGGCAGATCTGCTGCGACCATTCACCTCGTGTTTTGGCATTTTCACTCATTTTTATGCTTCCTATCTTGCCGGATCTCTCCATATCGTTTGGTGCAAGCGTATCTCGGAAATTGCCTTTTGAACTTTTGCATTAAATGCCTTTTTTGTGCACATTTTGCAGAACAGAATTAGCTATAGCTGGCTAGCTTGTTGTTAGCTGCAGACAGAAATCTGGTGTAGGCAGGTTTTGCTTCTTGTCTTTGGAGTCATTGTTTTTCGACGCGCTTTTATCTAACTGTTGTAAAACACGTTTTGGACTTAACTAATATGTATGTGAAAATGCGTTTGTGTATAGCATGTTTTAAGAGGAGTATGAATTGTGATCAGTGGAATTAGATTCTTCTGACTGGCCATTTCAGTCGTGTTAATGAAATAGGTTTCCCGTAATCAATTATTTTGGATAAGGTGGAACAATCAAATAATAGCAATGGATAAAAAGTCATTTGACATAGTTCTAGATGAGATCAAAAAGGTAAGCTGATTGGTATGTTCATTTTTATCTAGTTATTGAAATTTCAAAATATGTTCATATTTTGTGTGTTCTACAGTGTGTCTTGACAGACCAACGCATCAAGGCAATAGAGCAGGTGCATGGCTACTTTTCCAGTGAGCAGGTTGGTGCTAAACTGTTAATACTTATTTATTGTGATCTATTGACAATCAGAGGGAATGGATTAAAAAAAACTATCCAATTTTGCACCACAATGGTGAGATAGCCAGGGATTGGGACATTATTTGGGGAAATATTATCATATCTTACTGACATTAAGGTAAAAGGAAAATCTTTGGGGGGGGGAGTTTATTTTTCTATGTGGAGTTTATTTTTTTTATGTATTGTTAAAGGAAGACATTTTCTTTCAGGTGATGGAAATATTGAAATATTTTTCATGGGCAGAACCTCAAATCAAAGCTGTGAAAGCACTGCAACATGTAAGTGTAACTGTGTTCTTAGTCTTTATGATACACATCTTTTAAGACGATCGTAGTTTGTAACATGTTTTTATTCATCTTTCTTAGAAAATGGTGGCAGTCCCTACAACCAAAGTAGCAAATATAATCAGTTGTTTTACTTTCACTAAAGATAGACTGGTTGTTTTGGAGCTTCTAGCCTTGTGAGTAAAAAAGAAAAAAAAATCTTGTTTTGGTAATTTAAGATATTTGCTTATTATCATAATGTCCCAAACACAGAAACATTTCAGATGCTCAGAATTACAGGCCAGTGGACGATCTATTTCGAACGCATCTATCTGAAAAGAAGAGAGCCCGCCGAATTCTAGAGCAGGTAAATAATGATCTCGATGTGTCTGTAAATTGACTTACTTGCTTATATTATACATAATCTATTAAATGTAAAATGTCTCTTTCCTAACAAGGTGTGTAAGGTCGGTTGTAAGGCCCCTGTAGCTATGATTTCTTCATGTGGCATTATCCCTGGAAATCCTTACCCTAAAGGCAGACCCAGTCTTGTCTCTGGTACATTTCCGGTAAGTGCAGTTTGCTCTGTAAATATTGAGCTCACTTACATTTGTATAGTTGGTAAATTGATGGATTTGTTGGGTGCGTTTTTGGTCAAAGGGTCTACCTCCATTAAAAAAAGAGGGTGAAAAGAAGGATGACCATTCTAACAATACTGATGGGAAAGGAATTGCTTCGCAAATTCTCGGACCATTTAAACCGGCAAGTGACTAGTCTAACAGTGAATTTTGACAAAACTGATGATGATAAATATTTAAACAGGCATGGGCGAGTAATGTATTTAATTAAAAATCCTGTTTTCTAGTTTCCCTCTACTTATAACCCTCATCGACCTGTGCCTTATCCAATACCACCATGCCGACCTCATGCTACCATCGCACCAAGTAAGTTATTGAAATATTTTACTTTTGGATTTGAATATATTAGTCTCTTCGAAATGACTGATGGTGCGTTCACACTGTGGTGTCAAATTGTACCCAAATATGTCTAGTGTGACGTGTGGGTTTGAGCACAGTGGTTTGCTCCATGACCCTGAACGCACCTGTCGCCTCAGTGTGAACTCATGCTAAAATATGTTAATGTTTTATCGTAATTGTGAAAAGATGATTATGTTTCAGATAGTGGAGGTGTAAGTCCGTGCTTTTCAATATTATTAGAAAGTTTTAATATTTGTAAATGCTATTCAGGTGCGTACAACAACGCAGGCCTTGTTTCTAGGGGAGGGGTAATAACAGCCAACGTTCCCCCTCCCCCTTACAACAGCTCCCATAAAATGGCAGGTATGATTCGAGGGTGGAAAACATGCTTGTGTGTGAGGGAGGGCAAATAAATACTCTTTAAACTCTTTAACTACGACCTGGCATGCTGCTTATATGGCTTCTAATGGCTTGAAAGGGGCGAGAATGTGCTTCTTAATTCTGCTTACTGAGTGACCTTTTGAGAACACAAACACACACTTGAAGCTGTTTCAATACTGTTTTAATCTCATTTTCTTAACCAAAGTTTTAATTCAGTACATATTTGTCTTTGAGTTTGAAATTGAAATTGTGCTTTAATTGGAAATCTTATTGTTACCTTCAGAAAAAATCTATTTAACATTTAATTCAGCAGTTGGTGTTTAATCTGTATTCTGATTTAAATTAAGTAAATGTGTTAATGTCTCTGCCTTTTATATGTAGCATATACTGCTTGTATGATACTGAATTTCCAGATACATATTGCAATTCCTGTACCTGATTCTGCAATGTATGGCAATATGTAATCCCAAATTTCAAAAATAAATATACATTATACTAGGAAATCCACAAAAATATAAATTAATGTGTTTATTTTAATAATATATAAACACATATTTTGTGGAATATATATATGATATTACTTTTTTATTTACTGTATTTACTGTATTTACACTCAAATAAGAAGAAATTCTTTGCAATTCAAGCGCTTCTTTGGCATTTGCATTAATCCTTGCATTTCTAAACCAAGCCCAAATGTTATAATATGCAGCAAGATTGCTAAGGAAATTATTTCAGCTGAATAGAATTGCGATCTTTTATCTTTTAGAGTGCTCTTACAGCCCTACAAGCACGTTTATTGTACAGTTTGATAAAACTATGATAAACCCAAAAAACAAACTAGACAAATGATCCTATAGTTTTGACTTGTGTACTAAGCTGCATGGCCTGCATTTGGGAAGTTTGCTTCTAGTTTTGGTTAAATTAACACATCCTTGCTTGCTTGTTCTTTGCCTTTTCTATAACATTTAAAAAAAAATGATTTCTAAGTGTACATATTTTTTCTAGGTTACACTAAACCGGGAAATCCGCAAAATGCAACACCAGGAGTGAAAAGTGGTCCCCTTCTTATTCCCCACGGTTCTACACCATCTACCCCTGCCCCTCCGCAGGCCTCTCCAGCTCAACAGGGTCCTACTACCCCCATAACCCCTATGTTTCCTGGCATGGTACCCTCAAACAACCCCAACGCCCCCTCTCCTGCACCTGCTCCCTCTCCTTCAGTCATCAAAAGTGGACGTCAGACACCTAGTGGCCACACTACTCCTGGCCTCTCATCTGTCATCAAAAACCACACTCCATCAAACACACCTTGTGGAACCCCAGTGCACTTCCCCAATGTCTCCAGACCAGGTACTCCGGCCAACTCCCGCTCCGACCATTCCCAGAACAACTCTGCTCACCAGAAGGCCTTGTCACAGTCCATGGAACAGCACTTCCACAACGCCCATCCACAAGGTAACCATCCAGGGTCAGTGATTCGTAGCTACACGCCCTCTGGACCTGGATCTTCCACTCCTCTAAACCTGAACTGTTCCACTCCCGGCACAAGTCACATACCTTCCCAAGCACATCTGCTCCAGAGTGCTGCTGGAGCGCTGCAGGCAGAGCAGCAGCGTGCGGCTTTGAGTAGACATATGGGGGGTGGCAGTGGTAGTAACAGCCCTGTGCCCTCGGCATTCAAAGGGGCACCTCGTTCAGGTACACCCTCTGTCAGCTCACTAGTGGTGGGCTCTGCTCAGGCTGCTCTGGCTCGTTCCCTCGGTCTACCTCAGTCTGCTGGTTCACCTCAAGTCTCACTTCCAAATCCTGTTGCCCTCTCCGGACTCCAAGGCCTGCCATCCAGCCCTGTGCCCTCTCATTACCCTGGCTTGCAATCTTTTCGATCCCTCACTTCTTCTATTCCTTCATCTGATCCATCATCCTTATCAGCTATGTCCTCGAACATTTCTACTCATCCACCAACATCCATGTACACCGGCCTTGGTCCGGGCGCTGCCTCCTCTGCTGGCTCGCCTTTCGGTCTGGGCCTCACCTCCGCACCCTCTATATTCCCAGGCCTTCCTCCAGGTGCTAGTCATGCTGGGTTCCCAGGGCTGGGTGTCTCTGGGGGTCCTGGAGGCAGCCCCGTGTTGTCCTCCTTCATGGGACTGGCTCCAACAGCGGCCACTTCAGTGGCTTCAGTGGCTCCTCTGCAGGCAGCTGTTGCAGCTGGAGTTCCCTCTTCTTCCCCAGTATTACCAGGCTTTGCATCTGCATTCAGCTCCAACTTTCAACCAGGGTAAGTTTTATAGATTACTGTATATGTGACCATAAAACTTAGTAATATGATAAAACAAAACATATTTTTTCAAAATTGACGTATATGCTCAGGACAACCACATTATTTGATTGAGTCAAAATAATGATCACAAAACACAATGAGTTACAAATTATTAAAAATATAAATCTGTGGGTCAGTCTGCGGTACTCACTACTCGGCCATCTTTCGATTAGTTGTTTAGATTATGAGGGTCTTTTTATACATTAGACAAGAACAAAGCTATATATGCTAATGCGACTCCAACACCTTCAGTTGACCATTTGCTGAAAATTGCTAACAAAACAAAATTGTTTAATACACACGTTCACAAATTGTTTTTATGCTGCAGTAATTGCAGCTCTGTTGGTAATTGTACAACTTCTTCAAAGCATTTTGTTCAAAAAATTGATTATTTATATAGTTCAAAGCATTGAGTTATAACCTCCAAAGGAAACTCCAATGGCTAACTAGTCCATTAGCACCAAGTCTCTATTTTTTTACAGACTCAGTTCCACCTGGCATGCCAAACAAATCTGTATCAACCACAGAGATGCTCTAATAGGCTTATATGAAGGGTAATTTTGAAAAATTGAAAAATAAATGATTATGAAATATTTAATATTTTCCATGTCATGTGACTGGAAAAGCACCATAAAGGTCTTTCCATTGTGTGTCTTCTGATAAGTGGTCGACAGTGACTCAAGGCTTTGAACTGGGCTGGACTTGGACTTTGTTGTGATTTATTTGCACAGGCGGTAGTAGGTCTGGGACTTATTGAGACATAAGTCTCTAAAATTTAGGTCTTATTGATAAGCATACTGTTTTTTTCAAGGAAAGACTGAGAATCAAGTAATGTTTGACTAATGACAAATCAGAAACCAAATAATTTATTTCACAATATCTGCAGCATAGGGGTGGGCGATATGGCCTAAATTATTATTGTAATTATAATGGTTATTATACTGCGGTATAATTTGGGACACATACGGGAAACGGTATATATCGCAGTATAATTTGATGTGTGAATTTCAATATAGGTCTAGCAGGTTCTTGCATAAAATAGTCAAGAGAGTTACTTATTTAAAATTACAATTTTAATGTTTCTTTATTTGATACTTTTAGCTTTTCCTTGACATTTAGTGTGTGACCTAGAGAGGGCGCCATAAAACCACCCATTTGTAAAGTTCCATTGTTGCAATAAACAATTGTAATAATTTATCCCGTTATTGTACATTCATACATACTGTACATAGTCAAGTCTTGTTGAACACATTTATTTATTAGTTAAACAAGTAAAGGACAGTGAATCTAATCAAGAATTAAGCTTTATGTGTTGCCTCATTTCCATGTGCCTTTGAACGCATCTGGGCGCTAGCTGCACGGCTACTAAAAGTATTTTTTTCTCTGAGCTTTTTTTCCGCCATTTCTCATATTAAACCTTGATACATATGAGCACAAATCAATAATATAATTTGTACATAACAACACAAACTGTTAGGGCTGCACGATATTGAAAATTAGTGCGATATTTGACATGAGTGTTAGTATTGCAATAACGATATTATTGCGATATTGCCATCTGCATTGAAACGCAAGAGACAAATAACAAATCAGCACAATATTAATGACATTCAAATGCATATATTTATATACTTTTTTATTTGTTTGTTCTTGTTGAATGTTGATGTGTCTGTCTGTTTTTTGTCTTCAATAAAGAAAAAAGAAAAAAATCTTTTTTTTTTATCGCAGATCTTTTGGATATGGATATTGCACGCACCAATATGGCAATAATAATATTTTTTTCTCTGTCTCTCAGGTTGAACACTGGACTCCAGCCTCCAGGGGGCGGTGGGTTTCCTGGGCTGCTGTCTTTCCCTGGGGTAACTGGATTCTCTCCCTCCCCCTCACCAGTGGCCCTTGGCGGTCTCCACAATCCCAGCATGCAGTCTGCTCTCCTACAGGTAGACCATTGTACAGTCAGAGAAAGTATGTTTTGGGATTCAGGCGTTAACAAGATCTTCTGTTTCCAGGCTCATTCCACACCTTCCTTGGACAACTTTCCTCCTCAACCCAACAGTTTTGCCAACTACGGCCCAGGTCCAGGGGCCCCCTTCTCCCTACAGCCAGGTCTGCACCCTCAGCTTGGCTGGCAGTGAACATTGAACACACTTGGTTCCAGATGATCTGAGCCTGATTTTTAAGACACTATTACGCGTCATAACAATTATGACTAATAATATGAATACAGATGTTTATGGATTTTACATAAACATGATCAAATTTGCCTGATAATTAGAAGATTGTAATCATGAGTAATGTTAGTACGTTATTAATAATGAATTAGTAATGAGTTGAAACATTTTACCTTTGTATGTGGGATCACGTACTGTCCAGATGAATTAAGTTTGAGTTTTGAAGTTGTTACTACTGCTTTGGATTCCCCTCTGTCACATGTGAAATGTGGAGAAAAAACTTCTTATTGATGCTGTTTAAGAATCATGTTCAGAAGAACTCAAGTCTGTTACAGTTGAACAGAATATTTATTGTATGACTTCAGCTACAATATAAAAATGTTGCCGCAATAGAATATGTTTAGATTTATCCCATTTTGTACTGTGCGTCATTTAAGGATTTCTACCATTGCAATTTTAATGTAATTCTCTACTTCACACTGTTCATAAACTTTAATGTGTAACACTGTTTGTTGAATTGTTGGAATTATTCATGCAACCAAGATAAATAGTGTATATTACATATAATACATATATATAGATTACAAGACAAGATGAGTGGCTCAGATGCTTTGCTTTTTAATGGACATTACAATAACAGATGCATTCTTTAGCACAAATCTTCTTTATTTTCAACATGAAAGAATAACATGAAACAGTCAAAGTGCAATGGATGTGTTGCAAAGTTGGTCATTTATTTCTTTAAATTAACGATAAATTACAAATTGGCCTGTGCGTCGCGGACTGGTTTTAAGATAACTAAACTGTTCCAGATGCTCTTTGAAATGTTTTTTTTTTAAACTTTTAACAGTGCAGGAAAGACTAAATACTTTCTGCATCTTGTGAACGTGGGTAAAAAAATAAACGGTTTATTTGTAGTTTAGGAAAAAAGTGAGAAGGCATCACTTTACACATTTCCAGTATTAAAAGATGGCATCCATGTAGTGCTAAGTTTGAAAAAAGAGCATACCTGATATCGGTCCTGCACATAGACTGTACATATCCTGCAGCGAGAGTCGTCATCGTCATGTGACTGATAACTCGACCTGTTACAGTTATCAGTCACATGACGATGACGACTCTCGCCCCTGACTTCCAGACTTTGGAATAATGAGACACCAATTAATGGAAACTGCATACAATACATGTTCCAGAATCATTTCAGGAATACTTTTTTGTACAAGGAAACTCAAACCACTGTAAACTGTAAGAATTTTTCCAGTACCTGTTGCATAATTGTCTTTTGAAAATAAAAAGTTTAGTATTGCATCACGGCCATGACATGCTGTAAACAAAAGCACATCCTTCTAAAGGATCCTTCTAGAGCAAACAAGATCTCTACATGTCCCTTTTTATGTAGACCTAAACAACTTATTTCAGTACATTTTGTCATCACACACATTAATAGCTTCAGAGATCCTTTATTCGTTCCACAGTGGGGAAATGTCCTTGTTGCATCACCAGTTGCAGAACAGTAGGAATGAGTAGCACACAGAAAAACATTATTGAACAATAAGTCTGTGCAAAATAAAATAAAATAAAAATCTCTAACTCTAGCATGAAGAAGACACAAGTATAAAATCTCTATCTTTTGCACAATGAGTACACACAACTCTGACTTTAGCATTATAAAGAAGTATAACATCTCTACCTTTGGCATACTAAGAAGCAAGTATCTGCAATTTTTTCTATGTCTTTCAATTGGTGGAGTTATCCCTAGTTTGTACAATCAACCCTGCACACCCAGGCCACTCCCCTGCACTGTTTTATGGAGACACTTGGTCTTTAAAAGGCTGGCTGCCTCCTCCCGTCTGAGAGCACTTAACCAAACTCTATTAGCACTTTGCCTTCAGTCCAGAACCAGCACATGGAGATGGAGGATCAAATGGAAAGTCAGAAGAACAGAGGAGTGAGCAAAGAGAACCTCATATGTAAGACTTTTTTAAAAAAAAAACCTGTGTTATTGTAGTTTAATGTATATTTTTTTATTGGTCACTGTTATGTCTTAATATACATTCTCTAGATAGATGCTCCGACTGCCTGCTGTATTTTAGCCCTGTTATTGAATAATATTGAGTGAATGCTAACACTAAGTAATATATTGTCTAATTTAGTAGGAGAAGGAGGTGTGGTCCTATCACTAGACTGTCTCTACTACTACTAGCTAACTTAATTTGAACACAGTAGACATGTTGACATAGCTTATACTACATACATAAACTCTATATTTGTATGGAGGACTGTGGTTGCCAAAACAATAAATATATACAGAAATAAATAAATAAATACAAAAATAAATACAGAAATAGAGAAATAAATGTATGAATAAATACAAAAATAAATAAAGAAATGTATAAATAAATGAATACAGAAATAAATAAATATATAAATAAATATATAATGAAAATAAATACAGAAATAAATGCACTTATTCTCATAATTGCATGCATTTCTTTGCAAATTTTATCTTTTTTAAATGTATTTATTTATTTATTTATTTCTGTATATATTTATTGTTTTGGCAGCCACGGTCCTCCATGTATTTGACCCATTATGTGTGTCTATCTTTATGTACAACATTTAAATGGGGCAGGCTGAGAATACTGTGGGTCCACAGGTAAAATGCTTCCCACACAAACCCTATTTATGATTCAAAAAATTATCCACCTGCCTTTTTCCACGGATCATTAACTTTTGATCCAGCCTCATCACTTTCATAATGTAAAAATGAGTTATCCCTGCTTTGTACAGTGGAAGTATTCAAATTCTTTGTTTGGCTTAAGTCCAGCGTATAGGAAAAACTAATACATCGTCAGTCTGTGTCAACATGGCCCCTATTGTGGTTTTGTGGACGTTCTCTAATTAACAGCTTATGCAAACTTGAATACACAAGTCATAATGATTTATAAATCATGGTATATTATTGTGCTATACATGGAGTTTTATTATACATTTATCTACAAGAGTTGGAGGGACAACTATGAAGGTTATTTTGTGTTTTTATTATCACTTTTTTTTTTTGCTTTGGAATTATATAAACTATAACAAAAATGTATTCAGTGTAAATAAATTCAATGTTTTAAAATTCAGTGTCAAAATATTCAACGTTTTTCAACATTGAATTTTGGGACACTGAATTTTAAAACATTGCATTTATTTACACTGAATACTTTTTTGTTATAGTTTATATAATTCAAAAGCAAAAAAAAAGTGTTGATAATAAAAAACACAAAATAACTTTCACAACATCCATGGAATAATTCTAAAAGTGAACAATTATGTGTATTCTGAGTTGCATCATGATGGAAAGTGAAATGTATCTGAAAACAAATTAATTGATTGATTTTTATTTTGGTCATCACATCAACAAAGTTCAGTACAAATATATGATATAATAAAATGCAACCAAAAAAGAAATAGGCAGAAGCAATACTTATTTGAGCCTATCCTGTTCTCCGCCATCAGTTTAACCAGATTTTAAGCTTGATATGTTTGGTATGCCATATTTAACAAACATACAACAAATTAAGTCAATTTTAATATTCTTTAAATATTTGAAATGTAAGATAAGTTTTAAATTGTAACAAAGAAGTAATTTTTTTCAAACCTTCTGTGAATTCATTCCATAATTTCACTCTGAGAACAGAAACACGCCTTGATTCCACTTAAGTTCTTGCTTTTGTAGATTCAAAAATTGATACATCTCTGAGATTGTAACGGTTTTCTCTAAGTTTGAAGAAGCACGAGATACACTTTGGAATTTTGTTTGTTTAAAAAATCTCTTCACTTTTACAAATGGGTTCTACGCACACAGATGACAGGATCTATGGAACATTACATTATTTTATGTTTGTTTTCGTAAAATAAATGGTGCAAGTTTATGAAATTATGTCGAAAGCGAGTGCTCTTTGCTGCATGTGACCAGTACAATCACTGTGACCACAATAAAAGCACGAGGTGCGGAGGGGAACTGTCATGGCTCTGTTTCAAAACATGCCCAGATAACAACCAAGGCGTTATGGCTCAGTGTGACACTAATGCGTTTATTGCAGCTGCCCGAAAGACCATATTGTTGATGAGTAAAACGCACGGCAGACATTGTAAACCGCAGGAAGAACTAGTCAGAAGAACTGTAGTTTCCATGTTTAAATAACAATGCAATGATGAAAAGTTCTCTTCCCCTGCAGCCGAACGCACAGGATCTTTGGGATGCTGTGGCTGGGTCATCGTCGTCCTGTCGGCCCTTTTTGCCCTTATACTCTTCCCGTTCACCATGTGGTTCTCTGTAAAGGTACATAGACTTAAGGGGCATTTCATAAGGGGCAAAGAGAAACGGCCAACTTATCGGTGTTTATCTTGTGTTGCAGATTGTTCAAGAGTATGAGCGTGCAGTGATTTTCAGGTTGGGCCGTATCACCGATAGAAAAGCAAAAGGACCAGGTGAAATCCCTGTTTTATGTAGAGCACATAAATCAGATAAGATATATTCAATCTCATGGGTCTGGAGAAAGCATGTGACTGTGTTCTCCGTATGACCTGAGCCAGATCTGGGGCTGCCCTTTGTCACCAGTTCTATTCTATATGGACAGAATTTCTAAATTATGTTGTCCTTTTACATTTATAAAATCTGGACCTCCGACATGCACTCAAGCGGTTTGTCGCCAAAGGTAAAACAGGTTGAGGTGAAAATCAGCACCTTGAAATCTGAGGTCATGGTTGTAGACCAGATAAAAGTGCCTTGCCCTCTTCAGCTCCTTTGTCAAGAAGAGGAGTCATGTATTTGTGCTGAAGTGAGGGAAGGATGGAGCATGAGGTTGACAGACAGTCGGACAGTTTGATGCAGTCCAAACGCAAAGCTCTCAATTCTACGTTCCCAACCTCACCTTTGATCATGAGATTTGGGACTAAAGAATCAGTCAGGAGTATTTAGCCGATAGTATGAAGTTTCTATGTTTGTTTTTTTAAGGTATGTTTGCCATCATTCCATTCACTGATCGCTTGGTGAGAGTGGACTTGAGAACGGTTTCATTTGACATCCCACCACAGGAGGTAGACCTGGCAACAACACATCATTTATTTTTATCGCCCAATTAATTTGCATTCTGAGCTGTGTTGTATTTTTCCATAGATTTTGACAAAGGACTCTGTGACCGTCAGCGTGGATGGGGTGGTGTACTTCAGAGTCAATGACCCTATCGCGACTGTGGTGAATGTGTCTAACGCAGACTTTGCCACGCGCCTTCTGGCTCAGACCACCCTCAGGAACGTTCTGGGGACAAAGAACCTGTCCGAGCTGCTGTCCGACAGAGAGGGCATCGCACAAAGCATGCAGGTACATGGACAAAGCATCCCAAATTGTGTATGGCAAGTTGTGGTGAGAGCCTACTGTAGCTGTATGAATATAGACACAAACGGGTCCTCCAAGGGCCCGTGTGGCTGCAGGATTTCCTTCCAACCAAGCAGGAGCACACAACTCCAGCATTTTGAGTTCAGTCTTAACCTGATGACTTGAGGAAATATGTGAAATCTGGTGTGCTCCTGCAGCCACACCGGCGCTTTCTGGAACAAGTTTACACCCTAATGTAGAGGATAGTTTGAGGAGGCAGGATACAGTTTGTCAACAACAACAACATTATTATTATTATTATTTTTGAGCAACAGATAAAGAAAAGACAAACTGTCATACGGTAGTCTGACGCATGCATCAAAGCTAATTTGCAGCACTTGATGATAATAATGATAATAATATTGATAATAATAATAATGCAATGATAATAAAAACCTGATGTCTTATATGTATTTTGTCTGACTGAGGCATTGGGCTAAAGCCATAATGTACATCTGCCATTTAGATAGATCTTCTAATTTGTTTTCTTTTAACTTAATTGTTATGTGTCAAATATTTAAAAATATGATCATAATCTTGGGTTAATATTTGGTCCTGCTGTAATCCATCCTGGAAAGTAAGATTGGCTTTTTATGACTCATGCAATGACTGTAAAATATGAGTCGTAAAACGTTTTAAATTATTTAGTAATTAATTATCAAGAAGCATTCATGATCACTTTATTTTGTTTGGGCATCAAACATTGAAAGCATTAGTGCTTTCCCCTTTTATAAGAGGGAAGTGGAAGTGGTCACATCAATTACAAGTGTTCAGACCACACCCGCGGATGCACATAATTATTGACAGAATGGACTTTGAGCGTCGTTTGAGAAAACAGGCCAAAGGAAAACTGTGACATACACTTTACACACAGAGGCAATACAGTCTCTGTGTGTAAAGTGTGAGCAGAAAGAAATCTCAAACAAACAAGCATTTTCTTTCATGGTTCAAGCCCAGAGTAGTTCTGACGTAATCTAGTCATTGTAATGTATTTATCAATTCACTAATGCACAGTAACTCTCACTTTAGAGTTCATTTAGAGTTCTACACATGTCTGTCTATCTTTGCCTGATTAGTTTGGTTACGTTGATTCTAAGCTTCTAAGCAGACCCTGTTGTGGTTTATAAAACCTATTCTATTATTCACAGACCAATCTGGATGAAGCCACAGACGAGTGGGGCATCAAAGTGGAGCGTGTGGAGATAAAGGATGTGAAACTGCCCCTTCAGCTGCAGAGGGCCATGGCTGCAGAGGCCGAGGCCGCCAGAGAGGCCCGCGCTAAGGTCAGCTCACTTCTACATTTCTTTGAGCAACATGTCTTATATGAAAAGTGCTCGAACAAATAGGTGAAACTATAATAACCAGTTCATTATCATTCAAAAGTGTGTTTATTCCTGTAATTCAACTTTAAATGTCTGATATATAGCCATTTATACATTTTGAGTTGAGTGTTTATTTTGAGTTCAATCAAACAAATGTCACTATACGTAGGATTTTCTACGTATATACGTATTTTTATACGTTCATTTACAATTACTTATTACAATATCGTACATTATTCATTTTTTCTCAGATATATCAAGCCTTTATAACAAATAAAGGCTTGATATATCTCATCTCTATCAGATCAGATTCAGATTCAGATTCAGATTCATTTATTTGCCATTTGCAGTAAAACCACATTGGAAAAACTGTGCAAGACTACCCCGGTGTGCACCAGACAGAGAAGACGACACACACCAGAGCTCTTGCCACGGCGCCATCTTTACGGCGTCATGCGACAAACAGTAGAATAAACAGCAGAGAGCAATAACATACACTTTCACAGACAGTTGGATAGACACATTTGTGCTTTGTATAAAGCACGGATTTTTTCTCGGGATGACGCAACTCCTACAGCCGGTCCAATGTGGCTGTCAGAGGGGGGCGGGGTCAGGGAGGGGGTGAATCGGAAACACAGTGAGGAGTGGAAGGGAGGGAGGGAGCAAGATGGATAGAGGGAGGCGGGGGTAGGGGATCCTTGCTGGAGACTGAATAGTGTGGATTGTTGTAGATCGGGACCTGTGTTATTATGGCCTTGGCCCGAGGAATGTGAGATAAGAGTGGAGAGAAGGCACAGGAGGAGAAAAACACATCGCCTCAGGGGGACAATATTAAATGCAATGTCAGGCAGATATTCTATTAAATCCAATTAAACCGAATTGCGGCGCCCTCAGACCCCGTACACAGGGGCAAATCCAAGCCGGGTCAGAGAGTTCAAGCCTGGCAAACGATGTCATTCAATCTCAACTCCAGAGTTTTATGCCCATCGAGTGAGCGAGCTGCGAGATCTTTAACCAACTGTTCCACCAGAACCACTCTCCTTTGTCCAGACACGGCACTCTCAACCACGACACGGCTAAGCTCCTTGTACATCCCATCAATTTTGTCGGCCAGCAGGTCGTGAATCTTGCGAACTGCCATGCCTCCGAATTTGTGGTAGAAGAGAACCGCTCCAAGCCCAAACAGGAGGATTCCCACCACCAGAATGCCAAGATATATACGTCTTCCGAATCTTCAATAGACAGGGTCGACAGACAGAGGGGCTGAAACTTGTTCCAGCTGACAAGAGTATACCCCGCTGGTGAAGTCCCGTCCGGACACACGGGCTCTCCAGACCCGCGCTTACGTGTTGAAAAGATAGAATCAATTGCGTTGAGGGACCAGTTAATCATTTCCATTCTTGTTAAAGTTGTCTGTGGCAAAACTCCAGGAAAAAGACCAGTTAATCATTTCCATTCTTGTTAAAGTTGTCTGTGGCAAAACTCCAGGAAAAAGACAAAAGGTACAATACAATACAATACAATTTATTCTTGTATAGCCCTGGGTCACAACAGAAGTCATCTCAGAGGACTTAACAAAACCATTGAAATCACCAACACAGGTCAGAGAATCAACAGTTAAAACACATGAAGAATATAAAGCACACACAGAAGAAAATGTCCATACATGTTGTAGAATGCTAAAGTGTCCTGATCATCACCAATCCTTTCTGTTGGACACTAACTGTCCAACAAGACCCTCCTGCATCGACAAGGAAAAACTCTTAAAAAACCCAGTGGGAAAAAGTGAGAAACCTTGGGGAGCACTAGGGAAACCCACAGGGAGGGAGACCCATATGAGAAAGGGATCCGCTCCTCCGGACGGACAGGCTAATGATCTAGGACCTAAGCTAGCTACAGAACGTGGACCAGTGGCCGCTGAACGTGGACAGGTCCGGTGCAGGACCGAAGCACTCCCAGGCGGGTCGGGCGGGGCAGTCCGCAGGTGCAGATGGAGGAGGCCAGGCTCAGAGATCCCGTCATCGTACCATGAAACAGACAATGGGACAACGGGTGAATAGCAATGAACAAACTACAGTCAGAATCCTAAAAGTGCGAAACAGGTAAAGCAGACAAAGTAGGAAGGAGGAGAGGATAGCGCTCAAGTTACCATACTTCTCCCAGCAAACTGACTCCCTATGCAGCTTGACTGACACTCTGAGGAGTTTAACCTTCCCAGAGTCTTACCTTCCTAACCATATGCTAAACTAAGGAGGACTGTTCTAAACCTAGCCTTGAATAAAGAGATTCATGGATTGCACACCAGGTGTGCAAACCGATCCAAGCAAACCTAATTATATATTATATATCATATACATCATATATACCATACATACCATATATATCATATATAATACACAACATAACATACAGCATAATATATAACATAATATACAACATAACACAATACATTATTGTATAATATATAACATAATATACAACATAATACAGCATATATATATAATATATACACCATATATTATATATTACCTAATTATATGCTAAATTAAAGTAAAGTGCTTTAAGCCTGGCCTTGAATGTGGAGACCGTATCTGCTTCCTTAACATAAATGGGAAGCTGATTCCACAGTAAAGGTAGCTTGGTAGCTAAATGCTCTGCCAAATGCTCTGCCACCAACAGTGATTTTTGAGACCTTAGGGACCACCAGACGTCTGGCGTTTTGTGAGCGCAACGCTCGACTTGGTTGATACGACACTAACGTGTCTTGGAGATAAGAAGGAGCCAAGCCATTTATGGCTTTATATGTTAAGAGAAGGATTTTAAACTTTATTCTGTACTCCACAGGGAGCCAGTGGAGTGATTTTAACACCGGAGTTATGTGCTCCCTCCTTTTGGTACCTGTTAAGATCCTAGCTGCTGTATTCTGAACGAGCTGGAAGCTCTTCAAAGAGGCTTTAGGGCACGCTGCCAGTAAAGCGTTACAGTAGTCGAGCCTTGAGGTGACAAACGCGTGAATGAGTTTTTCCGTGTCACTTTTAGGAAGGAAATTCCTAATTTTAGCGATGTTCCGTAGGTGGAAGTACGCCGTTTTAGTTGCTTGGCTTATATAAGCCTTGAAGGAGAGTTCTTGGTCAAAAATGACTCCAAGATTCCTCACAGTGTTACTGGGTATAATACTGACATTATCGAGAGTAATTATCTGGTTAGTGATGGAGTCACGCAGGCGCTTCGGACCGAGTAGTATTACTTCTGTCTTCTCCGGGTTGAGAAGTAGGAAGTTAAGAGTCATCCACATTTTAAGGTCCTTTATGCAGGCACTGAGCTTTTCCAGCTGATCTGTCTGATTAGGCTTCATCGACAGATAAAGCTGTGTGTCATCTGCATAGCAGTGGAAATTAATTCCATGCTTTTTAATAATGTTTCCTAATGGCAGCATGTAGAGAGTAAAAAGAATCGGTCCGAGTACCGAACCCTGCGGCACACCGAATTCTACTCCAGAATAAGGTGACGAGTTCTGATTTACGTTGACGAAGTGATACCGATCTGATAAATAGGATTTAAACCAGCCAAGGGCTGTTCCTCTAAGACCTATATCACATTCTAGCCTCTGCAGTAGAATGCTGTGGTCTATTGTGTCAAATGCAGCACTAAGGTCCAGTAGGACCAGCACTGACACTTGTCCATTATCAGCAGCTAGTAGTAAGTCATTTGTGACTTTGACTAGTGCTGTTTCAGTGCTATGATGAGCTCTGAATCCTGATTGAAAGACTTCAAACATATTATTTTCCTGCAGGTGGCAGCGAAGCTGCTCAGCTATAAGTTTTTCCAGGATTTTAGATATAAAAGTGAGGTTTGAGATTGGTCTGTAGTTTGTAAGTATTTCTGGGTCCAGGTTTGTTTTCTTCAGAAGGGGTTTGATCACCGCGGTTTTAAAAGCTTGTGGGACATAGCCACATTGTATGGATGCGTTTATTATATTTACGATAGGCTCAATTATCAAAGGAAGTATGTCTTTGAAGAGCCATGTCGGGACTGCGTCTAACATGCAAGTTGAGGCTTTTGAGGATGTGACCACAGAGATCACCTCTGCTTGGCTCACAGCCATGAATTTATCGAGGCCCACTGAAGAGTCTAAGTGGGAAATCACGTATGCCGCTTCAGCCTGTCCACTACCAACAGCCGGAGTAACCTCCTCCAGTTTGTCACGGATGGATGCAATTTTATTATTAAAGAAGTGGAGAAAGTCGACACTGCTCAGTGAGCTTGGAATTTTAGGCTCGATTGCGCTATGGCAGTTTGTGAGTTTAGCGACGGTGCTAAACAAAAATCTACTGTTATTTTTATTCGCTTCTATTAAAGTTGAATAGTATTGAGTTCGAGCCCTGCAAAGGGCATTCTTATAGTTTCGGAGACCTGCTTTCCACTCCCTGTGGACAGGCTCCGAGTGGGAGTGGCGATATAGCCTCTCCAATTTTCTGACGTCCTGTTTTAAAGTGTGGAGTTGAACACTGTACCAGGGCGACGATGATCTAATCCTAATAGTTTTCTGTTTTAAAGGAGCTGCTGCATTTAATGCAGATTTTAAAGACTCCATAGTGTTGTCCACCGTTTGGTCAATGACTGAGGGACTGCAGCAGCTGTGAACAGGTTCACCTGCAGCAGTATTCAACATAGGCTGTATTAGTTCTTTGAACCTTGTGATAGATTTATCATTTAAGGTTCTTTTCATTATGGTTTTATCTTGCGGGACAGGAAAGTCCTCCAAATCGAGATCAAACGTGATCAAGAAATGGTCAGACAGCAACGAGCTTTGACGCTGGATGTCAACATTGGAGACATCACAGCCGTAGGTCAGGACAAGGTCCAAGGTGTGGTTATGAATGTGAGTAGGTTCCTCAACATTCTGAGTAAAACCAACACCATCTAGTACGGCGCTGAAAGCTTTGTTTAAGCTGTCAGTG